GGGAAATAAATAATTGGGAACAAAATGCCATGAGAGTGAGCTTTCTGTCGAGGCAGATGTGAACATCTCGCTGGGAACCAGAGCAACCCACACCTTGAACGCTCCATCTAAACCATCATGCTTCCCATTGAAACTTAACTAGGCTCAGAAGAAACTTTGGAGCAATGTGTTAAGAGAGGGAAAACTCAACACCCCAAACTAACAGCAAAATCAAGTTCTAATTAAGATGAGAAACTACGTGATGATACATTTCTATCTCAGGACTCATTCCGAAGCCATCAAGAGCAGCATTTCCCATCTGGGGTGGGTGGCAGAATAGATGTGAACTACAAAAAAGCATCTTCAGCCTCTTCACAGAAGGTAAGTCTGTTGAGAGTTTCAGCTCAGTTCCAAAATAAGCCCAACCTACAAAACTCCCAGGAAACAGAAGACGAAACAAATCCATATTCTGGATGTTTAAAGCTGATCACAAATTCAGGCCACGGAAAGAAGTGCTGTAACATTCACACACTGGTCCACCAGCCACCTGGAAGCCTGTAAACCCACGTTCTTTCTTCCTCAGCTTTTAGGTAACATTTCCTAGATGTAGATCATGTTATGTATCCAAATGGCCCAGGCTCACCAGAACCACACAGCAACAAGTACAAGAAATCTCTGAGGAAAGGAAACAAGTGTAGTCATATGTTATTTTAAGACCCTGAACAGAGCTGAGGGGACTACCACCATAAACAATTCCAGAAGACAAAGCCACACAAGCTAACACCAGTGGGATGCTCCTCATTGCTACACAGACACATAATGCAGTTTAATCTTTGACTCCTTCTACTCTTAAGTATATTGTCCTTGGATTAGAAAGGAACAAGCGAGGCATCTTCCTGCAGAGATGACCTGGAAGAAGTAAAAAATGACCCAATTCCACATCTCCAGGGCTTAGGAGAGTAAAAGTGAAGGTGCTCAAATGGGAACACAATGAAAGCACCATGCCTTGTGCTCTGCAGAAAGAGGTTTTTGAATGTCAAGATTTATTTCTGCTGGAGGAAGGGTTTCTTTTACCCAAAACATGTATCTGGTTGCATAAGCCAGCAAATTATAGCTATGTGCCATGGGAAAAACACTGCAGCAGAAAAACTGGGAAAGCTCTGAAAAGGATAAAAATGAGATGTCTTCTGCACAAGAGAACAGTCAGAAGTCGTCTTGAGGCACAGCTTTCAAATCCAATGCGGTTCTCATCAATGGACAAATTATACAAGTAGCATATGTGTCTAAATGAGACCTGTTCTTCACAATTATCATGCCTTAATGAAAAGCAGTGTACATTTAGATACCTAAAAATACAGAAAATATATACAATGCACTATCATAAAAAAGGTACAGGCTTTAAAAAAGCACATGGATGTTTTTTTCCTTCAAAATCTCCACTGCAGGTTGGATTATGATTTTTAAAGAAGGGTTTATAACCTTCGATCTCCTTCAGAACACAGAAGGAAAATCCATTCTAGAGTGACTAGAAGAATCACTATATTTTGCAGCAAGAAAGAAATGCCAGGGTTAAAGCAACAACCCAGCAAGCACTGTTTAGGGATTCTTTTTTACTCTCAACTATTATTTTTCTAGTACATGAAGAATATGAACAATTGTCAATCAAGAGATTAAGATCTTGTACAAGCAGAAGGATACATAAGAGCACACATGACCAGAACTATGGCAGGAGTTGAGTTCCCTCCCCATCCAAAACACTTCAAAGCTAAACACTTTATTTGGGATTCGGAGTCTTTAGAAAGCAGCACTGTACTCTGTGTTCATTGTTCTCTACATCTAAAAGCAAACACTCTCCCCAGCTTTCACTACGACAACCTGGGACAAAACCAAAGAAAGTTTTTGATCATAATCTTGATTTATTTATAGGTGACAAGAATGCAATCAACAAGAACAGACATTACCCCTGCCCCAGCACAATTTACATGGCATTTCTATTAACAAAGTACACATACAAAGTAGAAAGGAACTTGCTCTCGAGTTGCTTCTTTTCCTCCCTTCACACTTCCTCTGGGATTACGGCAACATCCTCCCAAGTACAACTGTCTCTAACTCACAGCACACTTAGCAAAAGAAATACCCTGTTATATCTCTGCAATCTAACTATTCTAACACACAAACACACGACCCTTCTTTCAGGCAAAGGTCAGGTACAATCTCCTTGCACCAAGAGCAGAAGAGAGCTGTACACCCCATAAAAAGGCTACTGGAAGCTTGAGGAAGCTGCTGTCAGCAACAGCCTTCCACCAAGGGCTGGATTGTGCTCTGATAAATAGAGGGAAATAACTGTCAATCTCCACCAGTATCAGACCACTGTTCCTTCCTCTGCAAGTAAGGAAGTTTGGAATATTAATGACAGAGGGTTCCACTAAAGCAGCATACACAGATGTCAAGTGATCACAGAACACTAGCACATATAATCATAGAATCAACTAGGCTGGAAAAGACCTTCAAGACCATAAATTCCAACTTTTACCCAAGGACTGCCAAGGCCATCACAAAACAGTATTACTAGATGCTGAAGAACTGCCTGCAAATGCTTTCAAGTCATTCAGGCAAAGTAGAAAAGGAATCGCAGCTGATATCACAAACTAAGTCTTCAGAGGGGCCAAGAAGTTTGAGCTAACATTACCACTTTATGCAATCACTTAATCCAGCAGCTATACATCAATACAAATTTCAGTATGAAGGGAGACCTTAGAGCAGCTCCAGCGCTTAAAGGGGCTACAGGAAACCTGGAGAGGGGCTTTGGACAAGGGCCTGTAGGGACAGGACAAGGGGCATCGCTTTAACCTGCCAGAACAGGGGAGACTGAGATGGGCTCTTAGGCAGAAGCTCTTCCCTGTGAGGGTGCTGAGGTGCTGGCACAGGGTGCCCAGAGAAGCTGTGGCTGCCCCATCCCTGGCAGTGTTCAAGGCCAGGCTGGACACAGGGGCTTGGAGCACCCTGCTCTAGCGGAAGGTGTCACTGCTTGTGGCAGGGGTTAGAACTGGATGAGCTTTAAGGTCCTTTCCAACACAAACCGGGCTGGGAGTCTATGACCTATGATGCACTGCACTAAGGCAGTGCACAATCACTTCAGGTATTTCAGAGGTTTAACATCCTGCAGACCCATAAAGATTCCAGTGGTTAAACACATAGCCAGGACCTAACAAAAGAGAAGCCCACCACAGGATATCTCAGATGACCCACAAACACCAGCGGGGACAACACGGAGCTGTGGCTACCACACGAGAGCACACGAGTGCCAGCAGCTCACTAGCACAGCTCACACATCGCAGGAACAACTCTTGCACAAGCATCAGCACGTGTCAGGTACTGCTTCCTACCGCTTGGGCAGGCATGCAGCAACAGGTTAAACCTGGCCAACAGTTACTAACCCTGCGCTTTTCCCCTGCCTCTGCACCAAAGGTTCCACACTGAACGCAAGGACAACCAACCTGTGAATCATTTCCTAAACCACAGCAGAAGTCAGCCAGAGTATTAAGGTAAAACAATGTCATTTTTGCTCACCTAAACATACTGAAAAGTGCAACATCTGAGGAGCAGACTGAACACTCCCACCCCAGGACCACGGTACTTACAGGCTTTTAACTCTTCTGTTAAAGGCACAGCTTGACAACATAGCAAGGGACAATGAAATAATGAACTGCATGCAGGAAATGCTGCCTCGGTCTCTTTACCCCCTGCGTGCCTTCCTGCCTGTCTGCAGGGTGGGCCACAGCACAGAACCAATACGCAAAAAACCTCACCCCAATCCTATAATGGAAATAAGTATAATTGCCAGCGGTCACAGGAGGACCCCTGTTAGCACCAAACACAAGCACGGAGGTGGAATGGAAGGAACTGTACCTTTTGATGGCAGCAGACCAACAGATCACAGCATCACAGAGTGGTTTGTGTTGGAAGGGACCTTAAACCTCATCCAGCTCCAATCCCTGCCATGACAGGGACACCTTCCATTAGAGCAGGTTGCTCCAAGGCCCTGTGTCCAACCTGGCCTTGAACACTGCCACGGATGGGGCAGCCACAGCTTCTCTGGGCACCCTGTGCCAGCACCTCAGCACCCTCACAGGGAACAACTTTTGCCTACGAGCTCATCTCAATCTCCCCTGTTCTGTCAGGTTAAAGCCATTCCCCTTGTCCTGTCCCTACAGGCCCTTGTCCAAAGCCCCTCTCCAGGTTTCCTGCAGCCCCTTTAGGCACTGGAGCTGCTCTGAGGTCTCCCCTTAAGGAGCCTTCTCTTGTCCAGGCTGAACCAGCCCAGCTCTCTCAGCCTGGCTCCATACAGATGCCTTCATTCCTCACACGGGCTTGAGTACATTGTCAAGCTGAACCCTCAGTCTGGCACTGCAACTTTGCCACCTCTGCTCAGGGGCTCGTTAACTACAGAAGTAGAGAGAATTTCACCACGATCCTGCCTGGAAACTTGATACAGGGAAGCTTAAAAACGTTTGGAATTATGAAGAGATCTAAAGCGAGGGGTTTAAGATCGCAGCTGTAATTAAAGACACTTTAAAAGCGGTACTTTCAGACCGTCCAGCCGCACACTAACTGACCGTTCCGTCGCCAGCTCCGCCTCAACACAAAACCAACTCACGGCCATCCCCAAACGCCTCTGAAGGAGCCTCTTCCACACGGGGCCGGCGGTGCAGCCACCTCCCTCAGCGCGGCTGCTCCGCCACCGGGCGGCCCCCCTCCATGCCTGCGACCGAGAGAAGGGCGCAGGCCCTGACCGCCCCGAGCCCCGCTCAGCACTGAGGGCGGGTGCGGAGCCCCGGGCCCACCGCTGCGCCTCAGCGGGAAGGGGAGGACGAGACTCCGGCCGCCCCGCAGGCCCCTCAGCGGGGCCAGGCCCCTGCTCCGAGCGGGCAGCGGAAACCACCGCGCCGGCAGAGCCGAGCCGGGCCGCACCCTGCCCGTACGCCGTTCCCGCCCGCGGTGCCCGGTCCGGGCTCACTCACCCTCCGAGAGCTCCAGCTCCAACTCCGCCAGGCTCTCCCGCACCTCGGGCGGCAGCGGCACCGCCTCCAGGGAGCAGCCGCCGCGCTCCGCCGCCATGGCGCGGCCGAGCAGCGAGCGGGACCCGCCACAGCCACCGCCCAGCGCTGCCGCAGGTGGGGCCGGGGGCGGGCAGCAGAAGGCGGTGCCGCGGAGGGGAGCGGAGCGCCCGGCCCCGCCCCGCCGCCCGGGCCTGGTGCGGCCTGGGCCGCCTCAGCGGGGGGTGCGGGGGCTGCGGGCGGGTTGAGGACAGGCAGCGCCGGGCATGCGGGCGGTCCCAGCGCTTAGAAAGGGGTTCCCTGTCCTGCCGCTGCCCTGCCTGCTGGAGCTGTGGCCCCATCTGAGACACCGAAACTACACTTTGGGGTAAAAAAAACCAAAACTAACCTTTTCTAAAGACAACCACCGTTGAAGGGCGCTGCGGAGGGGAGCAGGAAACGGTTGTTTCGGAGCCTGGGTTGAGGCTTTTCACAGTTCAACCACAGGCTGGTTGCAGGGTGAACACGCGGCAGGACACCAAGATGTGATCTTCCTGCCGCATTCCTCCAGCCCCCCAGAGACTCAGGCAAAGGCAAATACATGGATCTTGGGCTCAGTCCTGACTACAAGGACAGCTCCACCAGTAGCAATAACTCTCCTGCAGCTAGAGTGTGGGGAAGAAGCTTTCTACTAACAGCTCTTGTGGGAAACAGCTCTCTTTGGGGGTGAGCAGGTTCGTGTTGGTGGCAGCAGTGGGGCAGGAGCACTGTGTGCCCTCCCTGGCCTCCGCACCTTTCCCTCCATAGTGCAGTAGTGCAGTCCCTGGCTCCGAGATGGCAGAACAACAACAACAAAGGCACCTCTCTGCTGGCCTTCATTGTGGATGCCGGAGACGGACTGTATTGATAGGACGAGGGGTGATGGTTTCAAACTGAAATAGGGCAAGTTCGGGTTGGATATAAGGAAGAAGCTCTTCCCTGTGAGGGTGCTGAGGTGCTGCCACAGGATGCCCAGGGAAGCTGTGGCTGCCCCATTCCTGGCAGTGTTCAAGGCCAGGCTGGACACAGGGGCTTGGAGCACCCTACTCTAGTGGAAGGTGTCCCTGCCCATGGCAGGGGTTGGAACTGAATGAGCTTTAAGGTCCCTTTTAACCTAAACCAGGCTGGGATTCTATATAGAAAGACCAAGGGGAGGGAGGACTTACTGTAAAGCCAGAAGAGCAACTCCCTAACTCACAGAAGCTCATGTGTAGTATGTTAGCTGTTCTGTTAGTCCAAATGATCCTACTGAAATACTAAAACCCAATGTTAGGAACAGCAAGAAAAGTAAGTAAGCAAGGTAACAAGTAACCACAGAATGTAAGCATTCACTAATAAAATGTCATTTTAATAACTTTTTTTTTTTTACAAGGAGCCCACCTATACACTATAGAAAAATAAACACCAAAGAGACTCTTTGCAACTTACAGTACAGCAAGGCAGGCACACTTCAGCTGTTAATGTAGTCATTTCACATGAGAATGTAAAACACTGTTCTTAGTGAAAAGTAATTTCCTCTTAAAGTACTAAAATATAATAAAAAGTCATATAGAAAAAACGATGCAAAAGCACTGCCATTTATTCAGTTGCACAAGAGGTTGCAAGTGCCTCTGTTATGTATGGACCGACTCAGAAGAAAGCAGTAACTGAGGAAAGGTGTTGCAGTAGGGATCTCAGGAGCATCCTCATCACTTCATGTTCCTCTGGCGAGGAGGGCCTGGAACTTGTCCTAAATGTAAACAAATGAGTATTAGAAACCCATTTGTGTCACAAAGCAACAGGGTGCACTTTGCAGCATGTAATTTCCTCCATGTGCTTCATATGAGCTACCCTGAAAGCAATTCCCATTTTCATGAGCCACTTAGGAACAATACAAACCAAGATTTGGAAGCTTCCCCATCTGCCATAGCAAACTTTCCCCATCAAACCAATGCTCCATCACCCACTTCACACACCACAAACAGGGTTGTGCAGTTCAATTGTACTGCTCTGGTTATGATTTAACACACGTTCTGTTGCTGGAGAAAGTGTTGTCATTGAGTAGATGTTTTAAAGTCCATTAGTTCTGCTCACAGCATTGTTATAAAGGCTGCAGCATTGCTCTGTAGTTCCTGACATTCTGTAATTACTGACATCATTCTGGAGACATGGAAATTCCTGACGTGATAGGCATTTTCCACACAGAATTGCTATTAATAGTGTGCCAGTCGTGGAATACTTATTCCATGCTTACCATAAAGCAAAACACCTTATTTCTATAAATGCTGTCAGGTTTCAATTCCAACATTTGTTTCCCTATCTGCCATAAATAACTGCCGTATCTGGGGGAGGGGGAAGAGACAAACAAAAAACCCCAAACCCACAAAGTCATGGAATTAAGGTTTCTAGGCAAAATCCTGCTAAGAACAATGTCAGGAGTTCCCTTATGGAAGTGTCACTGTAGCTGCTGAGTTTAGTGATGTAAGCAAGACCAGGATATTTATTAGCTCAACTCAGCCAGAAACACAGGCGGTTTTTCAGCCCTTCCCCAGAGCTGTTGTCCAGCCATACCAGGCTCCTGGGTTCAATGCTGACAGCCAAGCTCCTCTCTTCCTAGAGAAACACATCATTTTAACATTTAATCTCTTAACACTAAAGGATGTGTTAGGAATGCAATGTGTGATCATTCAAAATTTGCCTTGGAAGGTAATTTAATCAGCATTATTTTTCTAAAAGCAGTTAAGTCTGATTGCTTGCCTGGAGATCAAGGACCATAGTGATCCAAAAGTAGCCTCACGAAGTAAAAGCTGACTGTGGGGATGAGCAGCCAGAAGTAATGTGGAGAAGGAACCAGCAATAGCAAAGGGATAAAGGTTGGATCAAAACACTGATGGCATTACCTGACCTGGTGGCCCACATTAGCTCAGACCAGGGAACAACATAAACCTGGATGAGTGAAGCAAGCTTTGGGATAGATGCACCGAAGTCCCTGGAGGAGCAGCTGTCAGCAGGCTCCCCAGGAGCCTCCACACCTTACTTCTGTGATACAAGACTAGAACATTAAATAATTCAGTCTAGAATTTAGGTGGGAGGTTTCTAAGTAGCAAAGTTAAGTGCCACTACAATCCTGTGTGTGCTCTTCAATCAATTTTAGGATTAGATACCTGTTTTTACTAGCCAATTTTTGTTTAATCTGTTATGGAATACAAGGAAGTGATAAATGAGGAAAGTATTATAGTGTGTACTGCAGGGAAGGCCCTGTTCAGCTATTGCAGTGATTCTCTTTGACTTTAAAGTCGTGTAGAGAGCTAATTTGCTTTATTTAAATTGCAACACTTGCTTATTTAGACTTGATAACAGGAGGGAAATGGAAATCACATGAAATTATTCAGCCTCATCTCTGGAGAATTTCCCTAAGAACTCCTTTTGAGACATGCTATGGTTTTAGATACGAGTCACAAAATGTTTTCATTTCAGAGATTAATCCCTCTCCCACTCAATAATTATTCCTTAAAATGATGCTCTTCACATGCTACCAGTGTCATAGGCAATACAGGAAGAACACTGCAAAAAGCAGGGGAAGAGGTTGTTCTCACCTGGGTGCATACCCCCCAGTCTTTGCTGGATAACCTCCAGGCGATGGATGTATTCCGTTAGTGATCGTTCAGGATCCTCAGTAGGCACAAGTGACTTTTCTGAACCCGAACTTGTGGATGGATGCAGTCTTAAAAGGAAAACAAATTACTTTCTTCGCATGCTATACCCTCAAATATAATAGTTACATTCATAAAGGCAGCAACTCAGTGCAAAGCAAACTCGAACAACAGTAAAAGCCGCCACCACCACCAAAGAGTTACATTTAAAACTGGGCAGCTTTGTATACAGGGGAGTCAAAAGAACTGGTGTATCTATGGTGTATCTATGAATATCTCTCTAGGTTTATGCAACACAAAGTACCTCAGGTAAGAAAGCTGCAGTCAGAGGCAAGCCCAAATGGCCAAGTGAGAAGACCCACTTCTGCAGAGAGAGAAGGACTGAAGAGGAGCGTGCTGCATCCAGGCATGTATGCTCTGTTCAGCAGGTAAAATGCTATCTTGAACGACAAGGTGGAAAAGGGGGACCCTGCAGATGCTAACACTGTGTTTCCTTTCTGGACATTAACAAACTGCAAAAATTAGCAAAACTACATACTGGAGGGGATACTGTGCAAACACACTGCTATTTGGAGTTAGGATTTATTCCTTCACCCTGCACCTTTGGATTAGTGGAAGTTGGCTCTTATCCATCCCTTCCTTCCATACAGCTTTGCCAGGAATAAAAGGGAGCAATAGGTAACGTTTAACCCATCTCAAATCCACGTCAGCCTTGAGTTGCCACTAACCCAGTCACAGTGGGTAATCAGTCAGGGCCTGCTGTTATTAGTATCCTTGTTCCATACAATACACGACTTTTCATGATAGGTCAGCTGCCAGCTTCTGTTTGTGGCTGTCAGACCCAGACACATGCCATGACAGAAGAAGAGGATGGGGTAGATGAAGTCCTCTGGGAAATGCTGGCAGGTCTCATGATTGTCCAGAATGTTTTGCTAAACTCTGCGAAGCAGAACAGTAGCTGTCCTTCGTGACAAGCACCATCCAGCCCCCAAATCAGTCAGCAGTGTTAAAAACTAGAAATAATTTGGAGCATCTTCTGTCTTTGGTACCTCTGTATCACCACAGCTACTTCCTTGCTATTCTTTTTGTCTTCACGAAGGAAATTCTTGCCTACTGATTGAAGTTTCTAATTTATCAAGGAGGTGAGGAGGCAAACAACACATCCCAAGCTGACAGGACTGAGAGCACCTACCTGCCTTCCACATCAACTCCTGCAAATCCTGACTTCAAGGAGGAAGACAGGTATGAGGAGGAGTGCTCTGGGAGATCCTACACCCAGTAATGGGCTATGCAGTGGCCAAGGTTACCCTGGGTTCCAGGAGAGCCTGGGACTGGAAAGGTCAGTGATGAGTGAAGGGCACCTTACAGCTCAGGCATTCTCTCAGTGGCACTGTGCAGAATGTCACCTGTGAATCCAGCCCAGTGACAAGCAGCTGGGGTTGGATTTCTGTGCAGAACTGGCCATAATTCATGAAAAACTGTAACTGCAAACACCCCACAAGAGCTCCAGCTCTCATTCTGCGCATCCCAGGGGTTGACAGCGGCTAACACTAATGCAGTGCTGTCATAAGGTAGGGGAGCCACTTCCACAGGGTGCTCAAAAATGAATCTCCAACTTGGACAGCAAAGGCAATAAGAATTACCCCTCACAGAATGCTGACAAACACAGAATCCCAGACTGGTTTGGGTTGGAAGGGATCTTAAACTCATCCAGTTCCAGTGCCCTACCACAGGCAGGGACACCTTCCACTAGAGCAGGGTGCTCCAAGCTCCATCCAACCTGGCCATTGTAAATACTGTAGCCTGTCCACATTAACCTGGGGAACACCACTAGGAATGGTCTCAGTCCAGGAATGTCGGTGTGCTTAAAGCACATGAGAAGTTTTCTCCTGTAAACATCCTGAAAGAAATAAACTGTTTCCCAGATGTAAGAAAACAAATCCCTCTTCTAGTTCCAGTGCCTCCTCCAGGCAGTGGTTATGTTTTGGAAAGCCTGTCCGTTGGTGTGGTGCAGCAGAGGCAGTGACCATGGACTGACCTGCGGGGTAGGCGGTGGGATGCTCTGGGGCAGGGGGTCCCCGACCTTGTGGAGCTGGTTCTGGGGCGCAGCCCGGTGTCCCGGGTAGGGGGGGAGCTCACGGCTGGGGGCTGCAGCTCATCCAGGACCTCAGTTCTAGCTCCAGGGGCTGTGTTAAATAGGAAACAGTTCAAAACACACATGCTGGGAATCATCATAAACGTTAGGCTATCATAACCATAACCACTAAACCCCATGGGAATTACTGCACAATTAAACTGTATTTAAGCTGCATTTAAAACCAAACACACTTTCTACAGCTAACTGCTTTTTTGGTTTGGTTTCTGTTTGTTTTAACCAGATTTCGCAAAAGTTTTGCATTTCACTCTCAAACAACTGCTTCCTGCAGATGGAGAACTCGCCCTTTGTTCTTACTCCAGACTTGGTTTCTCACTAGCCGTTGCTACATCCACACAGAAGATGTCCCAATGGCTGAGATCAGCAAAATACTCTATTTTCGTTAAACTTAGTTCTTCTTGTTTGCTCTAAGTACATGTTACAGTTGAATTACACTGCCCGACTCTAGAGACAGCACAGAAACGAGATAGGGTTTGTTGGGTTTGGTGAAGGTTTGGGAAGGGCAGGGGGTGTTTTGTTTTCATTAAAACAGAAAAACCCCTTCAGAGAAGTCCTTTAACTCACAAAAAACCTCAAAACCAAACCCAAATATTATTTTTATGAAGCTGCCAGGATGCTGTTTTGCAGTGAGGCAGAAGTTCAGCAGGGGTTTCAGGACTCAAGTGTCATAATGAACCGCACCACAGTGGTTCAAAGAATTCCAGACTGGTTTGTGTTGGAGGGGACCTTAAAGCTCATCCAGTTCCCACCTCCTGCCATGGTCAGGGACACCTTCCACTAGAGCAGGTTGCTCCAAGCCCCTGTGTCCAACCTGGCCTTGAACACTGCCAGGGATGGGGCAGCCACAGCTTCTCTGGGCACCCTGTGCCAGCACCTCAGCACCCTCACAGGGAAGAGCTTCTGCCTAAGAGCTCATCTCAATCTCCCCTGTTCTGGCAGGTTAAAGCCATTCCCCTTGGCCTGTCCCAGTGTTAACAGGTGAACAGATTTTGCCACTTCTATGGGTGTGTTTTGGGGTTTGTTTTTAAATGCAATGCATCACTAAAGAGAAATTATGACTAAAACAAAGTACCGAAAGGCTTACCTGTGTAACCTTCTGTACTGTGAGCAATGGTTTCAGCCTGTGTGCTCTTCCTGCCAACTTTGTTCCACTTCTTCACCAAAAACTTTAACCTTGGTAACAAAAGAAATTTGGGCAATCATTAAAAATAAGTCAAAATACACTGAATTTTAATGTTAAACTTTGCTGGCATCAAAATAAGAATCCTTGCAGGAATGGAGGAAACATTGTTCAACTTTGGTCATTAGAGTGAAGGGTCATCCCATTTTACTTTGCAATGCTCCTCTACCTTTTGGAAAGGTTTGCTTGTTTTGGCACTGCTCCTGCACTGTCCCTCATTTCCAGAGTTCTGTGGCAGCTCTTCCTGACTAGGAGAAGTAATTTGGAGGTCAATGTTTCTACATCCTTTGATATCACAATCACAGCATCCATGTAAAAGACAAGAGCTGAAAGACACTCTGTGACATCTGAAAGTCTTAAACTTGGTAGTAATCATTTTTACTGGACAAGGAAATTGCACAGAAGTAACCCACTTACATTTCATAGAATCCCAGCCTGGTTTGAGTTGGAAGGGACCTTAAAGCTCATCCAGTTCCAACGCCCTCTGCCACAGGCAGGGACACCTTCCACCAGAGAAGGTTGCTCCAAGGCCCTGTGTCCAACCTGGCCTTGAACACTGCCAGGGATGGGGCAGCCACAGCTTCTCTGGGCACCCTGTGCCAGTGCCTCAGCACCCTCACAGGGAAGAGCATCTTCCTAAGAGCTCATCTCAATCTCCCCTGTTCTGGCAGGTTAAAGCCATTCCCCCTTGGCCTGTCCCTACAGGCCCTTATCCAAAGCCCCTCTCCAGGTTTTCTGTAGCCCCTTTAGGCACTGGAGCTGCTCTGAGGTCTCCCCTTGAGGAGCCTTCTCTTGTCCAGGCTGAACCAGCCCAGCTCTCTCAGCCTGGCTCCAGAGCAGAGCTGCTCCAGCCCTCACAGCACCTCCATGGCCTCCTCTGGACTCTCTCCACATCCCTCTTGGGCTGTTTCCCCAGAGCTGGATCAGAACTGCAGGGGGGGTCTCCCCAGAGCACAGCAGAGGGGGAGAATCCCCTCCCTGAGCTGCTGCTCATGCTCTGGGGGTGCAGCCCAACACATGGGGGGGTTCTGGGCTCAAGGACACACTGAAGCCAGGTCATGGGAAGCTTCTCATTGACCAACACCCTCAAGTTCATCTCCTCTGGGATGCTCCATCCAGTCTCTCTCAGCCTGTGTTTCACTTGGGATTGCCCCAACTCCAGGGCAGGACCTTGCATTTGGCCTTGTTGAACTTCATGAGGTTCATGTAGTCCCACCTCTCCAGCCTGTCCAGGTCCCTCTGGATGGCATAAAGATGATGGCATTTAAAACTATTCTTTTCGTTAAATGGTCTCAAAACCCATTACGAAATGGCATATTGTCCCAAGTACAGTTAACAAAACCCATCTGATAGTAAGTGACAGAACATGATAGACTCAAACCCCGTTAAACACAGGCTACCAGATTCAAGACGGGAAAAACCATCACTGTTGAGACGATCACATCCTGAAACAAGACAGACTATTCAGTGAGTCCAAATAGATAAGGATCAGACCTGAAAGGAAAACAGTTTGTAATGGATGTGCACTGAATCTCAACTGGATTGCTGCTGGGTATCCCTTAGGACAGAAACAGCTTTGTATCAGTCTATAGTTTAGTACACATCCAAGTTAGCACTGACTTTGCAATAGCAGTTTAGCCAAAGTTATAGCTAACAAGTCATAGAACCATGGAATGTTTTGGCTGGAAGGAACCTTAAAGATATCTAGTTTCAGCCCCCTGCCACAGGTGGGGACCCAGGTCACAAGAATGGGAGTCTTGCATGATATCCCTCCACCAGTTTAAATTAGTTTTGGAGGTAACTTTTGCTTAATAGTAATCTAGGATAAGCCACAGGAACTCTACTTTTTTAAAATTCCCATGAAAATATCACGTAAGAGAGACAGTGTTTTGGCTTTACCTTGATATGGCAATGATTGCCCTGGCTGCACATCTGAACTTGGTAAAAGGACGGGAACGTGATCCAGAAAGCTGCAGGTCTGCAGGCGAGGGGTAGATTCCCATGCGTGCTATTAGGGAGAGGGTGGCTTGTTCACAGTCCTGAAAACCACCGAGAAGCAGCAAAAGGTATTTCTTCTGATAAACCAAAGCCTTTCTAAAGCTCTCTGCTCTGAGGTACTTCCTATATAATCTCTGCAACTGGAGAAAAAGCAAAAACAGGAAACAAAAATAAATCCAATCTGTTAAGATCTGGCTACAGAAAGCTCAGAAAAGTTAGTAGCTTTTCCCAGCAGCATCTCCCACAATACAGGTATCTAAAACCCGTGGCTTTACCAAAATATAGAAAGATAATTTATAATTATCAAGCATGGAAGCAGTGCAAGTTTCTCTCTACTCTGCTCTCATGAGACCTCACGTGGAGTATTGTGTACAGTTCTGGTATCCTCAATATAAAAAGGACATGGAACTGTTGGAACAAGTCCGGAGGAGGCCACAAGGATGATCAGGGGACTGGAGCACCTCCTGTATGAAGACAGGCTGAGAAAGTTGGGGCTGTTCAGCCTGGAGAAGAGAAGGCTGGGTGGAGACCTCATAGCAGCCTTCCAGTATCTGAAAGGGGCCTATAAGGATGCTGGAGAGGGACTCTTCATTAGCGACTGTAGTGACAGGACAAGGGGTGATGGGTTCAAACTTAAACAGGGAAAGTTTAGATTGGATATAAGGAGGAAGTTCTTTACTGTTAGGGTGGTGAGGCACTGGAATGAGCTGCCCAAGGAAGCTGTGAATGCTGGTGGTGTTCAAGACCAGGTTGGACAGAGCCTTGGATGGCATGGTTTAGTGTGAGGTGGCCCTGCCCATGGCAGGGGGGTTGCAACTAGATGATCTTACGGTCCTTTCCAACCCCGACTATTCTATGATTCTCAGTGTAATTCTGAGCAAGTATTTGTGTCACAGCCACCATGGCTCAGCCAGTTTTGGTGCAATGCCATGGTATGACACTCCTGCAGTGGACACCACACATAGAGGCTTGTACTAAGTCTAATGAATTTGTGTATATCTGTGTAGTCTTGGCTAGGCTAGAAAGTTTTGGCCTGGTTACTGCTTGGTGTGCAAAACACCAACCACAACCAAGTTGTCTTCACATAGAACGCTGATATCATGGGCACAAGGGCAGCAGGAAGGATTCTGTATGTAGATAAAAAGCCCCCACGTTTGGAGTGTCAAACTGCCTTAGCTCTCCTGAAGGTTTCAAAGCAACACGGTCATATCTGAAACTCTAAACCAGTGTAACTCTTAACAAAAAAATTAACATCTGCTTTAAATATTAAGCAGAAAACACACTGGGATAAGTGCCCATCAGGCTTGATGATTATCAAATGTGTCACAGGAATAAAAAGTATTTAAGATTGGTGAGGGCAGATTAATAATAACGGATGTTGGATATTTTCATGCTTGGACATTAAGTCTGACTCTCCCTCTCCTTTAAGAGTAGCAATTAGTTCCACAGACCTTGGTTACTTTGGGTGCACGTTCCTGTCTAACACCAAGGAAGTTAAAAAGGAGCTTCTCTGATGAGGTATATAGGGAAAGGTGTTCCTAATTTAATATGCAGTGTGTAAAACTGTTCATCTATAAAGACACCTTTTCAGATAGCAACTGAAGCCTACAGCAAATAAGTGAAACCTAAATGCCATAATCTGACACATATATCTCCAGAAATCCAAGCTGTCCACTTCCTGGCTCCTCTGCAACAGGAAGTTTTATTATCATCTTTATCAAAAGAAATAAAATAGAATTACTAAATTACCTGTCCTACATGTGACATTAATGCCTTAGGCAATGCCTAAAGAACAGTACTACCAAGAACTAAACTCCCCAGAGGTTTTTATGGTAACAGTTCTCACACAGCAAAGCTGTACAATAGGCAAGATGGTGAGAGCAAACCATGCGTCAAAGGTTGAAATGACATGCCAAAGCCTGTGGCACTGCTCACTCCCCAAGCTCCAGACAGCCCCTTTGCTGGCCATCATGAGAATTTTACCTTAGGACTGGAAGTTTCTACCAGTGGTTTATTTGCAGTTCCAGCACTGGCTTTAGCCAGTTCTGATTCAGCCTGTTTCAGAGCTTTCTGCAAAATGTTCCTCTCTTGCTGCCAGGATTCTCTTTCCAGTTCTTGAACAGAGTTGGTATCACACGTAGATCTGATCTAAAAAAAGAAACCCAAAGGAAGTGAGCTGTGATGGGGTTTGCATATTACTCCCACAGCAAACCTCTCAAAGAGAGTAATAAGCTAACTTGATGGACAAAAACTGTGAAGATAACTAGACTGAAAACCAGCAGTGGCATTCAGGCGTTAAATGATAGGCTGGGCAGCTGAAGCACACAAGTAGCCTTTCTTAAGAAGGATCAAAGCAATTGTTAATCAAGCTATCTCTTCACTATCGATCTGAGTGGCTGTACAGGAATCCTATTCCCTTTAGTAGAAGTCTTCTCAACACTTGGAAACTGAGAGAGCTGGGCTTGTTCAGCCCGAAGAAGAGAAGGCTCCTTATGCAGAGACGTCAGAGCAGCTCTAGTGCCTAAAGAGGCTGCAGAAAACCTGGAGAGGGGCTTTGGACAAGGGCCTGTAGGGACAGGACAAGGGGAATGGCTTTAACCTGACAGAACAGGGGAGATGGAGATGGAGATGAGCTTTTAGGCAGAAGCTCTTCCCTGTGAGGGTGCTGAGGCACTGGCACAGGGTGCCCAGAGAAGCTGTGGCTGCCCCATCCCTGGCAGTGTTCAAGGCCAGGTTGGACACAGGGCCTTGGAGCAACCTGCTCTAGTGGAAGGTGCCCCTGCCCGTGGCAGGGGTTGGAACTGGATGAGCTTTAAGGCCCTTTCCAACCCAACCCATTCCATGATTGTATGAAATGCTCTCTACTTCTCAGCATATTTGAGTTGAATGATGCTTCAAGAATCTATCACTACCCTCAGTACCATTTTGAAATTAGGCATTGATTTCTGTCCAAGTTAAACTTTTGTCCTGTACTTATCATCTAATTCACAGATGTTCTATACAATTTCATTTTTTCCACTGAACCTTTTTTATCCTGAAGGATGCATTTCCCTTTGTATGTCCTTCACCGGCATAGCGGCTGTGCCACAGCACACATTGAGATGAGACTGAAGAGTGCTTTGAGAATGAGGGCAGAGATAAGGACTTCAGGTACAAAATACACTTCAGATAGATAAGTATTATTAAAAATAGTTCAAACATGGGAAAAAAAAAAATGTGTATCATACTCAAAGGGAGGTAAGCTGCTCTATATTGGACTCCTCAGCAAGCATCCCAGTGAGGATCATGGTCCCACCATCCTAGGGACCTACAGACCCACAAAAGCTCAGTTTGAAGGTGGTAACAGATACTTGTAATATCTGAAGGAATTCCACATGATTCATCTATGCAGTTGATTCTACTGCACCAGTTGGCTTTTGACTGACCAGTTGACTCCATATTCACCTTGGCAAGGGTTTTCCCTTTTGGCATTTGACACTTTCCCTGTCTAATAGTCCCACACTATCACAACTCAAGGAGGTAACAGCAGTATATTCCTTTGGTCTCCAGAGCATGTTGTTCAGTATCTTAAAGGAAAGAGAAATTCAGGGAGGAAATTGAAGCAAAAGGTGATTCTGGAAAAGAAATCAAAGAAGAGGGCAGAGGGAAGGGAACATTTGTGCCCACAGAAGCATTGATACCAAGATGGGTTTTGCTGCCTAAGCTATACATCTTTAGAGTGCTCCACTAAACTTCTTCTGTGAAACAAAACAAAAGAAATTGGAAAACTTGAGTCCCTTTATTTTAGTGTGGCCATAGTCCCTAGAGGAGCCAATTGCAAAGAGTGGTCCAACAAGAGAAGGAACTGCTATTCTGAATGGCATTCCTGGGCGTAATGTGATGAGAGCCTGGAAAACCTAAATGTTGTGAAAAGCATTTGGAACAGAGTTGGTAATGCAGAAGACCTAACAGTATCAGAGGAAAAACAAACAACTCAAACTATTTTTCTTTACCAGTAGAGTAATAACTTAGAGGGAGCAGAGCCAGAAAAACAGCTCAGGTCTGGAGGGAGTTTTGCTAAGTCCAATTTATACAGAGCCATAAGGTTGTCTCGTCCCCCCCCACAGGCTCTCTGAGCATTTTGTCCACAGCAGAGAGCTCTAAAGCTTTTTGAGAGGAAGGCTTAACCAAAATAACTCCATGGACACTCCCCAGGGAAGAGGTCACATCCCTCTCCTCAAGGCTGGAGATGATCCATTTGGCAACCACCTAAATGGCTGCACAGGTGACATAACAGAAGTATTTATTGTGTTTTGTAAGCAGTTAAGACACAGGCAGAGCTTGCACCCTGCCAAAGCAGCTTGTCATACATCTTGTGTTACAGAGTATGTGACAACCACATGAGTTACAAAAGCCTCTTCCTGTACCAGAGACAGACAGAACTATTTCCCAATGGTGTGATTTCTGGGGATCTGCTATCCAGCAGGTGAATGAATAGAGAGAGGCAGAATCAAACAGGAGCCAGGACCGTTAGGTAGCCCTAAATTCCCAAATTTTGGCTGAAATGTGGTTGGAGATCTCTATTATGAGGGAAAGACATAAATCATAGGGCAAAGTCATCTGGTGAACAAGATGGAATCTAAAATACTGAAGTTTTTATAATGTATTTCGTATCAGTAGACCGGGCCTCACTCTTTGACAACCCCTAGACTAGCATAAAGCATTTGCAATACTGCAGACATCAGTCAGAATAGGCCTCTTGAGATGACAAACCACTCCTGGACTTCCTGAAAAGGAGTTGACAGTTCACTGAAAACCAACTGTCTCTGGATGCATCCAGAAGCAGCAGCCACACATTCCAGGGATTGATACCCTTGGATGTATTATTGTGTGTCTAGGAAGAAAGACACCATTAGAAGCAGGCTTTGCAGTATAACAAAAAGCAACTATATGTTCATATAGTGACAATGTGAGGACATCTTTTTTTCCACCCCCAAGGCAAAAAATTATTTTCCTCAGGATGTTTTACTGAAAAAGAAAGGGAAGGAAGTCAATCAATCAACTGATGTGTATGCTGCAATCCAAAGAATACAGAACTTACTGATGATCAACATAGAGATGCTGTTTTCCTTACCTGAGATGCAGGAGGAGACAATAAATCTGATTTTAGTTCCTTTAATGTCTGCAGTAAAGAGGCTACAGCTTCATCACTTGATATAGGCCAATCATTGATTGTTCTGTCAAACAGAAATACTTTTTCAGTATCAGGGTGATCTGTAGTAATGTGAAAGTATATTTGATTCCTCCTCCCTACTGGATACCCTTGAAGTTTTGAGGCTGTATTTATGTACTCTTCATCACACAAACTACTATGAATGCACACAGAAATGAGCAAGTTTTGTTAATTTTTAAGAGTAGCATTTCTAATTACTGCTGCACAGGATTTATTCAGAAGGCTGTACTTTACACCAGTCTGAAATTCTACCATGCAAATTCAGGCTGCAGCAAAACACCACCAGTATCTTACTCTGCTCCCAAAGAAATAAGAAATTAAATGCTACTTGGCCATTCATTCCTGACCCTTTGTTTTTCCCTGCCATGCTCAATGGAGTTTCCCATTCTACCCATGCAGATGTGTTGATGAGCCTGCTGTCTTGATTGCTCTCTAATCACACTGCTGCAGCTGCCAAACTACCAACCAACTCTTTCCAGTAGGTGTTAAGCAGGGTTGCTTCAAAGATCTAGTTCAGGCACAGGCACACAAGATTCTAAGGGGAATGGCTGCAGTGGATGGCGATAACCAGTCTGCTACCACCGCAAAAGCATGGTCTCACACAAGGCTGAGTCTTGGAAGCAAAAACACTGCTCGCTCTCTTCAGCACAGGGCTCTCAGCCATGACCCACACAAGTTCATAAGCAAAGTGGAAAGCAAATGCCTATTTTATTAACTACTCACTTATCAACGGTTTTATCTATGAACTCGTTCAGGTGCACAGCTACAGAAAGCAGCTGCTGCCTTATCTTCTCTAGCTGTTGCTGCTGCTGTTGCAAATGTGGTTTCTCAGTTTCTTTTGTCATGGCCTGTTTCACGTTTCGATCTTTCTTTGAGGTACACGACAGTTCTTGCTGATGGCTGAGTGACAGATGACTGCGTTCTTCTAATATTGCCAGTGCTCCCTGCAGTTCCTTAATTCTTTGTTCATCCCTCTGATGTTGCTGTTCCAAGTTCTGCTGTTAGAACAGAATAAGGAGTAGGCAATTGCACCATATGCATACACACACATATGCAAATATATATATGTATATGAGTGGGTTTTGGTTTTGTTTTGATATACACACACACAGACGGCAAGTAAAAGCATCCCACCTAACTATCTGTATCCAGCGTATCCATCCCAGTGCTCCTTAACTCACAGACCACTCTTAGGGGAAGGGCCACCAGGAAGCCATTCAATGACTCTGGAATAGGCATTTTTCTCCATCCATTTTCAGATGTGGTGACTGAGAAGCCTCCAGAGAGCCTGCAAAGCCCCCCTCCTTCCCTAACGAAAGCCAAGGAGTTGAGAAACAAGAAGGGCAAAATCCAGACTGCTGCAAACCATAATTAGGAGCCTAGCTGAAAATAAGGGTAATGACATGAAATCTAATTCAGTGCCATTCTGTGTTTAAGCCATATCCTTCTTCATCTGTTAACAACTGTCAATTCCAAGCATAGGCTAAGATGTAAAGATCAGCTTCTGTCAACAGCAAACCCAGATACAACTCCCTGAAAACAGCTGTATTTGAGCTCTTTTCCTGCATTTCTCATCTAATGTGTTTTTCAGAAAGCTTTGTTTCAAGGGAAGGAAACATTTCCATTAAAAAACACCACCCACAGCGTTAAATCCCAGTTTGTGGCTATTTCAGTGTAAGGCAAAGCTTGCAGAGCTTTCTCACCAGTCTCTCTTGATCTCTTTGCCAGCTCTTCTGCTTCTCTACCTCTGTGTGTTGCTGCTGTCTCCTTTCTCTGTCTCTCTCCTCTTTCTTGTTTTTATCTTGCTCTTTCATGGCCTTGTAGAGCAACTGCAGTTGTTCCCAGTCAGCTTTCAGCTTTGCCTCCCTCTCCTTCTGGGCCTCTAAGGACCGGATTACCTCTTGCTTTTGAGCCTGGAGAGATTCCAGCATAGCTCGTAACTTGTCATTGACTTCTCTCTCCTTCTGGGTTTCTTCACAGCACATCTGTACCTCAGCCTCCAGCTGCCTTTTGGAACGAATGGCCTTCTGGTGCATCTTCTCAATAATAGCAGCTAGCTCCATGCTTCGGGACCTTTCTTCTTCCAGCTGGGCTTGGAGCTCTCGAACAAAGGCTTGCTCCAGCAGTGACTCCCTGTACTGACAAGAAGCACCTTCCTTCACTCTCACGCTCAACTGTTCTGTCAAAACACGTTCGTGATTCAAGGAATTCAGGAGCTCCAAAGAGCGGTTTTTCTCAGCATCCAGATTTTTCTGGAGCTCTGACAGCTTGGCCTGTTCCTGGGCCAGCAATGCTTCACAGCGGGAGTGCTCAATCTGAAGTTCCTTGCGGAGATTATCACTGACTGCTTGCTCGTGCTCCAAGGAAACCGCCAGCTGGCTCTTCTGCATCAACTGCAGCTCCAAGGCAGCCTGCAGCTCCTGTTCAAAGGGGGAAGCACAGACAGTGTGGGGCTGGCTGGCATTCGGCAATTTCCAGCTTCCTGTTTTATCCAGGAAGACTGAACTAAAGTAGTTCAGGTATAAAACCCCAATTAATTTAAAATGGCAAGTTTAAGTTTCTAATTACAAGTGCCAGAAGCATGGGGAGACCTTAGAGCAGCTCCCAGTGCCTAAAGGAACCGACATGCAACCTGGAGAGGGACTTTGGGCAAGGGCCTGTAGGGACAGGCCAAGGGAAATGGCTTTGACCTGCCAGAACAGGGGAGATTGAGATGAGCTCTTAGGCAGAAGCTCTTCCCTGTGAGGGTGCTGAGGCGCTGGCACAGGATGCCCAGAGAAGCTGTGGCTGCCCCATCCCTGGCAGTGTTCAAGGCCAGGTTGGACACAGGGGCTTGGAGCAACCTGCTCTAGTGGAAGGTGTCCTTGCCTGTGGCAGGAGGTGGGAACTGGATGAGCTTTAAGGTCCCTTCCAGCCTTACCCAGGCTGGGATTCAATGACACCAAGTAACAAAACCAAATACGTAATGTTAAAATATCATCTTCAACTAGCAAGACCTTCAATTAGTGAGGAATCACTCAATCCCCTTAAGTTACATCTGAAGCAGAAATAACCCATGTTGATTTAAAAAGACTGAAAAATCTAAGCAGTAAGAGTAGCTGTAAAACCTCTGGATTTTACAGCCCATCTGCTTAAAGCACACAGTACAGACAGATAAAAATAATCCATCCCCAGACCCATTTTGGGAACCAGCCTTTCTTCAGAAGGAAAAGCAGCAATGAAGGGGCAGTCCCAGGGTGTTTGCAGACAGTCAGAGCTGACCTGTCTTCTCATCTGGTAGAAAGCCAGGTCAGATTCTAAGTGGCATTAGCTTTTTATAGGCATGCTAGAAGGGATGATTTGGGAATGCAAGACTGCAGAGATGTGAACTGGGAATCTGTTGCACAGCTATACCTAGGGCAATGCACTTTCTCTTTGCCTTGACTAAAATGGGCCCCGCCTCCCCTGCATGAGCTTCACTTTTAAAAGCTGGAGGACGTTAGTGCCATGTGCTACCATGTAAGTAGTAACAAAAATCCCAACAAAACCCACCCACAAACCTAAACACCTATAAGAAAGATGATGTGAGAGGCCAAACTACAAGGAATAGAGGCAGAATTGTGTTTCCTCACCTAAGGCATCAAACTAGGATTGTTTTGGAGTTGGGGTTTGTTGTTTAAGTTTAAAAAAAGGCTTATGTTAAAACTTTTTCCTTTTCCAGTCACTGTAGGCCTTTTACAAGCACCAAGTCACTGTTATCACAGTATCAGAGAGAAAGCTCTTTATCTATTTTCTGTTCAGTTTAGAAGAAAGGGAACAAAAAGACTTTGGTTAACCTCCAAAAATACATGTTATATTGGAAAGGCTCCAGTTCTCTCTGCCAAGCACATGTACCACTGGATGGTTTCTTTTATAATCTCAGTTGATCATACACATCCCATCCATATAGCACATTTGCTCTGCAATCAAGGGTGCAGTAACACAGTTGGAGAATCTGGCTCTCCCTACACAGCAAGGGGCAGTCCTGGTGAAATGTGAAAGCGTTAAGGCTCTGGAAATACTAAGATACAAAGAGAGGAAAGAAAAGGCACAACGCTTCTTATTTCTGTATGTGCAGTTAGGAGAGGCAACTGAAAGCATTAATTCTGTGAAAAGAAAATAAACCTATGCATATTCACTAGAATGTTTTTTATAATACTTACTAAACAAAAACCATCTGATGCAAAAAGACTGCAAAATAACCTGTTAGTTATGTTAGATAGTTAACTTCATGCACCAAGGGAGGTGACGTGAGGCACTGAGATGTAGGGCATTACCTCCAAGGCCTTTGTCTTTTCATATTCTGTTTTCTTACGCTGAAGCTGCTGTTCCTCAAATAGATCTTGTAGCTCAGTTTGCTTCAGATGCTCAGCCTTCAAATCTTCAAGTGCAGTTGTCAAAGCCTTTTCTTTTTTATCCAACTCAGACCTGCAAAGTTCAAAACGTCACTTCTGTGTTTAGAACAGGACATCCTCTTCCAACAACGCCAGCAAGGTATTCTGGGTTACTTTTTGTGAGCTGGTCTACTGATTTGTTCCCTAAAGCATCTGCTCTTTCTACAGAGAGCAGGTTTTCAAGTCACAGCTATTTAGCAACTGAAAACATTTACCTTCCTGCAAGCAAAGCTGGGATTTCACTATTTAGTAACAATAAAGAGAAGTTACCTACACTGGCAGAGCAAAACTTGTCCCGTGAAAGAAAAACACCGGGAGTGTGCTAGGTGGGGAAGCATACGCAAGATGACAGACAAACAGAAGTACCAACCAAAAGACTCAGACAAAAGCAGCAGGAGTAGGCTACATCAGGGATGCAGGGGTCTAGGCCATTACCGAAGAAAAATTAACACAGCCATGAGAAGTGAGAGGTTCGTTTTCCTCCTCGTGTTTCCAAGTGCTACACCAGTTGTGGATCCTCACTGGATACATACAGTATATAAAGTTCTTTCAGACCTGCTGATGAGTAGAATAAGTGACTAAATTTACTTCTCACCGTAACTGGCTCAATTCCCTCTGAAGCTCTTCTAGGGATTTCTGCAGCCTTTCATTCTCTTGTTTACTTTCAGAAAGCTCTGATTTCAGGGCTGCTTTTTCTTGATTCAACAGATCACACGTTTCAGAGGCTTTCTTCTGCTCCTCAGACAGGGTGCTGTGCAAGTCACTTACAATAGATTTTTCCTCCTGAAGCTTATATTCTAATAATTCAACTAGGATAAGGAAATGTTATTTGTATTACAGAGAACTTGACAATATGTTATCACTTACCCCGAGCTACTGGGATATATTGTAAGTAACTTGTTGCTAATGGACTCTAACCCTCATTAAGCAAATGCATCCATTTACTGGCAAACATATATATATTCATATAAAAGAGAATTATTTTACTGTTCTTGCTTGCGTTTCTACATGTATACACTATTTAAGAGTCACCCTCCAGTTCTGTTGCTTTATTTTAAAGCTTCTCTTTGCTTCATCTGCTAAAATCATAGCAACCTGAGTGCATTAGTAAAACTGAAGAACTCTACAGCATAAGAAAGACATGGAGCTGTTGGAGCAAGTCCAGAGAACGCCACAAGGATGAGCAGGGGCTGGAGCAGCTCCCATATGAAGACAGGCTGGGAAAGTCAGGGCTGTTCAGCCTGGAGAAGAGAAGGCTGCGTGGAGACCTCAGAGCAGCTTCCAGTGTCTGAAGGGGGCTGCAAGGATGCTGGAGAGGGACTCTTCATCAGGGACTGCTGTAGCAATAGGACAAGGGATGATGGGTTCAAACTGAAATAGGGGAAGTTCAGGTTGGATATAAGGAAGCTCTTTACTGTGAGGGTGCTGAGGCGCTGGCACAGGGTGCCCAGAGAAGCTGTGGCTGCCCCATCCCTGGCAGTGTTCAAGGCCAGGTTGGACACAGGGGCTTGGAACAACCTGCTCTAGTGGAAGGTGTCCCTGCCTGTGGCAGGGGGTTGGAGCTAGATGAGCTTTAAAATCCTTTCCAACCCAAACCATTCTATGACATGCTTTCTTTGCAGAACAATCTTTTTTTACCTTTCATCTTCCAGGCAAAAAAAGGAAAGAGCTGGCATGGAAGACCAGATAACAAGGACTTGGGGGATGATTACCTTTCCTCCGAAGGTGATGTTCTCGTTTGCTCCCAATTTCTTCTGCATTGGTAAGGGTTTCCTGTAACTGCTGTAGCTTCTCTTGGTTCTGAAGATGCGTCATACGTAGCTGTGCTCGGAGATCCTGTATTTCAGAGAGCAAGCTATTCCGGTCTGAGGAGAAAAGGTGCTCTACGACCATCTGCCTCTGTTCCTCCTGAAAACAAACCAAATCCCATTAAATCCACAAGGCTATTACCATATTTCCTAAAAATATGAACCCTACAGACACCCTTGCAGTATAAGGCACTTCAAATAACTAAGTTCATGATTCATATTAATGCAAAATGTTAACAGTAACAAAGAAAAAACCCACTTCACTAGCTTCCAAATAGAATGATAGTTATTAATAATGGTTGATACATAGTTATTACTACAGACCATTTGGTCATTACCTAAAACCTAAGTATTAATTACTGCAGCAAAAATTTCCTGATTCAGAGTTAGCTTAATATCTACTACTATTCAAGAGAGGTCTGTGGAGCTCCAGATAGAATTCTAGATAGAATTTAGAAGCATAACACTTGAAGAGGTTTTCTTACCTGCTGTTTCATGATGTACTCCAGTTTTTCTACTAATGAACCATTCCCATCAGCCCCAGGATTGGAGAAGTGAGACTTCAAGTCAATTTGCAACACAGTTCTCTCCTTCTCAAACACAGTCTGTACTGCTTGCAGAAGTTCTCCTCTCCAGTCAGCAGCAATACCTGAAAATTCCTGTTAAAAATATATATATTTTAAATGTCATCTTTCTCAATGTGTAACCTACTGCCTTTCGTCTCATTCCTGTGTAAGAGTATATCAACCTGTTAATTTAAGCAGGTGCTTAAAAAAGACTGTTCCAACCTCAGAAAGAGTCCCTTGCTCCTCATACAACACACACACACTAACTACATAACAATGTGTATTTCTATAGATGTAAAAGACTGGTTACCTTCACAGAATCACAGAATGGTTGAGGTTGGAAGGGACCACTGGAGGTCATCTAGTCCTCTCTGCTCATGCAGCATTGCTCAAAGCACATCACTCAGGCTTGTCTCCTCATTGCTCCTGAGTAGCTCCCAGGATGGAGACTCCACAATCTCTCTGGGGAACCCACTCAGATGCTCAGTCACCCTCAGAGTAAAGAAGTTCTTCCTCATGTTTTAGTTGAACAGCCTGTGTTTTAGTTTTATGCCTCTTGTCCTATTGCCTGGCACCACCAAGAAGAGTCTGGCCTCATGCTCTGGACACCCTCCCTTCGCATACTTACCATAGGATGGTTTGTGTTGGAAGGGACCTTAAAGCTCATCCAGTTCCAACGCCCCTGCCATGGGCAGGGACACCTTCCACTAGAGCAGGGTGCTCCAAGCCCCTGTGTCCAACCTGGCCTTGAACACTGCCAGGGATGGGGCAGCCACAGCTTCTCTGGGCACCCTGTGCCAGCACCTCAGCACCCTCACAGGGAAGAGCTTCTGCCTAAGAGCTCATCTCAATCTCCCCTGTTCTGGCAGGTTAAAGCCATTCCCCTTGTCCTGTCCCTACAGGCCCTTGTCCAAAGCCCCTCTCCAGGTTTCCTGCAGCCTCTTTAGGCAGTGGAGCTGTTCTAACATCTCCCTTTAAGGAGCCTTCTCTTCTCCAGGCTGAACCAGCCCAGCTCTCTCAGTCTGGTTCCAGAGCAGAGCTGCTCCAGCCCTCCCAGCATCTGTGTGGCCTCCTCTGGAGTCTCCAACAGCTCCACTTATACATCTATCAGGCACCCCCTGAGCCTGCCCTTCTCTGTGCTGAACAGGCCCAGCTCCTCCAGCCTTTCCTCATATGCTTGCTTTAAAGGATATTTTTAGTGTCATACCTTGTCTCCTCTATCTGCCACCTTGCCAAGGTAATCTTTCAGCGACTGTATAGCATCCAGCAGAGCTAAGCCCTCCTTCTGACATCCCTCCATTGCTGCTCGGGTCTGATGGACATTTTTCAGCTCCCTTAAATCAAAGGGACATTCTGACAAAGCCAGGATTTTGCGGCTCTCCTCATACACCATCTTCAGCACAGTCTGAGAAGAGAAAAAGGCATAATGTTAGGAGAAAGGCATCAGCATCCTGGTAGTGTAAGAGCAAGATGGGAGAGCACTAGACAAGAAAAATAAGGTTGCTGTCTGATATCTGTGATACAGATATAAGCACACAGGTCTGCTCTTCTACTTGGTATGCTGAATAAAATCAATATCCATACCCAAACACACATGCAGTGAGCCAAATTACCAGAGAATTTTTATCTCCCCACAACTAAGGACAATATTCAAGAGTACAGTGGCCTGTTAAATAGTATATTCACAACGTTAAAGCACAAATGGAAGCCTCAGCCAGAGTATCTTATTGCCGTGCACATCCACACACTTACGTGTAATTAAGGCAAAGGACTGTGCTTTACCTCTGTTGTTTCTGAACTCTTTACCTAACTTTCCTAGGAATAAATCAAATTCTATGAAGTCTGAAGCCAGGTTACTAAACCCCAGCTATGCCAGAAAAATAAATTATGTATTCAGACAACTTTGGCTTAATTTAGCAGCTTACGTACAAATAACATCTCCCAAAATAATCAGTCTTAATAAGTTACACAGTGGAAATTGTTTCCTCTGCCACTGTCAGGAAAAATAATCTCTTAAATAAATTCCCTGTTCACAAACTATTACATCATGCACAGATGTTTCCTGGTCTCTTTTCAAGGAAGGTCATCGGAGATTTAAGTCCTTTTCTACACACAGCTCATCAGAAATATCCCAGCTTGATGTGGAGCTGTTCCTTGTTGCCACTCACTTTAACAGCAGCAACAACACAGAGTACTTCTCTTAAACTCTTGATATTCTTTCTTTGCACTTTTTGAATAACTTAACTCTTGAACCAACTTGAGTTGCTTTCCTGTCACTTGAGTCAAAACAGTGATCACTTCAAGAACCAAAGCCAAACGATGAAAAGCTTAACAAACATGAACAACAGAAGCACAGTAAATTGTTCAAACTAAACATTCACTAGTGGAATTTGCATTCAGATCTTACAGCCAGTAAAGATTAGATTGACAATTCACAGAAGAAACTGCTTCCTAAGATAGAATAAAATTCGCCTCTTCTACAAAATCTATGAAACTATGCGCTTGAGAATTATTACTTTTTACATACAGGGTCTAGATACAGAATGGTTTGGGTTGGAAATGACCTTTAAAGATCACCTAGTCCGACCCCTGCCACATAGGGTTATCTTTTATCAGACCAGGTTGCTTAAAGCCTCATCCACAGCTTCACTGGGCAACCTGTTCCAGCCTCCTTTGAGGCATTTCATAGGTGTTTCCCTGTTGTTCCTAATACATCAGCTGCTCCTGGCTTTTCTTTGTTGCCCAAAACCCTACCCCTTTCTTTTGCTTAGTCTAATTTAAAGCTCTCCTTATAGGTTTGGCCAGCTTATTGGTGAAGACACTCTTGTCCTACTTGGTCAGGTGAATCCCATCTGCTCCCAGCAGACCTCTCCATGATCACAGAAATCAAAACCCTAAGTATAGGTTACACTAGCTACACAGCTAGGTATTTTCCTGTTTGTGTCCTCCATCCTGGACACCTTCCTCTGACTGGGAGGATAGAGGAGAATACCATTCGTGCTCCCAGTCCTTTTAACATTCATCTGAGGGACAGAGAGTCTCTTTGGATGGTTCCAAATTGCCTTGTTACAGTATTGTTATTGTAAATAGTTATGGTATTACTGCTCCTACATGGAGCAGTAAGAGCAGATGGTTATCTGCAAGGTTCACTAGGCTTGGCAGTCTTGCAGTGATGCCACAAATTCAAGCTCGCACAGGCAGCAAACATCTCAAGAGGAATTGTCTGGATGGCAAATGCTGATGCTTCAGTGCCCCTCAGTAAGGAATCTTTGATTACTAATACTTTACAAGCTTATCTGGTAGCACCATTTCTAAAGGTGGTTGCACCACCTTTGCATGGTTGGCTTCCTTCGTCATGTCAGTTACTCAATGTGCTTTTCATTCTCCAGTGCCAGAGCATCATGCCTGTTTTGAAGAGACACTTCAGGGGATGCGGGAAAGCTCTTCCTTCTGCCTCAAGCCAAGATAAAGGTGCATCTTGAGTTAATTGTGCCAGCCAGTGTAAGTCTGAATTCAGACTTCACATCCCCTTTTACAGCCTTACTTCATTGCACAGATCTTCCTCCATTTTGCTGAATAAACTGAAGGAATCTGCTAAACATTTGAGGAGGCAGCATTCACTTGCTAGGAAGTGTATTTCTTCTGGTTTCTTTTTATTTAAGAGCTCCCTTTAGCCTGCTGTACTTACCCACATACTTCTCACCAGCTTCACAGATGACGTGATTTGGAGCACTGAATTTCTCCCCTTCACAAGCTGGGATTCCTCTAATGGGTGAGAGCTTGTTCAGCTACAGCATCAAACCAAAGAGGCCCAGGCATATACTTTCTTTAACTTGTCTTATTAAGTAATCACTGCTTAGTCTTCTGTATATTCATCATACTCCTTGAACTGACTTTGAAAGATTCCTCCACACCTTGTAGTGGTGTTCCCACAGCTCTCCATCATATCAGAATGACAAGAATAGGCAGGGGAGCATGATGTCAGCCAGCTACGCTTGCTTGGGAAACAGCTTTCTGTAAAGCTTCCAAGACAAAGCCATAAATCAGATCAATTAGTCCTTGTACTGTCACATTCTGGAACACCACTAGTGCTGTCCTAGCAAAATCTTCAATTCTAGCAAGTACAAGCAAGACAAATTTCAGGAAATTTGTCACATGAGCGATGAAATAATTACTCAAGAACCATCATCAGCTTGAATTTCAAACCATTACAGAACAGTTTCCAGTGTAAAGGTCACAGCTAACTACTTGATACTAACATTTCACTTCTGCTGTTTCAGTTTTAAATTGTTTCTATTAACCATGTATTACCTTCAGCTGTGGTGAAAGTATTTCCTTTTCTCTCACTGATTCCATAAAATCTGGAAACATTCCACGGTACTGCAGATAAGCCATGAAACTAGCATCCAGGTGCTCTGATGTCTGTAGCTCCTGCTTTAGTTTAGCTGCAAAATTCGAGCTGGTATCTGAAGAAAGAGACAGCCCCCCCAACAGTGTTACAAAGATTAAAGCACTTGAAATCAGCATAACCATTTGCAAAATAACCATGATTTCTCCTGTTACTTTGAATGCAGGGTCAGTTGAAGTTATTGAGTGAGATCTCTATTAACTACAAGTAAAAAGGTTGCAAGTTGCCTTTAGCATCAGAGAAAGTATCGTAGTTAAGTCAGGTCTCACCAAAACCCCCATGCCTCCTTTTCAGTATGTAAAGTTGAAAAGGTAAAAGCAGACTTCCACTAGCACAAATATAGCACAAGTCTCCCTAAACAAAGATCCACCTGACAAAGGCACAGCTTTCAAATAAAAAGACCTACAGTAAAAGAAAATGGGAGAAAAAGGAAATGTAACATCTTTATAATGAAGTTGAAGGTGAAAGGAATCTCCAAAGTTAAACTTACTGCTGCCATATCCATCACTCATCTCATCTACAGCAGATGCTCTTGATCTTACATCATCTTGTAAATCCGAAGGGGTTAAAGTTAGATTATCAGCTTCTCTCCTCTGCTTGGAAAGAAATTTTTCAGATGAGTTTAGTTTTCAGAATCCAGCTGTAGAGTTTTCTGCATTTTATAACAGCTTTGTTACTAGTGCAGAGTTTAGCAAATGCCTACATCTCTAGTGCTGGAGATGGCAAATCCCACAGTGAATGCAACACTGGAAGGCATTCCATCACATTTTTATCTCCCTTTCAATAGTCTGTTAAGAAAGGGACATGTATTTATCATTAACTGCCTTCAAAAGCAAGGCACAATAATATACAACTGAAGATTCATTTTCTGAAGTACAGACTTCATCTTCCTGTGAAATGATACAGACCCAATATATAAAATACTGCCACTAAAAAGAAAAACCTATATTCTTCAATTTTGACTCAGTCTCTACTAACACTCAATGACAGATAGCTGTGAGCAGAGAGCTTTGATGGTAAATTAAGTACTGTGGAAGTAAAACATTTTTGCATGTTTTAAGTCAATTACTTGCACATGAAGCATTATCACTAAATTTATCACTCCCTTCCTGCTTGTGTCACTGCAAAAGTACCTGGATTTGAAGAGTCTTTTGAGAGCATGAGAGTAATACCCAGATTTTTACTGACGCCACATCAGCAGTGTGGAGACACACAGGACACAAAGCCAGCTGTAAACAGCTTATTGTTCAATTTTAGGATTATCAGAAGCAGTGGTAAATAGGGTTTTAATACAGGCCAGAACCTTACACACCTCTCTTCCTGTGTAAGGCTCTACTACTTGAGCCAATGGCCCAACAATGATCCGAGGGGACTGAGCTGAGCAGCCTTATTTAATTAGAATTAAATCAGACATGAAACATCACTTACCAAGATCTTCTTCTCCATATCTTGGTCGTCATCAACAGAGTAGGTACTTTCAGAGAAAGCAGGAGATTTTCTATCTACTCCCACTGCTGCTTCGTCACTGCTGTTTTCATACGGGTTAGGATATCCCAGCAATCCAGAATTATCTTCCTGTATGGATGACCTGGTGTGCATCATCTCAAGATCTGTGCTTTCTACTTCCGAAAAGGGTGTCAGCACAGGTTGAACTTCCATGCTCATGTCTTGCTTTCTCATAATCTCTGGTGACCCCCATGAAGCCATACCTGCACTGAAATCCTGGAAATCCGGCAAATTGACTTTGCCTATGTTCAAGTTGTGCTTTGGAGCATCAGGAGTTTGATGACTTTCCAACATTTGCTGGCTATGCTTTTTCAAATCTTGCTTCTCTTCAGAGTTGTTGATCGCATTTGATTCCTGAATCAAGGTCTTTTCTTGTGATTGCTTTATTGGAGTTTTTGGATTTAGATTGTGAGTCTTCGAGTCAAACACAACTTCATCTTTGTCCTACAATGAAATAACACATTAATTGTGTAAGAGAATTTAAATACTACTTCAAAAACTGAAAAACATTAACTTCAAAAGTTCTTTTCTAATTTAGTAGTTGTATCTATTATTATGTAAAAATTATCAGATGCTTTAGTATATTTTATATGCCAGCTAACCAGGCTTTTTAACAAACGTATCATCAATAGCAGAGAAATAACACCCACAACTGTACAATAAGCCAATGTCTTTCTGCAGAGCTGACTTTTGAATCAAGCAGGAAAGAAAGGGTATTATTCCTTACCAGTGTAGACAATCTTCTTATGTTCAAACAGACGTCAAAAACCATTGCTTTACTAACTGGACAAATCTACCTAACTATCCTAAGGCTTAATTCCTGACCCAGGGCACCAGGAAAAAACGGTTAAGAAGTCTACAGATGATTCCTATGCCTGCCATTTCAGTGCAGGAGAAACTGTCGACCATCTACTTCTAGTCATTGCAAGGAAGAAAAACATAGAATCACAGACTGGTTTGGGTTTGAAGGGACCTTAAGATCACCCAGTTCCACCCTCCCTGCCACAGGCAGGGACAACTCACACTAGACCATGTCACCCAAGGCACTGTCCAACCTGGCCTTGAACACTTCCCTACTTGATGTGATCCTTGCACATAACTGGCTATTTTCCAGCCTGAAGGCTTGAGTACCTGAATGGGCACAGAACCTTTCAATCCTCTTTCCTATATTGTGAGACATAGTTACTGACCAGGCCAAGGCTAGACTTCCAACTTCAAACTACAGAGACATCCCTGCCTACCTTCCTACAAGGACTCTCGTTCCAAACTCCCTTACCTCCTCCCCTGCAGCATGGCTACCTGCCCTAGCACGGTCTCTTCAACAGGCTGTTTCTCATGCTTCTTTTCCCTCACTCCTCACTGACTGTGCAGCATTTTACCCATGATTTCCTAAATACGTTTTTGCAGCAGTGCCACACACATGGCTGATGGGCTCAGCTATGGCCTGTGGTGGAACCAGCTCTGCCCAGCATGGAGCAACCCTGGCCTTTTCTCAGGGAGGCCACCCTGCAGCTCTCGCACTGCCAACACCCAACACACACCTTAGGATCCATGCCCCAAACCATACCCAGCTCAGAAAAACTGACGGGATTAGGTTTCCATGTATGCTGAGCCTGTTCTTAGCTCTTCCAGGCATCTACCTCTAGCCACTGCTGGAGAAACTATGAACAGACCCTCAACTGAGACACCACAGCCACTTTTATGCCACAGTTTTCATCTTACCCTTTCTTACAGCACTGAAAAGGATAAACTAAAGGGCTTTATGTTTTAAAAAAAATAATACTATTAAAACCAAATCACATACCTGTTTATCACTGGGGGAAGCCAGTACTGCAAGTGGCTGATCAACATTTGCCTCTAGTTCTTCCAGTTCCTCCATTCCTCTTTTAAGGGCTATGCCTTTTCTTTCTCTCTCACAGAGGGTCTTGGGAAGGCGAGTCTCCTCATGATCATGTTGCTCCCTTGGCTTGTACAACTCCAACTGTGAAATCAGCTCACCTCTTTCCAGCTGTAAGGCTTCAAGCTCCTTCACATACGCCTTGATCTGATCTTTCAGTTTTGCAGTGCTACCTTGCAGGTCATTGATTTCTCTCTGATAAACTATTTCTTTCTGATTCAGTGCTTGCACCTGGGAATCAAGTCTAGAAACTTCTAATTGAAGACTATAAACATCTTGAGCCTGACTTGCATCTCTCTTTTCCAGCTCGGTTTGAAGCTCTGCTGCCTTTTCGGTTAAGTATTGCAACTCAGTTGTGTCAGCTTCTCGTTCATCTGCCATTCTCTTCATCTGCCTATTCTTCTCTAGAATATTTGCTTCCCTTTCTCTCACAATATCTTCAAGTTCTTGAAGGCGAGAAGAAGTTGCCCTGGCTTCAGCCTCTCTCTGAGAAAAATGGGTTTGGAAAAGGCTATGCTCTTCCTGAAGCGCATTGTACTGTGCTCTCAGAGAGGTCAGCTCTGCAACATGCTGCTCTGATGACTCCTGTAATTTCTGGCATTTTTTCTCCAGAATTTTCACTTCCAGTTTGAACTGTGATTCCTTCTCTTCCAGTTGGTGCTGCAGAGCGTCTCTAGCAGCTGAGATAAGCTCTGCCTCCTCCTGAAGTTCTCTCACTTTGGAGAGTAGCAATATGTTTCTTCTGCTTGGATCAATATCACCCTGCCAGTCCAATAGCCCCTTCTCCAACTCATTCTGAAGGTTTTCCACTGGCTTTCCCAATGCAAGTTGATAGAGATCATATTGGTTGTCACTAACTTCATGACATACTGGTCCAATTTGTGCCAGCTCTTTCTGAAGCTTCTCAATTACTCCATGGAGTTGCTCTACCTCTTCTTCTTTGTCCTTACGCAGCCTTTCCTGGTCACTGCGAAGGTGCTCGACAAGTGATCTGAGTTCTTCAATTTCACCTTTTTGGTCTTCCACAACCTGAGCAAAAGGATAAAGTCTGAATATTACTGTATGTAGGCAGAATGACTACTGCACATAGACTTTAAATGACATTTTCCTCCTGAATCAGACAGGAGGAAAGAACTGCACACTTCAGCTAATAGCTACTCAGAACAGATTTAATTTACAGTAAGATTCTTTCTTCCCCCAAAATCAAGCAACGAACATAAGAATAAGTACTTTCACTTTATCCTCCAGAGTATTCTCTAGCTCGTGCTGCAGCCTCCTCATTTGTTCATTCAAGTGATCGATTTCTTGATTCTTTTCTTCAAGTAGTGCTTGTGGGAATGACAAAGTTGAGGACTCACTAATACCCAGATCCTGATTTTGCTTCACATGAAGTTTTGTTAAATCCTCCTGATCAGAAAAACACAGCAATCTCATTAGAAAGGACTTACTTTCTCTGCCAACCTAACAGCAGAATAGAACTAATGGCTTTATTTAAACAATCCCTTACTATAAGGTTAAAGAAGTCAAGAACACAACTACAGCTACTTTGGTTGAATTTGTACTACTGGATTAGATTGCCACAATATTTCTCAACTGCTAAGGTAAGAGAGGAACACTCTAGCTGCCAGACTGACAACCACCCAATTTTCTAACTTGTCAGGGTCAGAAAAATGCTAAGTGTTTTTAATTACATCCAATGACTGTAGAAGATAATGCCATAAGCATGAATCTAGAGCATTGTGGGGGTGTTCTACAATATCCAACATTAGCCTTGTAACAGTAATGCAATATTCCCTTGACAAGAGAAGCAAACTAAGTATCTGTTTATAACACCAGAAGATGAAGCCCACAGCACTCAAGAAAGCAGGCTCTGAAGTTTGAGCTGATGGACACTACAGCTAAGGAAACCTACCTTCAAGTGTGCATTCTCTGACTGAAGCTGGCTGATGCTGGAAGTGCTAAGCTTTTCTTGCATCTCTAACTGCAAGTTCAGCTGCAGTATCTCCTCGTTTTTACTGATCAAATTCTCTTTATATTGTTCTAGTTGGTCTAACAAGCTTGCAATCTGAAAGAAAGAAGAAAATGCATAGTTGTTTCAATGAAGTTCTGATCTAAGCAGAAAAGAGAAAACTTCATTCACCACCTTATTTACTGAGAACAAGTATCTTCAGCAAATTCTAAGATTTAAACTCTTTCTAATCAATGTGCATGAATAGAATACTTGAGACATAAAAAGAAAGTGAGAAGCTGATGTTCCAGCTCCTCAGCTGCAAAATCAAAGTGCTGCAAAGGTGGGTTTCCATTTCCTTTTGAAAAAAAAAACTAACTGCTCATGAAAGATTTGTTACTCTGTGTTCTGAACATTCAAAGCTTGACTGATGTAAGTTGACACAGCAGGAGACATGTTAGCATTTGATGTCTAATGTAATCATAACCAGTTAACATAAACACCATTCTCCTCCTTCTAGAGGACAGAAATTAACACTGTAGTGCTAATCCCAGTAACACAGCAATCAAAACAATTCTGAGCATTGACTCCTTCAACCTGTAAAAGGAGTCAGTAACTACACATTTCACTCCTTGCAGCTTTTTGAAAGCTTGAGAGCTATTTGGAAACACTGTGATCTTGCCAACCACAGGTTTCATCATCTCTTGCCTTCATGGGTAAGAGTTCTATTCCTTTGAGAATGGAAAGGGCTTAGTGGCTCTTGAAGTCAGACTTTATAAGAGACATAGAACTTTCACTCATAAGAAATTAGTTCTTATTATCTTACTGCCCTTGAAACACTGGTATACAAATAACTAGAGGATGAGCCATGTTTTTGTTCTTTGCACATTCTAAACTGGACTGTACACACACACAAACTGTACACAGTGTATTACAGATACAATAATTACAAAATATCACAAACACAGTGGTGGGTGTATGTATCTGTGCATGTAAAACCAATAGAATTTCTGAAGAATGTGACCAGTTACACTGTGTTTCAGCTTAGAACAAGAGCATCACTAACTTTTTCTGGCTCACAAAACAGACAAGGTCAGATGACACTATTATGGGCACTTGCCCCTTCTATTCTTAAAGGAATTATCACTCAGTATCAAAGTCAACCCAAATTTATCTACCTTCTCTTCCACCTCAACTTTGAAAGGACAGGAAAATGAGTTTACAACAAATATTGATCAATCAGTCTCAAAGTTGATGTAAATCATCACAAGACAGTTTCCAGTGGGAAGGAAGACAGATGGATGGGGGGTGACAAAACAGAACAAAGCAAGAAAAAGTAAGGTTAGTTCAGGCCAAAGAAGAATGGAGAATACTGGTAAGAGGCACATTGACTACAATATCAGTCACTGGGTTTTTGAATGGCTTAAATATCCAAATGCAAGTTTGCACGAACTCTTACTTCTCTCTCTTTCGACTGAAGTGCTTCTTGCTCTGCTTCTAACTGCTCCTTCAGCACTGGAGCAGCACTGCTGTCTGCTGGCAGTCTGTGCCTTGCTTCATCCAATTTGGACTGGAGGGCAGAGATCTGAATCAGGTTATTGTACTGTTGCTGTTGCAATGCCTCTTTATCCTGCAAAACACATTTTTTATTGTATGCTAGAATTAATTGTTGTCAATATACATACCCACCTAAGAGAACAACCCTGCCAAAACAATCATCCCTGAGAAACCCCAGCACAAGAAGTACATAATCCCAATGGCTTACAAAGAAACAGGTATTCAAAACAACTGGACGTTTTTGGCTCACTCACATGAAACACACGGTATTAAACCAGCCCCTCAGGCATCCAGCTGCCATACATGAAAGGATCCACGTAACATCAAAATCCAAGCAACAACAGAGCCTTTGTTTTATATCAAGTAAAATAAGACATTACCCACACCATCTTGATCACGCACAAAACCCCTCCAGTAACCATGTGCCAATCCGTGTTCCTGAAGAACCGAGCTGCCTTACCTCAGATTTTCCCACATTTACTCAACAGCAGAGCTGCAAGTGTGCCATAGCGCTGGACACAAGAGTTAAGATTCTCCTGGCATCCCACAGCTGCTACGATCTGAGCTTGCTGTGGTGATCCAATAAAAACAAGCGGCAACCCAGGCAAAAGTCAGAGCTTGTGTACCCTCACTACTCTTCTGCAGGCCCAAACAGATGTAGTCAAATGTGGGATCTTCTTCCACCGACACCAGAATCCATAGGACAGCAGATTCCCATAATGAATAATCCTTTCAAGACCTCAAGCAAAAGGATGAGCAATCCTCCCACCACAGCCCTAACTAGAAGAGTCAAAGAGAAGCTGCATGGAGACCTCATAGCAGCCTTCCAGTATCTGAAGGAGGCCTACAGAGATTCTAGAGAGAGACTCTTCATCAGGGTCTGTAGCGATAGGACAAGGGGTGATGGGTTCAAACTGAAACAGGGGAAGCTCAGGTTAGATATAAGAAAGAAGCTTTCCCCTGGGAGGGTGCTGAGGTGCTGCCCAGAGAAGCTGTGGCTGCCCCATCTCTGGCAGTGTTGAAGGCCAGGTTGGAGGGTGCTTGGAGCAAACTCCTCTAGAGGAAGGTGTCCCTGCCCATAGCAGGGTGTTCAAACTGGATGATCTTAAGGTCCTTTCCAACCCAAACCATTCTATGATTCTATGTATATATCAATCTAAACGACTGAAACAAATTGGAGCAGAAAAAGACAAAGACCTGCTCCATGCACATATGAGCAGGAAAAAGGGATCTGCTAGCTGAGAGTTTAGTTATTATTCTTCCAAAGATACCATTCTGTATTCAAAGTTACTCTTTCCAGACCTATTTCTTATTGGCACTAATCTCGATATGACGGTTTTCCTTTACCATTTAATTGGAATTCCCCCTGCAGCAGTTTGTGCTTGTATCTTTTTATCCTTACACTATGCACCTCAAGTCTGCCTCCTTCTTTATAACCTCATATTACGTGGTTGTGACCAACAATAAGATCTCTGCAAAGCTAAACAAATCCTGCTCTTCTAGCCTCCCCTCAACACTCCTTTCCTCAAGCCCTCTGACCATTTTGATGTTCCTTTGCTAGACTTGCTCAGGTATGCCAATGTCCTTCATGCACATGGGAGCAAAAACCCAGGCACTTCTCCAGACACAAGTGCCAATTAAATGGGAATAATAGTACCTAATAAACTGCAACTGACCAGTCTGACATTAGCTGAAGCTAAAGCATAAAAAAAAATTGTTCAATATTTTAAAAATTAAAATAATGGAAGCAAATATTTACAGAATAAGCAATTAAACTAATCTATTTAGTTTAGATCATGCCAATCTTACACCTTCAGACTCAACAGGCACACCAGCAGTACTCAACCAAAGGAAACTGCTGGGAGGACATGGAAACACTTGGTTTAAGGTAGAAAAGGTTACTTAGATACTTGGTACAAGACAAATACTTTTGCTAAATGAAATGTTATTCTTAACTCTAAGCTATGATTAAATCTGCAGCAGTAAGAAAGCACAAAATTTAAGAGTATGGCAAACAGATCTGGCTGCAAAGACACATAGTAAGAAGAACTACCAATTAAAATAGAATTTTAAATACAGTTACTTATTGAAACCCCACAATGTTTCACATTCAGTAACACTATCTCCTTGGGAACTGCCAGAGAAGCAAAAGAGCAACTCTGATCTATGGAAACGTGACAACTACCAGAAAGCAGTCTCTACAGTAAGTAGGCTTATAGTTCTATATAATATAGTAAAACCAAAGCACAATTAAAACTGTGGCTGCGATACCTGCCATTGACACAACAGTTTTAACTCGCCACTAACAGTCTCAGGGCTAGTCTCAAACAACACTGTAACACGCTGATAACCCCATGAACGCCCTGTCTCCATAATGCCACTCCCATTTAAATTAGTAGTTTAAAATTACTTGTTTTAATTCAGTTTCGACTTTCTTCATTTTCTGCAGTTGTTGCTCCAAGCAGAGTACAGTCTTTGATACTTCGGTACCGCTGTGCTTCAGTTCTCCAATCTGTGCCACCAGTTTTTCTATCTCTTTGTCACGAGCTGTAATTTCTTGGTGGTTTTGCTCCTTTTCTAACAACAGCTTATTGTAGTCATCCATTTTCTGTTTTATTTCTGCTTGTAAAGATTCTACCTACACGGAAATCACATTGTACAGCCATTCAGTCAACACAGGAAGCTTCCAATTGGACAAGAGCAATTTCATGGCAGAGCAGGTAGAGTTCGACTAGGGACTAAAGTAGTGGTAAATCCCAGATGAAAGTAAAACTAAATGCGGACAGAAAGGATGAAAAAGTAACTTTCTGAACTCTTGTCTTCCAAATCCAGGAGCTCTTAAATACACATTTGAGTATTCTTAATATTGGCAGTATTGTTGCAAAGTACTCAAGGCCCAGTGGTTATCAAAAGGGGCCATGTGGTTTGGGAGTGGGTTTTGATTTGGTTTAAGATGAATCCCAAGATTACATGAATTACTACTAATAGCATTAGATGCATTTCTGTAACCACAGACCCCTCTTTCATTACTTTATGGAATTCCAATTTAAAGGAAAATATCAAGAATTGAAAGCTAAATATTCACTGTAACATACTCAATTCCTGCAAACTGGAAAGATTCACAGTAGTCAATGCAGAACAGGCAGTTTTCCCCAAATCACTTAAGCATGAAGAGGGTATCAATTTGGAGATCCAATTATGCATAGAGCTTCAGGAAAATGGTCACTCATTCATCCCAGTATCAACGTGAAGGCAAGGCTAGGAGCTTGGCTAACAAGCAGGAGAGAACCAAGTGTGAGACACTACATTGGAAGTGACAAAGTCATCAAGCACATTGAAAGCAAGCTCAGATAGGAAAGCAATGGGAAACCTAAAGGAAAAATAATTTGGTCAATACCAAGGAATAAGGAAGATGAGATTTTTACAGACTAAAAAATGCTTTGTTTATCACTGTCTGAATTTCTGCAAAGTCCACTTTAAATATCATGAAGAATTCTTTATATTAATATAGAATTTCACATCTTCTAGTATTTTACAGATATTACTAAAGAAGAAAAACACCCTGTAGCAAAATAGAGAAGAACAGAGTTAATTTAGTCAAATTAATAAGCATGGAGAGCATCACAGACTAGTTGAGAATACTAAAAGTATTGCTTTTCTAATACCAAGGTGCAGTTTCATAAACTGCACATAAATTAATAGCTGAATATGAAATTAAGTAGCATATACACTGAAGTTTTGTTAAGAGCACTGCCATAAAGAAGAGCTGAAGACTAAGGCACAGTGGATCACTGAAATTCCATTATCCTTGTTTCACAATCTGATCCTCAACTTCTCCTTTCATGCCACAAAGCTCTTTTACAGTAAGTAACTGCCTGTAATACACCTGAGCAATAAGACAGGAGAAAGAAGCACTTAGGTACGGGAAATTGAACCGAAAACAGTTCCGCACTCCCTGCAAGAATTCTGCCACCCTAAAACATGTATGCTTATCTCCAAGTCAAGCTAAAGCCTTGACACATCAAGAATAGGAGGAAAAAGCCAAAGCAGATCTAATTAATAGAAGAGACTAAAAGAAAAAGGAAAGAAAAGTTAAAGAGATATTCATGCTGTTTTCCATACCTGCAGAATCAATTCATCGTTCTGTATAATGTTCATTTATGTGAAAAAAACCAAAACAACAAACAAAAAAGCAAAAGTTAATCTCTGAAATCAAACACAAACACATGAAAGGACTCATTTATAAACTGAAATAGGACAAGACATGCAGACAACTTTTTACAACTGTTATTTTAGAACCCAGAAGTCATCCCTCACGTGTGCTCTGTAGAGTCAAGTGTCTGTATTGTGTTCTCATTTAATTTAAACCAGACTTACAGGCTGTGAAACTTTACTGTCATGCATATACAACATTTCTTTCCATCTCCAGAAGAAATAATGTAAGTATACTCTCACTGCATAAATGTAGCCCAGTCAGCTGGGGGAAAACCTGCTCTCTGGGTGACAACAGACAAAAAACATCTCTCAAGAGCCGGTACCCAAAGACAAACACATGTTGTGGTATTTAATGGTAATAAACAAGCTCTTTTTGCCACCGAGTGTGATTTTACTCACCCTGTACTCTCTGGGTTTTCCTGAAGTCTGCAATTTTGCTGACAGTTTTAACCGTTCTTCCAGTTTCTGAATTTCCTGCTGAAAATCATCACGTTCGTGTTCCCTTTCTATAGCTTGTTCCTGTAAACCCAGCCAGAAAGAACGAAAAGCTTTTTATAGAAACTTTGCATCTCATCAAAATATCGAGTACAAGAAAAACGTGGGGGTTGTTTTTGTGGTGAAGAAACTGCTCACTTAAAAATTAATATCTTTTAGCAGTCTTGAAAGTACACCTAAAGTTACAGGAAAATAAATCAAAAGGACAGCAAACTTTTTGCCTCCTGTGTACATTCAAGTTACAATTAGCGAGTAATAAAAAGGAAAAAAAAAAATCCTGTAATACTACAGAAAGGGAATTTTAAAACTACCTTTACATGACTACAATACCAAGGTCTTAATTTCAAACAAAATGGAAAGTATCCCATTTTAGGGACAATCTTCCCAGTCTCAGTCACAAGCTAGAAGGAGTATTTATCACCTCCAAAGCCATGGAAGGGTGGTACCAAGCTTGCTTACATCCATGAATTGTCGCTGGTTTTTAAGCTGTTTCTCAAGCACTTGAATTTGCTGTTTTAATTCAGCAACCTCCAATAACTGAGTAGCCAGGTCCTGATTACTATGCAGTTGTTCTTCCAGTTCCACCTCCAACACTTTCATTTGAGAGCGTAAGTTGGAATGGTCCTTTTCTGCCTGACACTGAAGATCTAATTTCTCCTTTGCTAAAAATTCTACTTCCTTCAGTAGACCTGAATAAGGACACAAAAATAACAAAGTTATCAGCACAGGGTACAAAAATCAAATTGAGTTGGAGGTGAGGTTAAATTCAGTATCAACACCAAAGGCAAAATCTCCTGAAATGCAAGAGACATAAAGGGAAGTCTGATACCTGACTGCCCACTGTCTCTGAAAGGCATTTCCAATAAGACTACTGTATGTTGTAGTGAAGGAACACATGGGCATCTGTTCTCAATCCCAAAGCGAGTCCCATCTGGAGATATTCTGGGCACATAAAAAGCTTTCACCTTCACCGCTGAAGACCTCACAGTTCCAGAGAGTCCCTCTCACCTGACCAGGTGCTTGCCCTCTCAGCCGCAGTTCCACACTCTTCCTGCCCCTTAGGCTCTTTCCAAACCAATTCCTCAATCCTCCAAATTCATTCCATTCCTGATGTCCTCCATCCCTAAGTTTAAGCTCCACACCCCACTGTCAGCCACCTAGTCTCTCATACCCATCCTTTATTATTCTATCCTAAATCCTCCCCACTGCTTTCATCCCATCCTACTTCAAGTCTCTTCCTAATCAAGCCATCCAATAAGGAACTCTCAATTCCTCCAAACTCCTGTGCAGAGATACTCCTTAGATCTCCAACATCTAGAGACAGGTCAGCCTCTCAATTACTCCTCTGCCCCATGCAATGCTGGATACTGCTGCTGCTGTCTACACTGCTGAGCTAGCACCCAGTCCACCTTTTCAGCGCCAAGCCCTCTCCTGATGCTAACTGCTATGAGAAAACAAAGTCAATCTTGTTCTCTGAACCTGAGTGGGGATTAAAACCCAAAGAAAAATCACACTTAGAGAAACTTAGCCTAGTGCCAAGGGAAGAAAACTCCTGGGAAAAAGATAGCACTTATTTGCCCTACACAGGCTGCAAAAGAAATACCACAGATTCGAAAACATACATAGCTCAAGGTTATTTAAGTTATTAAGAACTAATTTATAGCTACAAACTGCATTTTCAATCAGCTGGATGTACTGAATCCACTCTTTAGGAGACCCAAACTGAAACTGTATTGTGACTGCACTCAGAACAAAATAATTTTAATGTGAATATCACTAAGTAACCTGAATATGAAAATAGAAGTCTGCCTATTTCGTATTCAAAGCAGGGTCCTACAAGAGCTCTTTACTTTAAAGTGTTCCATTATTCATCTTAAATGTTTTCAGGCATAGAGAACAAGGTAAGTCTATGATTCCAATAAGGTCATCCAGCCCACTTCCCAAAACGAGACAATTCCCTTTTCTAAGCATGACCAGCTCAATCCACATAATTTCTGATTGAACATCAACTAAAGCTGTTGTCCAAACCTTCAAAACCCTAAGTGATTCCACAGCCTCCTCTCAACATCTTTTCTAGTGCTTCACTATCCACAAGCATTTAATGAAATTTATAGACACTTTAAAATAAGCCAAGAAACACAAACATTTCCATGTGCATGCTTAAGAGGAAAAGCATCACAAGCTTAGAATGATGCAACAGCATTTTCATTAAACATTGGGGAACATGTCAGAGGAGTAATGATAACAACAGAATGCATAGGGACTGGGAAGACTGCCTCTGGAAATTAAAGAGACTGGACAAAGAGAAAAAGTAAAGTAGATTCTGTCTGGGGACAAAAATATAGACTAAATGTTTACTATTTTATATATAAATATAGACTAAATATAGAATAATAGCTCTGGGGCCCCAGCACAAGAGGGATGTGGAGCTATTGGAGCGAGTCCAGAGGAGGCCATGGAGATGCTGCAAGGGCTGGAGCAGCTCTGCTCTGGAGCCAGGCTGAGAGAGCTGGGCTGGGTCAGCCTGGAGAAGAGAAGGCTCCTTAAGGGGAGACCTCAGAGCAGCTCCAGTGCCTAAAGGGGCTGCAGGAAACCTGGAGAGGGGCTTTGGACAAGGGCCTGTAGGGACCGGACGGGGGAATGGCTTTAACCTGCCAGAACAAGGGAGATTGAGATGAGCTCTTAGGCAGAAGCTCTTCCCTGTGAGGGTGGGGAGGTGCTGGCACCTCCTCAGACAGAAATGCACCTTAATGGAATACAAGTCATTAGCTAACAGATTTCATGTGAAATTGAAAATGTTACATAGAAAGCAGGTATCACATTTTGGCAGTCTCAGTAAGTGTAATCTGTTTGGGTTTTGTTTTAAGCACATGTTCCACAAGTGTATCAGTATATTTTTCAAGCCATATGAATCATCAGATCACAGATTTGTTTCTTTGCATGGACAAACCTGCTATTTTATGAATGCTAATTCAGATCATGCAATGCCACTGTGGTAATACCCCAGCACACTCCTCGCCACTCCCATTAGCAAATGCCAAGCTCCAGCCAAAGTGCATTTGATTAGCAAGGCCACTCTATCCACATTAGTACTACATATCAGAAAAGGGATGAGGTGTCAACTTTTCAAGGCGTAGGACATGTCAATAAACTCCAAACAAGATTATTTTCATCATATTTTCCACATTCTATAAGCAATTCCAAACCAGAGGAAGAGTACTATTGATGGCTGGGGTGGGAGCTATGTTAGCTCTGACACCCTTACCAGCTAAGGTTAGATGTTCCCTCTCTTTGAGCCTACAGCAGCACATTTCAGGACAATGAGGTGCTTACCAAAACTAAGTTAAATAAAAATATGTTTGAGGGAGACTTGAATGGGACAGAAGGAATAAAGACACAGTAATGGGCAAGAGCCCTGTGCAGCCTTTTAATTCTAATGGGAATTTACCTACAACACCACTTTTTATTCACCTAAGGGACGTGCTTTACTCAGCTCACATCCTTTGGGGGAAAAGTCTGGAAAAAAGATAATACATCTAAGAATATATACCTGTATGTGTATGAATGAAATTCATCTAAAACCGTAAGATTCTTCTATTTTGAGTAGACCGCAAAACATAATCATGACAGCAATGAATTTATCAGACCTAAATGTTTGCTGATCAGGAGTTCAGTGTGCACATGTAAGATCAGGAGGGGAAAAATAATATTAAAAAATGTCTCTTTCAATTTGGCACCTACAAATTTTACTTCAGCATCAGACCTCCAACACAGTGTACAACTTCACGCATCTGGAAGGCGGCTACAAGGATGCCAGAGAGGGACTCTTCATCAGGGACTGCAGTGATAGGACAAGGGGTGATGGGTTCAAACAGGGGAAGTTCAGGTTAAGTATAAGGCAGAAGCTCTTCCCTGTGAGGGTGCTGAGGCACTGGCACAGGGTGCCCAGAGAAGCTGTGGCTGCCCCGTCCCTGGCAGCGTTCAAGGCCAGGTTGGACACAGGGGCTTGGAGCACCCTGCTCTAGTGAAAGGTGTCCCTGCCTGTGGCAGGGGTTGGAACTCTGTGAGCTTTAAGGTCCGTTCCAACCCAAACCACTCTATCATCCTTCTTGCTTGTTTTTGGTTTCACTGTTGCTCCCCTAAGCCTTCCTTCCTATTCTTCTCCCCCTTTTTCTGATCTACCTCCCCATTCAATTCCATTTCTCTAGTCTCCCTTAGACTTCCTTCAATTCTGTCTTTTTGAGCTCACTATTTCACATCACCTATTTTTCTCCCCCCCCCAATCATTCTGACAGATAACTATGTAGCATTAGAAGCTCCCAGCAAATTACAACCCACTTCATCCCCTCAAAAGAAAAACGAAGGTGCTAAACATGAAGATAATAGTACCAGGCATTTTAAGCCTAATGGCAGCAAAACTAGGTTTGTGCTTTTTTCCTTTAAATACTGGTCAGCTAAATTATTTTTAGTTTTAGTTGTTTTCTGATGTATCACAGAAGTCATAACTTTCTTTTTGCCAAGATATTTATAATGTCAGTAATTTGTTGGGACTATCCATGAAGTACTATTCCTCTTTGTTAAAATCAAAACTAGCAATTCATTCACTCAGGTGTTACAGCAACTCAAACCAGAAAAAACCCACACTCATCATTACAAACCTGAACCTTCTTTTTGTGCTACATTAGCAATACGTGTTCCTAGAAATCAAAACAGACAGACACATACAAGACAAGAACAGGACACTATGATCTATTCCAGCTTCTAAATTACTAGAAATTCATATGTAAACAGATAGCTCCTACCTCTTATTCAGCAAATATGCACTTCACCTTTATTATGACACAAAGCTCCTGATGATACACGTTGATGTCTGGAATTAGACTAGAGCTACTACAGAAATGTGTTTTCATTATAACCATGCAAGTGGGTTGCAACATTCTTGGCTTTTTAATTCCTTCCAGGGGATTCAAAGCAGGATTCAGCCCAGCAGGACTCACTGACACAGACTTACAGACTCTGTAATCTGTCATACATTTCCATGAGACACAGATGTACTTGTGTTCAACACCACCATGGAATGATTTGGCATTTCCTGTAGGATGTATTACTCGATGCCATAACCACTGTTGTAAAGCAAGCGCAACATGCATTTAGTTTCAGTTACAGCTCCTGAACCTGTTTCTGTTCAACTGCTTTCCCCTTGAGGAAGAGGGCTCTTTCTCGACCTCTTCCTTTGCTTACTGGGACAAATGAGGGCAGGGTCTGTAAGCCAGAGCAATCTGCACAAGACCACTTATTCCTTTTTCTCTTAAGGTAATAGTAGGATATTATTCAGATGCCATACGAGAGCTCAAAGATGGGCACAACTTTTAACCCTAATATATGTTCTCTACTTTTTAATAGGACCTGTAGCAATAGGACAAGGGCTGATGGTCTTAAACTAAAGAGGGGACATTCATCCTAGCTATAAGGAAGAAATTCTTTACACTGATAGCAGTGAAACACTGGCACTACCTGCCCAGAGAAGTAGTAGGTGCCCCATCCCTGAAAACATTCAAGGTCAGGTTGGATGGGGCTTTGAGCAACCTGGTCTAGTTGCTGGTGACAGGGTTGGCAGGAATGTCCTCTGAGAAGTGGCTGAGCACTCTGGGTTTGTCTAGTTTGGAGATAAGGAAGCTGAGGGGTGACTTCATTGCTCTCTGCAGCTTCCTGAGGAAGGGACATGGAGAGGGAAGTGTTGATCTCTTTTCCCTGTTATCCAGTGATAGGATGTGTGGGAACAGTTCAAAGCTGCACCAGGGGAAGTTTAAACTGGACAGAAAGAAGCATTTCTTTACTGAGAGGGCATTCAAACACCGGAACAGCATTTCCAGAAAGGTGGTCGATGTCCCAAGCCTGTCAGTGTTTAAGAGGCATTTGGACATGTCTTTAATAACATGCTGTCACTTCAGGGATGACCAAGAGTTGTCAAGATGATTGTTATAGGTCCCTTCCAACTGAAAATATTCTACTCCATTTCAGTTGAAGATGTCCCTGCTCATTGCAGGCGGGTTGGACTAGAAGACCTTTAAAGGTTCCTTCCAACCCAAACCCATCTATGATTCTATGTAGAACATGAGTATTTTGATTGTACTACATTTGAAAAGTCAAGTACAAAGCCAAAAGGAAAAATACAGAAGGATGTTTGCCCGTGACAGCAGGGCAATGGTGGAGTCAAGAGTTGGAAGAGTAGGTGAAAAGCAGCAAAGTTAAGAGAAGAAGAGAAGATGAGGTGGGGGAGAGGCAAAAGGCAGATGAGTTGCAGAGAAACAATACATCAGGACTGAAAGTCAGACAGGAGTCTACACAGGGGAGTGGCCAGATTAACCGCAACATATAGATTGTGTCCAGTCAAACAGAGAAATGGAAAGGTGGTGATCCCAAATGATAAAATATCTGGTGGAAGGCGATACAGAGAAATTCACTTATAGACATATTAGAATGACACTGAGGCTGCAAATTCAAGAAGTCAAAACTACAGAATGCTATTCAAATGGTTCAGAAATTCATTAAGAACCAGCATATCCTAGTCTTGAGTTCCCGCACAGTGCAAGCCACATAACATCCCTGAATATTCTTCCACGAATCAGAAAAACATCTTACATGTAAGCCTGCTATGTTACACTGAGATTCTTCAGGGGTTTTATTAAATGACTGCTGTCACTGTTCAAATGTATGCTCTTTCATTTGCAGTGTGAATTACCACAGCACCAACTTCCACTCATGAAGTGTTATAAGACTCTATAGAGTATGTTGAAAATTTGCCCTCTATCCTACTCCACTTCCTTACACATGCTTCCTGTAGTCAGCTTACATCATGTAACATATCTGTGAGTCTGAGGGAGTCATGAAGTGAGAGAATGAATTATGAAGATTGCTTATTTATATCTACTTACATGAGTTTGATTTGGTATTTCAGTGTCTGGCTATGGCTTCCAGTGAGCCACCCTTTGTTTAAGGGTGGCTTAAGGGTGACCTTGAAGTTTAAGTTCAAAGTTTAAATACTTGCCTCACCCTATCCTCTCCAACAACACCACCTCATCCAGCTTTTTCAACCTATATACTTTCTCCTTTAAAAACCTCAGCACACTTTGAGCTCGATCATTAAAATCTTTCCACAGTCACCCTTACTGAAGTTTTGACCAGACAAGGCTGGGGAGGAGGGGAAAAGCTTATGTATGAAACTAAGTACACAACATCACCAGAATTTTTTCATAATTCAAATGACCTCCAAGGAGGATTTTATTTCTTCTGTCATTATTAAGCTATCTCCTTAGGTGTGGAAGCAGTCAAAAGCCTTGAATCTCCAGCTCTTCTCTTCGTAGTGTCAAATAACTAGCATTTCAGTTACTAACTAGATGCTAATTATCTGTTGCAACTAACTATCTGTAGGTAATACACTCCTCTCATTTTCTCATTTTCCATTTCTAACTAAGCATAAGACTATAGCAACACTCTTCACTTACAGTACTATCACCTTAGAAGCAAAACATCAGTGGCTCTACTTTCTTTCCCCTGCCAACCTCCGTAGGGTCATCAAACCAAAGACTGATACATTACAGAAACACATGGCAGCTTGCCCTGACTGGAGATATAAAACACGCACTCCTCACCAAGGATTGCTTGCTCCTGGGTTAGCTCCTGGAAGCGTTCACGCATATCCTCCAGCTCCACAATAAGGCGACGTTCAGATTCCTCTTTCAGATTCAAGGCCTCCTCCAAGGCGGCCTTTTCTGCAACATAGCCTTCGATAATGCCTAAAATCCCAAGTTGGAATGCAAATAAAGCAATGGACAAACTCATCTGTTGGAACAAAGCAGCTTGAAAACACAAGTAAAATTTTTTTGCCAACAATGGAAGTTGACATAGAAAGGAAAAAGTACAAGATGACTTAAATTTAACTGTAGTTAGGTTTTTGAACGATCTTGAGGAATAACATGTATGAATTAATGTAATTAATGAGGCTGTCATAGCACAAAATGTGCCCAGACATGTAGAACGTATATGGGGATGGTTAAACCTGGATGGCCTGGGACCACCTCACAACATAGGATAGTCTGACACATCTTCTGCTGGGGGCTGAGGTTTGTAGAAACAGATTCTCCAGGAAGTAAGATCAAATGTTAGATTCAGAGCCCAAGAAATTCAGGAATTATTCACAGAAAGGAAGGAAACAGGATTTTGGAAAGACTAAATAAGCCTGAAGGAGTATGAGTGAGAAGAGGACTGGAAAGCAAATGCCACGATTAGGAAGAGAAGCTCAACTTGAGGGACACAGAAACCCTCAAAGATTCTGCTACATAAAAGCAAAGACCTCAAGTCATCATCTTCACAAGGGGGGGATTAGATTGATATGTACAGTCTGTGGTAGCATCAAGATCAACAGCCTCAGCCTTTTTCTCTCCCTTACAGAATCTCTTTATGGCTTGTGCTACTATCAAACATTGCTCTAGTTTATGCGAACCCTTCCAAGGACAGACAAGTGGGCTGATTTACACTGGGAGTGTATCTTGTCAATAATCCAAGCTCCCATATCCAGACATGCAGGAATGCAAACTGCTGTTTTAAAAATGATGGTATGTTTCACAGTGGTATAAGAATGGGACTAAGCACTATCACACTTGCCCCAGGGAAATGAATAAGGGAATTAAGCAGTAGATTTGCAAGAGAAGACCCAAGCTTCAAGTAACATAGCAATCCAAAATGCAGAAAATGGATTAAAAGACTGGACTTGATCTGAAAGCTGTTTTCCAACCTAGTTGATTCTATGATTCTAAACAGGCAAATCAACAGGAGAAGTCGAAAAAAGCATATCATAAATATTTGGAGGCATGAGCTATGAGCAAATGACACTGAAACCTCCTTCTGTTGGTTTCATTTTCTTACCCTCTGCTTTATGAAGCTCTAAAGCCAGCTGATTCTTGGCCTTACTCTCCTCGCCGAGGCACTCCAGGATCTCCTTGTGCTGACTTACCACTTGGGCCGTTTCCCGGTTCTGGCGGCTGAATTCTTCTTCAAACTGCGCTTGGCTTTCATGCATTTTCTCCAGCTACAAATAAATCATCAGATCCTGAATGTACATGCAATCTAATAATAGTAACTAATAGGTATTTAAACATAAACCTTATTTTTGTAATAACATTTACGCATTAAGGTCCAGGTTTTCAAATTTTATTTTGGTACTAGGTTGACTTGGCCCAAAACCCCTGGACACTTTGGTGACTTCCTGTACTCACATACCTGTATTTTTACCACAAATCTTCCCTAGGGATGGAAGTTTCTTTACTGTGCATAAAAAGAGACACCTTTTAGGTGGCTAAACTGTTCAATAATTCCTGAACCACTTGAAATTCAAAGCAACCCCCCATATTCTTCAAGAGATTCAGGCATGTCTAATAGAAGTGAAGTCAATACATCATCAGGTTCCCAAGGTATGGATGGCACCAGTTCTCAGAGACAGTGCATCTTGCATTCCTATTATCATTAGGGACTGTAGTGATAGAACAAGGGGTAACTGGTTCAAACTTAAACAGGGGGAGTTTACACTGGATATAAGGAAGAAGTTCTTTACTGTAAGGTTGGTGAGGCACTGGAATGGGTTGCCCAAGGAAGCTGTCAATGCTCCATCCCTGGGGGTGTTCATGTCCAGGTTGGACAGAGCATTGGGTGAGATGGTTTAGTGTGAGGTGTCCCTGCCCATGGCAGGGGGGTTGGAACTAGATGATATTAAGGACCTTTCCAACCCTAACTATTCTGTGATTCTATGTGCAATGTCTCAAGTTCAACTAGAGCAGCCCTGTTCCCATTTAGTTTGTATTTAGCTTATCCTGGTGGAGAGAAGTTTGAGATAACCAGGATTTCACAAATGTAAGCACAGTATGCTTGAATGCAGCTGGTGAGGTGACCTAAAATCTACATCTTCCACGGCTTGGGCAAGAGCTTTAACCACAAGTTAGTTCCATACTAGTGGAACTAGTACCATCACCAGTACCCAAGAGTACAAGTTGAATCACCTCATTCTAGGAGGGATTTTTTAAGATGGTGAGTATGCATCTCACATAGATGCTTATCTCTAGGTTGCACAAAATACCTGAGAAGAAAATGAATTTCCCTTCACTTTTTTTCTTAAGTTAGGGGCTTCCTTACTCAACACATTAATTACTGTTGCACTACGTTCGGTGCTCTAAATGTATACAGTACTCTGGCATCTACCACAGATTTACAATTTCTCTTCCCAAAGCTGAATGCCTAGACACGGCAAAACTCAGTATGGAAATACTCAAATCCTTTCACGAGAGAGTCCAGTTCCTTTTAGCACAGTATATAATTACAAGGATGTTTGCTTGCTGCATATTTCCTAAACACTTTCACATGGACTAAGCTTTCTTGAACCTACTTAGCAATGTTGAAGAAGTATTGATGTGAAATGCAATGAAACCCCCTCAAAACCACTTGACTCTTGGTCTCCTGAAGTTACCAAATGCATCTAAAATCCTAGTTTAAATCTACTTAAGCAACTGACTTACAGCCTTCCTTAGGATCTGCTAGAAGAGAAAAAGAAGTTGAAGTCTCATTTATATAGATAATAAGAGCAAAACCTTCACTGTAAGAAGCAGGGAACGTACACACTTCCCTATATTGATAACTTGTATTCAGACAAACTCTACTTCTTTTTAGTAGCCAGTTCTACAGATAGAGAATTCACATTTTTGGTGTAATTATACATCTATGTAGATTCAAAAGTTTTACTTGTTTAGTTGATTCTGTAACCAGTTCCAGAAGTCTCTCCACTGCGGTGTGCAAACGGCGGCAAGTTTTCAGTATCATCTCTTCATTTTCACATGCCAATTCTGGCTTTGCAAAAACACTTTCACATAAGTATTGGCTCAATTCAGACCCCTCATCAGTCACTGCAGACAGCTGGTTGTCTTCTGTGAGAGTTTCATCAAGCAGCTCATCGACTGGAGACACGCAAGCTATTTTAAACCACAAAATAATGACACAGGACTGGCCACTCAGATAACAACTGACAGACAGTGACATTGTTTAGTCCTGAGGCTGTATTACAAGGTGAAAACTTGTACACATCAGTCACTCAGGGCTGAAAAAACAACATTTGGAATTATTGTGCTATACATCAGGGCTTGAACCTCTGTGTTCATTAAGTTCCTCTTTCCTGCTCCATCATCTTTTCAGCCTTTTCCAGCAACATAAACTAAAATAGTACAACTACTAAGTTGCACTAATAAAAGAATTAAAATGAAAGAATACTGACAGACACAGTGTGGAGCAACTTTGACAGAGACACAGAAAACTGCAACAAGAGATATCCCCTTTCTAAACCTCAGCAATATAAAAGGAAATGAAAAGGCATTTTTCAAGGAAGTGAACTGATTACATTCAGTTATGCAGATTTGTACTCACCTTTCTCTAGGCGATGCCCTTCTTTGGCTTTGAAATACTGCATGAATCCCATTTCTTCCATAATACTGTGACTTTCTCTAGAATCTCCAAAAGACACACTATCATCAAGACAAAGACCAATCTTGCTACTGATAAGGTCCTCAACGGCTATTGTGGCCTTCACCAACTCCATAAGCAATTTCAAAACATGCTGGTAAGATTCCTGCAGTTTTTTCCTAGAACAAAAGATACTGAACACTTCAAAAACTGCACGCACATGATTTAAGACACTGAACTTACTGAAAAACTGACAGTCTAAAATGGCCACAGCTGGGACTTATCAGTGAAGACAATTTAGGTGACTCAAAAACCAAGGCCACTTCCACAGAGCAAAACCCCTTTGTCTTCTCCACAGGTAGATGGAGAGATCATACTGCAATCACAAGCATCTCAGGCTTCCATTATCTGTGGAAGCACCAGTAGGGCGAACACATCTACTACTATAGTTTCTGTGACATCCCAGTAACTAGGGGTGTTCTGGCAGAGTAGACAATGAAAATCACAGTTAGGAACACATTTTAGTGTTAAGAAGCTTATTCAGCATGATAGCTTCTCTAACCCACACATTCCAATGCCATATCAAACCAATCCCCACTGCACTGAAAGGTTTCAGTGACCAAGAGGCCTTTTCCATTTCCTAGCTTTTTCCAAGAAAACGGACAGTGGAAACCCCAAAACACCAAGGTCTCCATCAGACCACAAGGAAACAAGGAAAACAAATTATAAATCTGACTTTCCATATCAAGATAGTTTGGTAACCTAAAGCAACACAATCAAACAAAAAAACGACCCCAAAACCACACACACCAAAAAGCTTGCAACTGAAACCAATATATCAGCATCCTGCGCTATTCATTTGAGCTGGCTTAATTTTGCATAGTTACTGATTTCTTTATGAAAAGTGAGAAAACAAGCAAACAGAACAACCAATCACTAAGCATTAGGTAACCCAAGATGAACAAACCTTTCCTCTTTGGATTGCTCAATATCAGATCTCAACATGGCTACCAAATTCCCTCCTTCTAGGTTTTCTCTATCCCGCCGCTCAAGGAGTGTCTCCAGTTCAGAATTGGTCTCCTCCATTCCATGGTTTAAAAGCTCCACTTTCCTTTCCAGCTGTGGAAACACAGCAACAATGCAACAAAGCTGATCATTTTGCCTAAACTTCACCCAATGATCTTACCCTTCATCACCTTGGATATATCCACAGAGTCGTCGTCCCTTAAGTTATTTGAAACGAAGGATAGCAGAAAGAGTAAAAAAGAATGGTCTGGTTTTCAGTTCTCCATTTCTGACATTAATTTTTCCTCAAGGAGCTGCCTCCCTTGTATTCAGACCCAGACAATGCAAAAAGCTTGTAAAAACTTTGTGTTAAACTTCAGTTTGCTCTTGTTTTCATTGCTATGCCTCAAAGACACTAAGCAATGTCCTAGCATGAATTTTGACACTGTAGCACACAAACCCAAACAGTAACTTGATCCAGTATCATCAGTGCCAGCTTTCTTTGCTCTGAGCTCTGCCTGAGACAAGTTTCTATAAATATGTTTTCTCTCCTCATATTTATTCCTGATGACACCCACCTTTAACCAATTAGAAATATATATTAAAATACATATATGTATTGTACATACCCACCTCTGACTACCAGATTCAGATGCCAAAGAATCCGTACTATTTTGTTAGAAACTGTGTCTCATAAGTAAGCCAATAAATCAGTCCAAATATCTGTCTGGGAGAAAACTGCATGCAAAGAATAGCATTCTACTCCCATACCAACCTTCTCACCCCTCACCAAATCCTGCAGGAACAGCAGCAAACAATAATGCACTTTTTCCAATAGAAGAAAGTCTTACTCCCAGTTTTTATCATTAAACATATAGGCCTAACAGAAGTTTAATATATCAAACTTACATTTTGGTCAAAACTTCCTGAACTGTGAGTGAAGACATAAATGTTTTCTTCACCTTCCGTTTTGAAAACTTAAAGCTATAATTTTAATCCTGGAGAAAAACATTAACATTTCTAAACTTCCTGAGTAAAGCAGAATCCTTTTCAAGCTGTTCCTCTCTTTTAGGTATCTGAGATTCAACTTAGATATTTGCTTTACAGGAGACATAAAATTTCCATTTGTTTGGCAAACAATATTCTCTTTGTCATTTGTGGATCCAAACTTCCCATTTGCCTGTCTTACTTACTCCAAACTATAGCTCAGTTGGTCTAACAAAAGCTGCTAGAGCACTATTTTCTTAACAAAAAACTGATAGATACAGTGGCATCAATACATTGACAACAAAAAGGCAAACATCCAACCTTCTGCAGGTAGTGTTAATCCCCCTGAGAAATGGGGGTGTTGGATGAGAAGCTCCCCGTAACCTGGCTTCAGTGAGCACCTGAGCCCAGAACCCCCCATGTGCTGGGCTGCACCCCCAAAGCATAAGCAGCAGCTCAGGGAGGGTATTCTCTCCCTCTGCTGTGCTCTGGGGAGAGCCTTCCTGCAGTCCTGATCCAGCTCTGGGGAAACAGCACAAGAGGGACGTGGAGCTGTTGGAGTGAGTCTAGAGGAGGCCATGGAGATGTTGAGAGGGCTGGAGCAGCTCTGCTCTGGAGCCAGGCTGAGAGAGCTGGGCTGGTGCAGCCTGGACAAGAGAAGGCCCCTTAAGGGAAGACCTCAGAGCAGCTCCAGTGCCTAAAGGGGATACAAGAAACCTGGAGAGGGGCTTTGGACAAGGGCCTGTAGGGACAGGACAAGGGGAATGGCTTTAACCTGCCAGAACAGGGGTGACCGAGATGAGCTCTTAGGTAGAAGCTCTTCCCTGTGAGGGTGCTGAGGCGCTGGCACAGGGTGCCCAGAGAAGCTGTGGCTGCCCCATCCCTGGCAGTGTTCAAGGCCAGGTTGGACACAGGGGCTTGGAGCAACCTGCTCTAGTGGAAGGTGTCCTTGCCCGTGGGTGAGGGGGCCAGAACTGGGTGAGTTTTAAGGGTCCTTTAAAGCCAAACCAGTATGTGATTCTACGAAATAGCTGGACCAGTTTTCAAGCCAATACCCAAGTTAAATTTCTATGTTTACTGCTCTAGCACTACAACTAAGAGACAGAGTCCATCATACCTGACAACTAGCAATCACAAGAAGACAAACAGTCCTTCTACATACACATTGACAAACATGAGAGCACTGTGTTAAAACACAGCCACAAAAGCACATTTAAAGTCTAGGTTTAAAATCCTTTCCACGCACCTGGATAATTACTGCTGCATTTTCCTGCAGCTGGGCTGATAGCATCTCCTGCTCCTTCTTGTGAGTAGCCTGTGCCTTCTCCCTCTCCTGAATCAACATCTGCTCCTTGTCATGCAGTGATGCCTTTTTTTCAGCTTCAAATTCTTCCTACATAAGTCACATAATATACTTTGGTTTACAGAGAGAAAAATACCAAACAAACCAAAAAACCCACCTCCAAAATCCACAACCAAACCCTCACAATCCCCCTCTTTCTTTACCCACGTGCATGCCTTACCTCTCATATTAACTAGCAGTAATTTACATGGTTAACACCTCCAATCAACAAAATTATGCTGAAATGATGATTTAAAAGTAATTAGGTAGATAAACGAACTATTTGAACGTGGTCACTGAGACCCAGGTCGTTTCACACTGCTGAGATAGCAATGAGGATCAGACAACAGATAGGTAAGTCAATATAGAGATGGACAGAAGCCACTGGAAGCAATTTCAAGTAGTACAACACTCACAGTACTGAGTTCCACATAGGAACAATGATTTACCAGAACAAACTGAAAATCTACAAGGTAGATTTACACAGCTAAATGCTCTGGAAGCTCTTCAATTGTATCTCACCTCAGAGTGCTCCAAAGCACTCTAAAGGAAGGATTATCAGATATCCCCCACTCCTGCTCCAGTAAATACGGGAGGTGAAACAAGGTCCTGGGAACCCGTCCCAGGAAGAGGCTAAAAGGAACCCTAATTAGTAATTGTTTTTGCAATGCCAGAATGGGAAATGAGTCTTCTTGTTCATGGTATAAAAACCCTCAAGCCATTTGCTCTATGAACATTAATACACCCCAAGGAGATGGCTGCTATTTTCATTTATAAGCCAAGAAAGCAGTTTTTCTGCAGGGCATGAAGTAAGACTTCAGAACATCTGTAGTCACCCGAGCTGTCCTGGATCCTTTGTGGAAGACTCAGCCAGTCCTCACATTAGGTCAAACAGCAGAATATTTAGCAGTTAGCAAGATACAAATGAACAGACACAGAGGACAAGGACCTTCCTCAACCAGTACAATAAACTCATGGTCTCTGAAACTGCCTGCCTCGTCTTCTCAGCAGCAGTGCATCCAGTAAAAGAGAATGTTGGGCTGTAAAAATGAACTCTGAATATCTAGAATCTACAAGGGGAGGCAAAGAAAGCAAGAAAGCATGGCTGGCATGAAGACAATAGAAGAAATGAGATGAGGGAAATAGGCAGGGGAAGGCTCATTGCAAAAACCTGTATCAGACCATGATTCAGTTCAGCCTGCCATTGCAAAGAGATCCAGTCAGTCTCTTCTGGGACTAAACACACATCATCAAGTTAACAGAGGCAAAAAAAGCCACAAGAGACAGCTGTACTAGCAGTAGCATTACCCCTGGCCAAATGTCAAGAAGAAGAGAGGTTTCTGGTGTCTCAAATGCTAATTTAGGTGCCTAGGCAGCACAAGAGAGAGAAGACCAGGAATGACTTTGGGGGTATATGTGTAGCAGTCAGTCCAGTCCTGGCTTCTGTGGACTGAAGGCTGGGGTTCAGCTGAGGACAGAAACGCCAAATATATCTCCAGAAGCTTTTCAGGATATACTTGTGTTCTCTGTTTCAAAAGACAGCTGCACCAGACAGAGAGAGGCCAAAGAATGACCACGAATGCAGAGAGGACCAGAGGCAGGAAACAGGAGAGACTTTCTGCCCATCTGCAGCACCCCGTTGTAGAGGTTTGTGCAACTGTTAGGAAAAGTCCCACCTCAAGTTGGAGCACTGACAGGAACAGTAAGGATCTGCTGAAATCTCTCAAGGAGCAGCAAATAAGGAGATAGTACTTCATCTAAGTTATGTGTGCTCAACAAGTTGCTTTCACCACATGTTCAGTACAGTGATAACACCGAGATGAATGTAAGCACTGACCTTAGTGTGCTGGCAAGTTTCTCTGTCTCTTCTGACACAGGTTGTGCCTTCTGCATAAATTTAATAATGTAACATGGTCTTGTCACCTAACCAATTGAAGGAAATTTGCACAAGGCTCAGATGATAGGCAATTACCGCATCACACACAAGGCCAAAGACAGAATCTTAAAAATGTTTATCAAGATGCAAGTTTGGAACTCAAATGATGACCCCAAGAACGCAGAAATGAAGAATAACCACAAACAAAAATCTCCTGCACAAAGTGCTCACTGTCATCGCACTCTTGGTAAAAGTTTAGATAACACTGAACGTGGCTTTATATACACAAGTGCAGTATACAAGGGATGATAGGCCAAGGGCATAGTTTATGCAGACAATAAGAAGAAAAAGTTTCAAATGACAAACTGAACAAATGTACTCAAGGAATGTTGGTTAGAGCAAAGACTGTTTAGTTTGTTTGAAGGACACCACTTCACATCCAATTCAGGATTTTAAGACAACGCCATAATAAATGCCATTAGTGTTGTAGTAACCCTGTAGTAAATACCATAACTGCTTACAAAACACTGCAGTGTTTCCAGCGCTGCTTTTCTAGTTCTAACATTGTGAGGCAAGACAATCTAACTCAGGTTGCTAATGTAGAGTCATACAGCTGAAGAACAAAAACGTTCACCAGTTTAGCAGTGCCTACTCTGAAGTTCAGTTCCACCAGCCCCTACCTTGAGCTGTGCAATCTGCTGCTCCAGCAGTACCTCCGACTGACACTTCAGCAGCTCAATCTCCTCCTGGAACTGGAGCTGCTGCTTCAATTTTACCTCCTCAAATTGAGCCAGAAGAGCTGTTCGTGCAGTTTCTACTTCAGAGGCTGATGCAGAAGCATACATCTGCAGACAAATAAGTAACAGAAAAGATTTTAGCCACAGCGTTATAATTAAGCTAAATCCAAAACCATCCAGCTCAACCAGAGTATTTTCACAATAGCTCTCTCCAATCCTCAAGGTCATACACAGTTGCTATCTATCACCATGCTGACTATAGAAAAAAGCACGTTGATATGTACAATTAAGAAGCAACAAGGCATTAGATACCAAGTATCTCCTGTATTCATAGACCATTTAGGTCAGACTAACAAAGTATTCCCTACTTGTTCTTTCCAACAGATACTTCCCTAAGAGAAATTCAAAGATACAAGGAAGAAAAAGGCAGAGAAAAAATACAGGAAGAATGTATTTTGTTGAGATGTGATTTCTCTTGCTCAAATGAGATTAAACATTGCATAGCTATATTTAATGCAGTTATCCTATGAGATACAACAAAGTTAATCAAAAATACCAGAGAAAGATTTGAGGGTTTTCTGTTACTTTGTTTTCTTTTTTTTGCTACTATCCTCTCCAAGAAAAGTCACTGTAGCCACCAGAATAGAGAGAATATATATAATATAGAAAAGTGAAGTCTTTATCACTTGTGGCTGCTTGCACCAACACAAGTCAGACTGTATAAAAGACTTCTTCCATTTCATTGTTTAAAGATAACTTAGTGTAGATGATCCAATTTTTAGCCTTCAAGATGAAAGAAAACAATCAAGCTTACACATTTCCAACAAGAAGAAATGGTAAAGCTTTAAGGACAACTAGAAAGATTTCCAACCCTCACTGAGAAAACATACGTGGGAAAGTATTACCTACTATAATTTTATCTCTAACGAAAGAAGAAATCAATATTAGCAAAGGTTATTTACAAAGGCCTGAAGTGAGCAGTTACTTTCCACAAATGGTTAATGAGCTAAATTGTTACCTACTAGTTTTCTATCAAAATGGCAGCTTTCAAATGTTGAATTAAATACACAGCAGGAACTCAAAAGAAAGCAGCCCCCACTCCAATAAAGAGAGCACTGCAAACAGGGACCTACATGTAAAAACTTAAATTGTCTTAAATTCTTTTAGATAAAGTAAGGCTTAAAAATGCTAACTTTGACTTATCTATTGGCACTGTTAGAATCATAGAATCGTTAGGGTTGGAAAGGACCTTAAGATCATCCAGTTCCAACCCCCTGCCGCGGGCAGGGACACCCTACGCTAAATCATATCACCCAAGGCCTCGTCCAACCTGGCCTTGAACACTGCCAGGGATGGAGCATTCACAACCTCCCTGGGCAGCCCATTCCAGTGCCTCACCACACTCACAGTAAAGAATTTCTTCCTTATATCCAATCTAAACTTCCCCTGTTTAAGTTTGAACCCATTACCCCTTGTCCTGTTACTACAGTCCCTAATGAAGAGTCCCTCCCCAGCATCCCTATAGTCCCCCTTCAGATACTGGAAGGCTGCTATGAGGTCTCCACGCAGCCTTCTCTTCTCCAGGCTGAACAGCCCCAACTTCCTCAGCCTGTCTTCATATGGGAGGTGCTCAAGTCCCCTGATCATCCTCGTGGCCCTTCTCTGGACTTGTTCCAACAGTTCCATGTCCTTTTTATGTTGAGGACACCAGAACTGCACACAATACTCCAGGTGAGGTCTCACGAGAGCAGAATAGAGGGGCAGGATCACCTCCTTCGACCTGCTGGTCACGCTCCTTTTGATGCGGCCCAGGATACGGTTGGCTTTCTGGGCTGCAAGCGCACACTGCCGGCTCATGTTCATTTTCTCATCAACCAACACCCCCAAGTCCTCCGCTTCTGTTAAAGCAAAACCATCCAAAAAAGCATCTGGATATACCACCTGACTTCTAAGGTTAATAAAAATGCTTTTACTTTCTGATAAACATTGGATTATTTTGGGTTTAGGTACTAGCAACACTCTGACCTTTTCCTCCTGCTCATGCTGTGCTTTTAGTTTCCCCAGTTCTTTTTCCAGCTCTCTGGAGTATTCTTCCTTATGCTTCTTCATTTCTGTCTCATGAAGATCCTGAAGCTCTTGGAGGGCTTTTCTGTGCTTGTCCTCCATATTCAACACTTCTTCACGTAATATATCCAGGGCCAGACGTTTCTCCTCTTCCAGCAACCTTCTTTGATTTTGAAGAGCTGTGTTCAATTCATCCTGTGCAAGCATTAATTTTAAAAGGGGAGAAAAAGAATGAAGTACAAATATTTTTATAACCCGCACATGTCACGCTGTATCAAAGCTTAAGCAAACAGGAAAAATACTGCCTCATGAATGATGAGCAGGCATATACATAGAATCACAGAACGGTTTGGGTTGGAAAGGACCTTAAAGCTCATCTGATTCCAACCCCCTGCCACAGGCAGGGACACCTTCCACTAGAGCAGGTTGCTCCAAGCCCCTGTGTCCATCCTGGCCTTGAACACTGCCAGGGATGGGGCAGCCACAGCTTCTCTGGGCACCCTGTGCCAGGGCCTCAGCACCCTCACAGGGAAGAGCTTCTTCCTTGTATCTAACCTGAACTTCCCTGTATCATTGAAATTACTTTATTTTTCCTATCTAGCAGAAATTTTAGACTCCCCTACTTACTCCTTTATCCATGGCATCACTCCCCCTCAGCACAATCTTCAATTTTATCTTTTTGAAGTTCTTTACACTCAAGAACAATTAAAATGCAGATTTAAGATTAGTTAGCATAGATAGGACAGAAGAAAAAATGCACACCTTTCCCCACAAAGGACATCCTCTTAGCCTTTGTGGGGACAGAAACAAACGTAGAATCAGAAGTTTGAGAAGTGGGCATAGTGACAGTGCTTGAAAAACAGAACATTTCTCTCTGGAAGGCTCTGAAGTTTTAGCAGTGAGCTAAGCCTTCTTACCTCCTTGACTTGGAAAAGTCTTGGCATCATCTCTCACCCATCTGAACTCTCAAAAGAGCTGAAACCTCTACCCAAGATCTACTCACCAACAACCTGCTCCCAAAACCCTAACTGGAACCTTTAGAGATAGATACCCTTCTTCTAGTCTTCCCTTTGATACTGTGCCACTGGGGAGGATCTTTAGAGTCCTAGAGATGAAGCTTAACCTACAGAATTGCATTTACTTTGTCCTAATCACTTCTGAAGAATTACTCTATCAGGCAGAGAAGCTCTGAAACACCAAATAGAGAGACCCTCCAATCTGAACTATGTTAAAAATATTTACCTAATTTGTACCTTTTCCACACAGAAAACTCATTAGTCTGGGCATTCAGGGAGGGGAGCAACAGACGGACTTAATTTTCAGCTTCAGTTTCCTATTTCAGCTCACAATAAGGCCACATATGAGTGTTAGCAGGAGATTGTCAAAATACACCCCAAGAACAAGGGAAAAGGGCATCCCACACCATGTACCATGAAATTTTACCTTCTATGCCAAGTCTTCGTCCTGACTCACCTTATGAGCTGCTTCTGTTTCAACAGCCACGGCTTTAAGTTTTTCCATATGAAGGGTAGCTAACTCAATTTTCAACTTATTTTGGGAAAGCTCAAGTTCTTCAGCATGCTTTAATTTCAACATCTGTACCTCCTGATCCAAGCGTGCTTGACCCATTTTATCCTTTTCTTGGAGCTGTTCTGTGTGCTGCAGCTGTAGCTTCTCAAGAGCCTGACTGTGCTCATCTCTAATATTCTGAATTTCAGACAGGTAGGATGACTCTAAGGAATCCAGGTTTGATAAGTGTTTAACCTCCAGCTCATCAATTTGTGCCTGGTGCTTTTCCTGCAGTTCAGCAATACAAGCTTCAAGCTGGACCTGCTGTTTACTTTCTAGTGTAGATTTAAGTGCCTCAATTTCAGCTTGGTGCTTTGTCTGAAACTCAGTTGTAAGAGACAAAATTTGCTGCTTATGCTTCTCCTGTAATTGCTCATTTTGGAGCTCCAGTTCATCAACATGTTTCTTTTTCAGCTCTTGCAGAAGAATCTCTTGCTCAGTTGTGAATTTCTGAGTCATGGCTTTGTGTTCCTCCATAAACCTAGATTATTTCCAAGAAAGTTAAGAGAATAGTGTCAAAAAGGCATTGCTTGCTTTGGTTTTAAGACGAACTAAAAATAAAACCCAAAGAAAAATAAGAAGACCTCACTTAGCCTCCACAAATTTGACTTTGTGTTTCAAACACAACGAATTCAAAGCAAGCCACAATGATTTCATAGCCACATAATTGAAGGTTTATGCAGTATCACTTGCTGGTATCTGTTTACTACTAGGTAGAATGGCACCTCTATTAAATTACTAATAGAGAGCCACATACAAACATTGTTCACTCTGAGAGAATACTGCCATATGAGAGCATCTGGTATATAGCATACACATTGTCTACACCCCAAATGTCTTATCTGTAAGTAAACCAACTGTCATAAGAATCATACCCAAAAACATGTGGTTAAGACTGAGACATAAAACCACTCTGGAAGAGGATGTGGGATACCTGGGGGCTCCTCCAAACTCATTTCAGCTCTCTGAAGTCTGCCTAAAGCTTGATGCAGAAGATTTAGTACCAGAGATGCTGCAATTTACTGTAATCATCAAGTGTAGTATTTTTTGAATAGAGGCACCAATAATCGAAAAGAGATGGGCTATTTAAAGGCTGAATTTCTACTTTTAGTGTTTCCTTACTGTAATTATTTCCCTAATCTCATTCTGTGAGCATCTGTTTAGGGAGGAAAGAAGGGATAAATCTGAAGCAATGCATGCAAATACAAACATGCAGTTATTTGAGTATTTCCTTTAACACACTTAAAACAACGGGTACAGGAAGGGGAAGAAAAAGAGCAGTTACAGCTTTCCTGTTTAACCAGAGCTGCAGTATATCATATTCAGACCATCAACCTCAGCATTCAGTGGTTAACACAAGCTTCATTCACCAGCTTGCTTAAATACATTTGAATTGATTGAAAACACTTGAAAAAACTGAGAATGTTTCCACTTCCATGTCCTGTAACACTTCCTCTAAAGCTGGTTTTCAGCGGTATGTTGTATTCTTAACTGCAACAAACATAACTTGACCACACTTCATTTGATTTGTTAGAATAGATTCAATGCATTTACATGAAGCAAAGCTGTAAACTGCAATGGACGGCATTACTGTTACTTTGGAGTGAGCTCTACATACATGAAGTTAGCTGATGCCATCAAGTGACCAATTTACATCACTACCTTACATCTAAAATAAGAGCAGCAATACCAATGACTGAACTGGCAAGTGAAGAGTGCTCAGACACTCGGGACTTACTTGGTTTGTGCTTCCATAAGTTTCAGTGCACATTCTTCCTGCAGACAAAGTGTGGCCTTTTCCATTTCTTTTGCCATAAGTGTTTTGGCTGCCTGCAGGTCAGCATCATACTGCTCCTGAGCTTTCTGCACAGCCTGTGCACTTGCAAGGCTGTCCTCTAGCTGCTGCAAGTTGTTTTGCTGCTCTTTTACCAGTTTCTCCAATTCCAGAATTCTGGCAGCTTGGTGATCTTGAAGTTGATTCATTTCAGCTTCACGAAGTTCAAACTCCTTTTGTAACTCCTGCTTCTCACATTCGCCTCTGTTCTGCAGTTCTATACGCAACAGTGATAATTTCTCCTCTGCTTGGATCCTCTGGTCCTCACTTTCACATTTCCATTTGTTCTCCTTTTCTTTGTACATAGTCTCTATCTTCTGGACTTCTTCTCTGGCTTCTCTTAATTTATTCTTGTGATCCTCAGCCATCTCATGTTTTATCTGTGAACACAGTTTTGCATAAAATACCAAAACCAAACTGACAAGTGCAAAATGAATATTCTCAGGCATTTAAGGTCTTGGAGAGATTCAATTCCTGCAGTGAAAAAAATACTGTTTACTTCCAGATAAAAGTAAGGCTGAAATGTCAATTCATAGCTATTTTAATTCAATGCATTATTAAGAATTAACTGGGGTAAGGAAGAAAAAATTAAGGCAAAATCCTAGAATTAATAAGATACTCCATGTTCTTTTCCCCTGGGGCCACTTGCCTTCATTTCAGGAGTTCAAATTGAAAAAAACACAGAATCACAGACTTGTTTGGGTTGGAAAGGACCTTAAAGCTCATCCAGCTCCAAGCCCTGCCACAAGCAGGGACACCTTCCACTAGAGCAGGGTGCTCCAAGCCCCTGTGTCCAACCTGGCCTTGAACACTGCCACGGATGGGGCAGCCACAGCTTCTCTGGGCACCCTGTGCCAGCGCCTCAGCACCCTCACAGGAAAGAGCTTCTGCCCAAGAGCTCATCTCAGTCTCCCCTCTGGCAGGTTAAAGCCATTCCCCTTGTCCTGTCCCTATGGGCCTTTGTCCAAAGCCCCTCTCCAGGTTTCTTGTTGGCCCCCTTTGGGCTTGATTAAAAACCTCTTTTAAACCTCTCATCTCCCTTCGTGTTCCAGCTCCAGATACTTTATATGCAGTATCCAAGTCCATCACAAGGACAGTTCTCTCCTGTAGCATTAAAAGCAGTATAAAAAATTCATAGCATAAAAACAGAAGCCAAAGCACTGAAAGACTGTTCAAGTGACAAACGGCAGAAAAAGACTCTAAATACACTGAGCTGGTAAACAAACAAATAGTAAGCTAAGAAAACAACAGAATCATCTCTTAAGAAAAAATTAAAGGCTAGTAATATCACACAGGACTGTAAAAGCAGTAACAGATCACATCGGTGTGAAGTCCACTCTTCTGTTTTCACTTGGAAAGTTCATTTTGAACGAATAAGCATTCATTTATACTACAACCTAAATGATGAGGCAGAAAAGGCAAAAACCCCAAGGATTTTGATTAACACACAATCCATGATGATTTTTCTGGGTTTCACTGGAGAAGCAATAGAGGAAACTGGTTCACTCTGTTTCTGAGAGATAGACATCGGACGGCAAGCAAAACATGGATTTCCAGACAGAGGATCAGCATGTGGGCCAGGCTCATTTCAGACACCACATTCTGCATACACTTATCTTTTATCCAGCCAGCAGTGCCACAAACAAGATCCCGCAGGTGGTAGAAGTAACTATTAATACTGAAGGCTTCATTACTGGAAGCTTCAGGTGAGTCTCCATGTCCTCTCCAGTCTGCAACTGTTTTCTCTGGCCTTCTCCACCAGATTTTAAGTCTACAAAAGGATGCTCATTCTCTCTCATTAAAAAGGAAGGAAAAGAGGACTTGAGAAATAAGAGCTTCATCCATCTAATTCTCTCAAGTATTCAAATACTAGAACAAATTAAGCAAAGAATTAACATCTGAGCTAAGGTTATCCTCAGATGGGACAGCTGACTTAACAGGTAAAAGAGAAGGTTTGTAAGGATGCAAGGGTTGGTCTCTTCTCCCAAGTAACAAGAGGGAATGGCCTCAGGCTGTGCTGGGGAGGTTTAGACTGGATATTAGGAGCAATTCCTACCCCCAGAGAGTGTCAAGTACTGGAATAGGCTGCCCAGGGCAGTGGTGGAGTCATCATCCCTGCAGGTATTTAAAAGATGTCTCTAAGTGCCATGTCTACACATGTTTTAGCAGTAGTGCTGGCAGTGAACAGTTGGGTTTGATGAACTCAAAGGTCTTTTCCAACCTGAAGAATTCTACGATTCTGAGGTGCCAGACAGGATTCTCTTTACCTACAAATTCTAAGAGCTACACCTAAGCAAAGCCAAAGCAGAAGTCTCTTATCCAATTCTCAATTCTTCCCTCCAAAAATGCCCCGAAAAGTTACTTCTGGTTATTTGCTTCAAAGACAGAAATTTCTCAGAGAGGACCTGTTCAGCAGAGAATATTTTCCATCTGCCTCTGCGCTTTCTGCTGAATTCTCCATTACCACATGATATAGAATCATAGAATAGTTAGGGTTGGAAAGGACCTTAAGATCATCTAGTTCCAGCCCCCCTGCCTCGGGCAGGGGCACCTCACACTAAACCATCTCACCCAAAGCTTCGTCCAACCTGGCCTTGAACACTGCCAGGGATGGAGCATTCACAGCCTCCCTGGGCAACCCATTCCAGTGCCTCCCCACATTACAGTAAAGAATTTCTTCCTTATATCCAATGTAAACTTCCCCTGTTTAAGTTTTAACCCATTACCCTTTGTCCTGTCACAATGAAGAGTCCCTCCCCAGCATCCCTATAGCCCCCATTCAGATACTGGAAGGCTGCTATGAGGTCTGCACGTAACCTTCTCTTCTCCAAGGCTGAACAGCCCCGTAATGCAACTGTGCCATATTACTTTTGCACCAGGACAGGGATGCGCTGCAGGGAGATGTTCAGGATAAGGACCTTTTGTATTCCAATATTTGTGTGTACCCATGCAAGTCCATTTAAAGCTGAAGCTATGATCACTAACTATGCACTTTTAAAGATAAGTACTGCTTCTAGCTCCCTTGGTCTTCGCAACAGATCTGAGCTTGCCCAACTCTCTACTAAACATTACTGTAATACATGTTACCTTTTCCATTTCCTCTTTCAGGTGCTTTTCATTCTGCACAGAGGAATCTTTTTGTTTAGTAATCTCCTCCTTTAAGTGCTCTATTTCTTCCAGAAGCTCTGCAATACGCTGTTTCTCAGAGTTGAGAAGGGAGAGCTTAGCTTTGTGCTCTTCCTCCAGCACAGATACTCGCTCAGCCACCTCCATTTCAACCTGACGTGCTGCATCTTGAGCACTCCGTAGGTGCAGTTTGGTGATTTCTGAAAAGCAAAAAGAAAACAAAACAATAAAATGACGTTCTGGAACTCCTTTTATTTTAACAGGTTTTATTAATGCACAGAAATAAAGCTGATGTTGTCAGCTGCGCAGTTTATCAGCAGCCATATTAACTTGAGATCAACAAGAGCCCCTTATCAAGATGATTTTGTACCTTGTTGCACTTTCTTGTCACGTTTGAAATGTATCAGTATCCACCTCCCTCCTCCAGCAACAGCCACAGGACCTGACTTTCTTTTGGGAAATGTAATGGCAGATTCATACAAGCTTTATCTCCTCTTCTGCACATGCTTTTTACATAAGGCATTTCCCAAGAAAGGCAGATGGGAGAAAACTCTAAACATTTTAAGCACTTTTTATATACCTGTCTAGTATTAAAAATAAAAGAAAAATAAGAAATATAACTGCAGATATTAAGTCATATCGATCCTTCTAACCAATATACAGTGGAATATAGCTATAGCTGCATGTTATATAGCTAACTGTAAAGGATGGATTATAAAGTCATACTATGCTCCAACATTGCAGATACAACAACTGCCATGATAGCTTAACCTGCACCTCAATATATGCATTTCACATTGACTCAATACAAGGTGGTATATTTCTATAAATTATAATTCCAAGAAAAGCAGCAATGGTTAGGAAATGACATTAACCTATGATCACATAAGGAAGTCTCATTAAATTTAGTCTTAAAAGGAACTTTAACCTGAACTCCACAGTAAACAAAACCTATTACAAATTTTGCTCCTTCGAAATACTTTCCTCTGTGTTCAAAAACTTCATCCTAACACATCTGCCAACTAGTGGAAAACACAGGAGAAAAAGGAAATATTAATATTAAATGAGCAGAGCACTGTCAAACCCTCGAAACACAGGCAAAAGAGGTATGGAACATAGAAGTGGGTGTACTCTATGGAACTGGCCTATTTCACACAAACAGAGGAGGCATTTAACGTAACTGACAGACAAGACTAAGAAATTCTCAAATACATATCAATTCAGGAATTGACAGTGCCCTCCCAGGCATCAAGAAGGAAAACCTGATCAGCTCCGCAGCTGCAGTACATTTTACTACACAATAACCAGTTTCAGGTAACCATATCTTTTATGGGCATGTTGAGTTGTGCTTCCAAAGTCAAAAAGCAAAGTGCTGGATGCCAGGGCATAACACATGTTCCCTATAGTTTATGGAAGATAATAACAAATCAAAAACTGAAAAGCCTATTTAAAGGAAAATATAAGTGCCGCAAGCAGCTTACTATTTTGCTTCCCAGTCTGTCAGATCATCTTACCTTTTAAATGTTCTTCTGAAAGCTGGGCACGGAGCTGCTCAAGTTCTAAGCAATGCTTTCTTTTCATTTCCTCAATTTCTGTTCTATATTTGTCTGACAGATCCATTTTCATTTTCATTAGGTCCTCTTTATATTGAAGTGCAAGGGAAGATCTTAAGGAATCTAATTCACACCTGTGTTGTTCTTTAAGTTGTACTTGCAAACAGGCAAGTTCTTCCTACACAAGAAATGGGTTAGGGAAAGACATCTTCAGCTTTGAAGAAACCATGCCAAGTATCTTTCAGTGACAGCAGCAATATAAAGCACCTGCTCAACAAGCATGTATCTGGTTTCCAAAAAACCTGCTGGCTTTGCTCTGTTCCTGCTGCTCCATCTGCTGCTAGAGCAGCAGAGCCCCTCAAGATAGATATGCTTTGGAACCATGCCACAAGGCAGTTCTGAGTTTCAGGAGCTGTTTGAGTGTGTAATAGAGGGGGAAGTCCCACATACATCTGGGTAGAAAAACTATTGACTCTCAGCAATTAAGAGAGCCCTTTGTGTACACCACAGAACTTAAAATAACCATCTATTATGAATGCAGCTTCATACTCAGCTAGGTAATCAAATATCAGCAAGAAAACAGGTATGATGTGTACATTCCTTATAACTCATGTATTTTTTTGTGTGATTTACTAATAAAATGGAGCTCATGTTGTCCTGGGGATGCCTTTTCTCCTTGTCATTCCCTTACTAAAAATAAAATACATTAACTTTATAATTAATTTTGAAAAGAAAAATCTAAAACTAAAACCAAAAGGAAAAATCCTTTTTGAAACACTCAGTTCACTTCAAGTAAGTTGAGCAAAGAAGTTCTTAAATTACAATGAGGTACATAAAAATAGGTGTGTAAATAGAAGAGGGACCAAATTAGCAACTGCATTTGAAGGGAACAGGCAGCAATAGAAGGCACAACTACCACAGAAGCTATAGAGAAGAGAAACATCATAAGCTCTGCACTTGTGTAGAAAAGCCTTGATAAGCTCCTTACTAGGCTTACAGGATAACCCAAACAAAGGGCATAAAATCACAGAACACTGTTTCATCTGTTCTGCTAGGCTGAGAACTGATAATTTACAATATAATTGTCAAAAATAATTAAGCCTGTCTCAAATTAGGTCTCGAAAATGTCTCAAATTAACATCTGACATCAATTTTCATATAGGTCATGTAATGAACAGTAGAACTTTATTATACCAAAAATCCTACCTGATGTCGCTCCAGCTGTTGATTTAGTTGAACAAGCGTATCCTTTCTCTCTTTCTCAGCAGCCTCTTCAAAAACTGTGACAGAAGAACTGAGAAAAGAGGTTTCAAGTTTAAGACTGGAATGTGTCACAAATTAAGTGAACTTGCTGATTTACGATGCACTGGAAGTAGGCACAAAGCAACTATAACAACTGCTCAGGAATGAACACTCGTGACTTCCATCACTGGGTTTCTAACTACAGATTGCTTAATGATCAATCCCAATATATTTAGAAGCTAACATCATCTTTAGTATTAAAAATATAATGCAAGCAATGCTGTCACAACATGAGATACAGGGAAAAGGAATAGTCACCTGATGTCCCCTGCTTGATCTTGACTCATTTCTAACTCTGACAGTGAATAGTCCTTCAGCTCTTGCAGTCTCTGATGCAGCAAAGTCAATTCTTCTCTGTAGTTTTCTTCAGCAACCTTTAGCTTCTTTTCAAAGTAAAGTCTCAGTTGCTCCAATTCAGCTTCATGCTCACTTTTTCTCTGCTGACACTGTTGTTCAAATTCTTGTTTTAAACGCTCTATTTCTTCCACCTGTGATGCACGAGCCAGAAGCTGCTCTTTCAGCTCTGGAATGGAGGCAAAACCAACTCAAGCACTCAGAAGCACATATCTTTAGGCTAAATCATTATGTGAACTTCAGCCGTATTTTAGTTGTTGAGACAGGGGTAAAATGTTATACCAGAAGCTACATAATAAATAAACTTCTAAAGACAAAATGTCAGAAGACAGTAAACCTATGTTCTTCATTTACACTGCATTCAGAGAAACCATCCTCATGACAAGAATCAAAACTACCAGAAAACTGTTAGACCTCCTCATTTCCTTGTGTTTCAGGTCTGGGCTAGTAACATGCAGAGTCCTGCAATACTACTTAATCATCACATAGGCTCACTGTAGCAGTTACTGATAACACCACCAATGGGATAGGCAAGGGGAGTCCAATCTGGCATGGGTAGGTTTTGCCTAACCAGTAAAGTCTGCCAGCACAATAGTAACCCTGAGAAGTGTTTAACAGTTTTGAACTGGCATATCATTTGTACATCAGAGCAGGGATCCCATGATCCAGCTGCCACCACCACAAGTCCCCAAATCAATCTAAATGCATTGCCAAAGGATCACTCAAGTGAAGAAAAGCAGAGGAAAACAAACCACTTTTAAGATCTCACACGCCAAAAGAGATATCCTCACCTGGACCATGGACTTGCATTCTGGCTTCACCATCTCAAGCAAGATGAAGAAGAAACAGAAAGGGTCCAAAGAATGGGAATGTGGGCAGTTAGAAACATGGAGAGACATTTGAAAGGTTAATAAAGATCAGGGCTACAGAGAGGAAATATAAGAATTCCAGCAAATACTATAAAGTGGTATCTGCTATAATTTTGTAATATCAAAACAGATCTGAAAAAGTCAAGGTAAAGTCTGTTCAATAAAGTTTTGTTTAATACATTTAAATCTTGAAGCAAAAATCTTAAGATATATAATGCATATGGTCAGATTTCAGCCAGCCATTATTTTCTCTCGCGTTTTAAAACTTTTTCATAAGCTTAATACAGATACACGTAAGACTAATTCTAGTGTGAGGCAGGGGGTTGGAACTAGATGAATCTTAAGGTCCTTTCCAACCCAAATCATTCTATGACTCTATAAAACCTATTATCTTTAACTGCTGTGCACAATGTTTTCCCTTTTGTTGCTTTTAGAGTATATGTTTATTTTTTAAACAGAAGCATCATCATGGAAAAAGGACAGTATTTTTAGCCTTATAGGAAAACAACACTGTCATGCATTCTGATTTCAGAAGTATCACCTGAATGTTTTTGGTTTAAATTAGACAACTCTTTATTCCAGGGCTTTTCTGTATTGAAGAATTAGTAGCCTTTCAAAAGATGACAAATCTCCATTTTGAGTGTCAATGAAAAATGCATTTTATTTTACTTGCCTCAAAACCAAAAGGGGGAAAAAAAGCCACTTCTACCTCAAGATACAACCTAATCACATTTTAAAATATTTCTACCTTTCTGCCTTTTTTTAAGCAGATTCATCTCTTATCTCCAAATAAAACAGTCACAATAAACTACTCGAAGCTATAAATTAAGCAGGGAGCTTTACTGCCTACCTACAATTGTTTGCTCAATTTAATTCATACCTGCTCCCACACTGAATACAAATAGGAGCATATGATTGCACTGACCAGCATTTTCCTCCTTTTTTAACTACATCATACTTAATTTGACATTGCAAGGAAAAATGTTTGGTTTCCACTAACAATTTTGACAGTGTGCATGAAAGAGGGGCAAGGGAAAGGAAAACCACAGGAGGGAGCTTTTCTCCATAGCGACACCATACTTTTTGACACTGCAGAATCAACTACACATCTGACACTGACTCACCGCTCACTTCAGAAACAGAACACTGTGACCTACCTGTGTGTTCTGGTACATGAGCACAAGTATTTTGTGTCTATAATGTGTACTTCTATATGAAGAAGAGGGAAAAAAGAAAGTGCATCAGTTCTGAACCTACCACTTAGCTCTTGTCGATTTGCTCGGGTACTGTCAAGTTGAGACCAAAGGTGCCTGACTTCTTCTTGCGAACGAGTCTTGAGTTCTTCATGCATGACCTGAAGTTTCTCCAGCTATGGAAGACATGTTAAATACCCAAAACTCCCCAACTTCTTAAACCAATTTCATTCTAATTACTTATTTGATAAGCAACAGACAGTTCTTACAGTGATAGGTAGAAATGCTTAGTGGTAATCTCAGCAACTCATCCAGGCAATCAGAGATATGGAGTAGCACTTGACTGCTAGACCCACTCCTCTGAGAGAGACAAATTTATTCTTAATGCTATGTGTATCAGCAGTGGCAAAAATAAAGCAGTAGTTATATAAAAACGAAACACAAGAACCAGAAAATTAAGCACATAAATAAAGATGAAGAAACAGCACCAAATGGCACAAAGGCAACTGCATTCAAAAGATTCTGAATTACTGGAAAATCCCAGAGTATTTGCCTGCTTCATGAGTTGAGTATTAGTTTGTCAATACAATCCCTAAATAACAAGCAAGTCACCAAAATTGCATGTATATTGTCTAGGTTTTGCTATAAAGAATCACCCTAAATGAGTGTTTATTATTTTTTACCTCTTTCTGAAGATTCTCTTCTTTTTCTTGGCTTTTCATCTTCATATTTTCTAGGAGTTGGTTATGTTCAGCCTGCAGCTGCTGTTGTAATTCTGTAATGGCTAACTGGTGTTGCTCCTCCAGTTCTATACATTTTACTGAAATTAAAAGCGAGTTCTGTTACACCATCATTCCAGATACTGAATAACCTGTACAGCTTTTATGCAACTGAAATAGAAATGCAAGTCTCTAGACTAAAATGGTAGCTCAGAGGGAATCACAAAATACTTGAAGAGTAAAGCATTTGAAAGTCAAACATCTCCACACAGTACTTCCAAGTCTCTGCATCTCTGCTGTTAGCCAAGAAATAACCAACAGTAGTGCTAGAGGGATGAGCATCTGCTCTCTGCTCACACAAACAAGCATCCTGAACTAGAAACCCATGTCAAGGGAAACAAGCATTTCTTCCAGATCCGACAAACAAAGAATTTCTCCTAAGACCAAGAGATGAACAGGAAGGACTAGGAAAGTTCACACCAAGTATGCTCTGCCTCAGCACTGAGCATTCTCTGAATCTTCTAAATGTGCTACTACCTCATCTGGTCAACAAATCTTGACCTGCACAGAAAGAATCTGCAATCAAGTGACCACATGTCAGCCCCAGTGAGCTGCAAGGGATGCCATGTTATCCTCACGGAACAGATTTTAATGATAGAGGTTCAGGGAAATCCAGTAAAGCTAGTGCAGGCTGGGAAGAACTAGCATGTTCTCACAGCAGCCAAAGGTGAGCCAAACACTGAAAGCATCCAGTCCTTGGCAGGCCAAAAAGGCTATGCTTCACTTCTGAAACCTGGTCCTGCTGCCTCCTGCCAGCATCATCCAACACCCTTAATACTGCATTTGCATTTACCCAGACAGAGTATTACAGAATCACAGAATAGCTGAGGTTGGAAGGGACCACCAGGGGTCATCTAGTCCAACCTCCATGCTCAAGCAAGGTTCCCTAGAGCACATTCCTCATTTCCCATGTCTCTCACCTGCATAGCGCCTCAGAAGCTAGGCAACCTGAGTAACTATCACTCTTCACTTCTTGGCATTCTGCACCTAGTATCTCCTTTTCATGCCATCACTGATAGCAGATCTGACACTGTTGCAGCAGTCAGCCACTATCTTAACATGTCAGATTCTGAGACCTACACAAACTGTTCCTAGTTCTATCTGTACCTCAGCAAAAGGCATAAACAGATGTACCTGTTAATGAAAACCTCAGTTACAGTATAAAAAGGTTACTTCCAGAACAGTGTCTAAAAAAGCTACTGTTCCATTAAGCTTTAACTAGTCCCAGAGCAAACCATTAAGCAAAACTAGTCCCAGGGTTTTTTGTTAGAAGCAGCTGCTATTGATAATAACCAATAGAATTTTGGTTAATTCACTAACTGCCAAAGCTGGTTTTCAGCTGGAAGCAAAACAGTACCTCCCTTTAATACACTTGAAGGAAAACATAGTCTATCTCATACCATATAGAAATCAAAGCACAAGACAGCTAACGATGCTCTAAACAATTTTTCATTTACTTAGAACCACAGACTGTTTGTGTTGGAAGGGAGCTTAAAGCTCATCCAGTTCCAACCCCTGCCATGGGCAGGGACACCTTCCAACTACAGCAGGTTGCTCTAAGCCCCGTCCAACCTGGCCTCGAACACTGCCAGGGATGGGGCAGCCACAGCTTCTCTGGGCACCCTGTTCATGTGTCATCCAGTTTTCAAGAGTCTTATGCCATTAACTCAGTTTTTGAGTACACAGATATAGCTTGCATTTGTTTTTTATGCAGGTTCTAAAAACACTTAGCTAGCTTTGCCATTGTTCAATAAATACAACTGCTTCCTACACCATGGCACTTACTTTTAGACTGCTCATTCTCCAGAGAAAGATGACCCAGCTCTGCTTTGACTTTTTCTAATTCCACCTCCAGAGTTTTCTGTAGTTCCACCATTTCTGTCTGATGTTTTCCAGATAGCTCTTCAACCATGTTTTTTAAATGCATATCAGACTCCAAATCCCAATCTCTTTTGAGAGTCTAAGAGAGGAAGATTTGCATTATTAAAGCAAACACACTCAGTAAATGAGTACTTTTCTCCGCCATTTATTTGTCCTCTACAATAAATATGTAGCAAACACAGGACTTCTACCACCTCTAGTTTACTGAAAGGAGTTTAACTTTTTCTTGTATGAAGAAGAGAATTTGTACCTCTAATGCCTGGGTATGTTTCTCTTCCATTTCCAATTCTATTTTCTTCCTCTGATCAACTGTGAAATAAAATACTAATTAATAAATTTACATTAAATGTTATGATTAAATGATAAGTAGAAATATGAGTGAGATTACCATTTTCTGTATCAAACCCAGGTGCAGGCATGCAACAGTGTAAGGTAGCAGGTTCTATCCAAACCCATACCTTTAATCCTAAAGATATACAATCAAATGCCTATCAGTGTCATTTTAGATGCTAGCATTTCAGTATACATCACTCCGAAGTGTTTGAATCATCTCTATCTCCAGAGACACAGCAAAAGAGTCCCAGGCAGCAGCAAGAAGGAAACTCTTCATATTTCTTCTAAGAATGCCTAAGAAACAGACTGCAAGACAGATGCTATTATCTGATCACTGCTATTATCACTGACACCAATGGCTTCTTCCTTCCCAGCTCCTCCCCGTATTGATTCCAGCTTCTTGTTCAGCACCCATCTTGGTCTGCAGGAACCCTGAAAGGGCCCATCAGTCACCTTCTCACAGGTTTTAAGTATCATTGCCTTAGCATGCAACCTTATTTCAAGTGTTCCAGTGGGAAATGAAAATTCAAGAGTTGATGCCAGCTACCCAGCTAATGGTCCAGAAGAGAAAGAAGTATCATCTAAGCGACAAGACAGTGTCCCAGCACCCAGGTTAGTTGGGACATGGCCTCACAGCCTCCTTGAGGAGAAATTTCTTTCCTCTAGTCCCCCAGCTAACAATATCCACAACTCCCCACCCAGACTCTTCCACCATGTGATTCAGAGTTCTCCTTCTCAGCCTCTACATTCAAGAACTCTTAAGTGGTTACATTCATATTAATGTATTAATGTGCCAGCTCTACACCAAGACAGGAACCTGTGGAGGAAGACAAATACTGATGGGGTTTCAATGTCTGGTCCATTATTCCCAAATTCTAATACCTAGTTCTTGCTGATGCTTTGTCATTAGGTCTTCTTTTTCCTTCAGACATTGTTCTTTAATCTTCTCCCACTCCAGCTGATGGCGGCTCTGCAGAATTGCTACCTCTTGAGCACGCTTATCATTGAGCATCTCCCGGAGTTCCACCAGGGCAGTTTCCTTTTCTTTTCTAAAGTTAGACTGTGTAAGCTCAAGCTGAGAGGTATGCATGTTATTTAAGCTTAGACGTAAAGCTTCCAGTTCAAGGCTGTGCAGTGTCTGTAGTGGAGAAAAAAGGAAAGAAGATGATTTTTTCCCCTCCCCTCTAAGAAAATAGTTTCACTTTTTTCAAGTCCAGCTTAACACACCTGTTTTGTCATTCTGTACTTGGAAAGTGTTTCTTCATGGCAGAAGAAAGAGTGGTTTTTAAAGGCAGAACCCTGAAAATAAGCAGCTTTTTATAACAATAAGATTTGCATAACATTCTCAGTGCAAAATGCTTTCCTTATCTGCCTCTTAACTTCATCTCCTACCAAATACCTTGTGTCTGTCCACTTCTCCACAACATCAGATCAGAACACAAGCTTGCCCCAACCTTTCGCTGTCTATTAGGGAAAATTCCTCCTATTTGCTACTGGTTGTAATTTAAAAAGCAAAATTCTGAAGTCGTATTGGAAAAGTAAAGTAAAATTCACCATACTTCATCAAAAAAGGTGTTAAATATTCAACAGTTAGAAATGGCAGTGAAAATAGACCTAGCAAACTTTTCAATTCTTAAATAGATTCAACACTACAGCAACACCTTGTAATTAGACCCGACATTGGATGCATTTCTTCCCATTTCCAGTTTGCATTTAGTGGAAGTGTTCAAGAAACCCAGTAAGTAGTGAGAGGAAAAGGTCAGGTTCATACACTTCAGTTTAGCGGGAAGAATGCCTAATTACATTAGTGGGATAAGTAAAAAGTGGGAGGGGGTTAGTATTTTCTTTAAATTCATCTGTTAAACTTATCAAGACATGAAAGATGACAAAGTTGGGCTTTTGGGGTTTGTGGTTTTTGGTTGGTTGATTTTGGTGTTTGGGTTTTTTGGTTGTTTTATTTTGGTTTTCTAACCAAATTTCTAATTTTTCAATTTCAGCATCCAGTTTTCTTCAAAATAAACATTAAAATATAATTGCAGTGAGGATCCTGGAGAACTCCCATAGAAAATATCTACTACCACCCACCACTCCTAACTCTTCAATGGCAGCATTACATAAAATCAGCCAGGTTAGAAAAGACCTTTAAGATCATCAAATCCAACTGTTACCCAGGACTACCAATATAAAAGAGTTCACACTGTATGCACAAAAATCAAGGAGCCTTCTTTTGTAACATCCAGGTAACCACTGCAGTAATTCCTGTGCTCCTGTATTTCACCTGGGATTGGAGCTGAGCCTGCTCAATCTCTGCTTTGTGTGTGGCTGCCATTTGCTGCCGAAGTTCATCCAACAGGAGCTGCTGTTCTTTATTTAGCTTAGTACGGAGCTTCTCCATTTCATCTTCATGTCTAGCGATCAGCTCAGAGATCTCACGATCATGCTCTCGTTCATGTACCTGCAGAGAATACTCAGCTGAAGAACTTGATTCAACAAAATAACCAGAATTCTCCCCTCCTCCCCAAATCAAGACACCACGGAAGAAAAGACACAATTATTAGATATTTGCATCTCTAAAACATTTATACTGTTTAAACAACACAAACTGAGTTTGCTTTTCTGAAATCAACCCAAGGACAGCATTTACCTTTTTTATTAAGGCAATCTGTTCCTTTCTTTCTTCTTCCAACTTTTGCTGGTTTTCTACTTTATCTTTTATTTCAGCCTTTAATTCTTCTATCTGCAAACAGGCATACAAACATTTACAATGTCTACCTTAAGCATTCCAAAATCCCAAGCCTCCTGCTTGGGTTTCCTACCACTTTCTCTTGTGTCAAACTCACTTTAGCTAATTCAGCACGGTGCTGAGTCTCCATTTTATCCATTTCCTCTCTGTGATGTTTCACCATCTTGGCTTGTGCCTCCTGTGCAGCTTGTGCAGACTGAAAGGACTCCTGCAAGCGAGCCTCAAGCTCCAAATGAGCCTTCTTCAAATGGGCAATTTCTTCAGTCAACTGGCCTTTTTCCTCACTGTATTCAGTACTTTTGGCCTTTACTTCAGCATTAAGTCTATGGATTTCTAGGTGGCTGAAGTTCAACCTCTCCTCATATTCCAGTCTTTCACACTCATGTATTTCTTTGAGGTTCTTCACTTCAGCATTAAGTTCCTGTATGTTTCTCTCAAGATCCTCAATGATGCTAGCATTGTCTGCTAGTGTTTTTCCTGCTTTTATTAGATCCACCTCCATATCAGATAATCTCTCTCCTAAGGTGGCTTTTTCCTCTAATAAGAGTGCTAAATTTTGTTCTTTATTATGGATTTCAGCTTTGAGCAGCTCCTGTTCTTTTAGCAATGTCTCTTCAGATACAGTTTTCTGACCAAGCAGCTCTGCTATTGTCTGGTTTTTATTCTTCTGAGCATCAAGCTGGCTTTGCATCTGATCCCTCTGACTTTGCAAAGCAGCTAACTGACGTCCAAAAAGAGACTGTACTTCACTTGTTACAGAATCAGAAGCTGTTTTCTGCTCTTGAACATCTTTTACTAATTGCTCCTGTGTTCGCAGCTGCACCATCAGCATTTCTCTTTCCTCCTGGAGGTCTTTTATCATGTCTTGCCAGGTAGAGGATTTTGACACTTGTGTTGAAGCTTCTCCATCCTCGCCCTGCTGCCTCATTAGAAACATTATTTTGTTTTCAAGTTCTTTCTCCTTCTCTGCTTTCTGAAGAAGTTGTTTCTCACAAGAGATCCGTGCTTCACGTTCCTCATCCAGTTCCACACGCATTTGGGAGAGCTCAGCCATTACTTTTTCCCATTTTCCAACAGCTTCTTGGGTCTCCTGAGATGATTTCTTCAAGGCTGACTCCTTCTCATGGAGCTGCTCATTTAGCTTTAGACATCTCTCTACTAAACTGGTTGTCTCATCATCCTTTACAGCACCACCGTGGTCACTTATTTTGCTTTGGTGCAGGGAGCTATCTGACAGAAATGCAACAAAGGCCTTTGCACTCACCTCAGTCTCTTCAAAAGTCTCTTGAGCCAAATCACTAGGATTTATTTCCTCATCAAGGCCAAAGCTTAATGCAGATAAAAAATCCCTGCTGCGTTCTAGAAGCATACTGTCTAACCCGTACCTACTGCACCTACCTTCTTCAATGGCGTAACCTTCAGAAGCGCTACATGCGTAAGACTCTTCTGGTCTCTCAGTGGAGATGAGATATTTAGCCAACATACCTTCATCACCACTAAAAAGCCCCACTTCTGGCAAGTGTTCTTGAGACACTTCACTGTTTTCGTTATTCTCTATGATCTTTGAATTCTTGATTTCTACTAATTGATCCCTTGAGGAGCCTACTCTCAAGCCATGCTGGAACTCTAGTTCTTCATGAACTAGCTCATCTTCACCTGTTAACTGGTGTGGCGTATTCCACATCTCATCAAGTTCTGCTCTCATCTCTGGTAAAATCTGGTTTTCCCTCAATTTCATTACCTTTCTATTGGAGACAATCTCTTCATCATACTTTTGCCTTATGTCTATAGTGGGTTTAGCCTCATAAAGTTGCTTCTCATTTAATGCCTTGATGAAAGAATTCAGTTTCTGAATCTCTCCATTTGAGGACTGTTTTACTTGTTTATATTGCTCAGCTTCCTTGAGCTGCTCTTCTGCACCAGAAAGTTGCAACTTAAGCCCATCAATCAAATCCTTGTATTTAGTCTCAATTTCAGATTTTTCTCTCTCAAAGTCTTCCTGTTGGTTCTCAAGTCTCTTTCTCAAAGATTCTTTATTAACTTCAGACTCATGAAGACTCTTATTTAAGTCAATTATTATGCCATTCAAAGTCTGAACATGCTCTTCAGAATTCAGAGCAGAGAGTTCTCTTTTTAATTCTTCAAGTTCATTTTTGTATTTTAAAATCATTTCTTCTTCATATACCTGTTTGGCTTCTGCAATTTCTCTTCTGTGGCACTTCTCCAGCTCAGCCCTCAAGTTCTCCAACTGTCTGCAAATATCCTTCTCATGACTGATTGTCAGTTCTTCAATATGTTGTTGTTCTTTCATTTTGGATAAAGCTATTTCATTTTTCAATTCTGTTATCTCTGAGTCACGGAGAGAAAGGGTATGTTGTAGTACAGACAATCTTTCTGATGCCACTAGATCTTGGAGACTTTTAACATCTTGTTCTTTTTCTTCTGTGTTTTGGCATAGCTGTTGAATTGTATCTTCCATATTTTCTTCCAGTTGGGCAAATGTATTTTCTTTATCTTTGGTATTCTGAAAAAAAAAATATCCTGCATATGAAATATGCCATTGAAATATGTTTTCATTTCCCTAAGCCTCATGCTTTCAATTTATCTTCCTAAATAATACTTACTATTAAGTGCAGGGTGTATCGTTGGCCTAGGCAACAGGATTTTTAACCACATTCTTGAGAGTTGAAAGGATTACTGCAAGTCTCTGGTAACAAATATGGTAACAAGTAGCAATTTATCTAAGCAATAACAAATGCTGTGTCACTGAGTCCAAAAAGAAAGAAAATAGTGGCTGTCTCAAACTTCAGGTATTTTACTTAAAGACTATCAGAGCTACAGATGCCTCTCCACCTCACATCCATGTACTCCTGCAGGCAGGAGTAAGCTAACTTAAGAGTCATCTCACATTTTGGCTCATCTGACTCACTTAAAAGCTTAAGGCTTCTACCCATGGCATTGCTGGTTATGTGCTTAAAGGAAATCAGATCTTTTAGGCTGTTCCTTTAATGTATGCTTACACAGCAGATCCAGCAACCTTCACCCCACTGCAAGCCTCTGTCAGTTATGTTCCTGCATGCCTCAAAGAATCCTACAATGTTTTGTGTCGGAAGGGAGCTTAAGTTCCAGCCTCCTGCCAAAGGCAGGGACACCTTCCACTAGAGCAGGTTGCTCCAAGCCCCATCCAACCTGGCCATGAGCACTGCCAGGAATGGAGCAACCACAGCTTCCCTGGGCACCCTGTGCCAAAGGCTCAAAACCAGATGGACCTGCTTCTGATGGAAATTTCTTCATGTTATACAACAGTTGAGTAACAGAGTTAAAAAGCAACCCTTCTGCAACATAAACCACTGGAGTAATTTCAACAGAAAGAGCCAGAACTAAATCCCTTGTTTCATTACAAAAAGAAAAAAAAACACCAAACTTAAATTGTAAGCAGCTGGTTTGCTTTAGCTGAATATCATTACCTTCAAAAGAATAAACTTTCAATTCCATGCTAAAGTGTAGTTTCACTCCTGAAGCATTAGTGTTACCTCACAGACAAATTTAAAGTTCATTACAGGATCTTCCTCCAAAAAAGTACCACCCTGGCGTGCATGACCACACCAAAACCCTAACTACCTACAACTTCTAATTATAAAGGCACTTTCCAGTTTTTACCTTTTGAGAAGACTCAAGCTGTACTTCCAGGTCATGTGCTTTCTCACGCAGCATCTCCAAATGTGCATTTTGCTCTCTGATACGGCTCTGAAACAAGGACATCTGCTGCTGGGCTTCTAATACTTCATTTTTCTCAGTGCTTGTACTCCTCAGCACCTCATTATCCTGAACACAGAAAGACAGAGTCATAAGAAAGTTGATGACAGAACTCCTACACAAGTCTCACTGTATGCATAAAATATACTGTATTCATTTACTTCAGATGTACCCTGTGTCTTTCAATGAGTAAGAATCTCCCTAAAAAGTCAGACAATGCTTATCCTGTCTTAGATACTATCACTCACCATAAAGACATAAATCGACTAACCAATCTCTAGAGGTCCCTTCCAACCCTAACAATTCTGTGATTCTGCTAGATAATTCATCTCTGTGAAAGCTCCAAAATGAAACAGTACTTCCAAAGGACTGACATACTCATATGAGGACAGTGAACTAAACCAGTCTTCTCTGCAAAGGATTTACAGTTCAATACTAAAGGGTTTTCTTTCCACCTCCCTCCAAATGAAAAGAGGACATTCACCCCTACGTGGGTAAATTAAAATACATTAATTATTAAAACCTTTTTCTAAAGACTTTGCTAACACCAAGCAGATAACATTTAAGACAGTTCTATTAGTATTTTCATCTATTATCAAAGTTGACATGCTTTCACAAACAAATATTACTAGCCTTATTTAGAATATGCCTGAAGTGCTATTTAGAGGCTTTATCATTGTCTTTTAATGGTTTATTGAGCAAATCCCAACAATCATCTAGAGAGTAATTTTCACTATTACCATGTACTTAATCAAGAGTACTAAGAACTGTTCATAGAAAGCAGGATTTTTGTTCTTTTTCAAAATTTCATTTAGCAGAGGATTTCTCTTCTCTGCTCCATCCCTGGCGGTGTTCAAGGCCAGGTTGGACAGAGCCTTGGGTGACATGGTTTAGTGTGAGGTGTCCCTGCCCATGGCAGGGGGTTGGAACTAGATGATCTTAAGGTCCTCTCCATCCCTAACTATTCCATGATTCTATGATTCCAGGACATGAGCAATCCCTTCAAGCCAAGCCCTGAACTTCAGGAAGTCCCAGGTTTTATTTGTAATTCTTTTTACCTCCCCTTCCTATTCAGCCATTTCAACTATGTAATCCATCCTAGCACCACTGATACCTTGCAAACCCGATATGGTGAGTAAACAGAGATATACCTCTCTGGCATATACTTCAAGGCTCCTGAGACAGCAAAAATACAGGTGTGCAGAGAGAACAGCCACTGGAACACTGAGCAACGCCAAAAACAGATAAAGGGGTTTTGTTGGGTCTTTTGTTTGGTTTTCAATTTAAAGTAGATGAAAGGCTGCAGTATACTTCATTATCCAGGGATTAGACCCATGATCAACTTGTGGCACTGAAACATGTTCCTGTGTGTCACAGGGGCTGCATCAACTGTCTTCATGTTATTTAAATGCCCTTCTTTGAGGCAAGTCACATTACCACTTTATCTTAGTGACTGCAGACAAATATTCAACATGCTCTGAGTTTCTACGGCCTTTAACAGCAAAACAAGAAACAGGTACAAAGACAGAAGCTGCTCCAGTCAGTCCTGTGGTTTCTTGGGAGCAATACTGTCACAATTCTCACAGAGAAGACAGAATCTTGTATTTTATTTTAAATATTTTTTTGTTTTTAATGTAGGAAACAACTAAGAAATGAACCTACTTTTCAATTAAAAACAGCATTCAAATTTCTTTGGACAAGGTCCATGATTCCAACTAAAACTAATTCTGTTAGCAAGCAATTTTGCAGCCAGTACATGTATGTACAGGTAAGTACCTGTTTTACACTGTAAAATAGTGAAAAAGCATCATTTTATCACATTTGCAAACAATACTCAGTAACTAATCTTTTTAGTAACTCATTGTCATAATCTTCTTTGACATATATATCAGCATCTTTTACTGAATACGTGATCTTTCACTCTTACTTCAGCTGTACTATCATTCAGTACACCCCAGTTGGACAAGTCAGCACTCCCCTGGTGAGTAAACAAATGGAACAAACACTAGATCATTTTAAATAGCCGTTTTAAAGATACATAAGGAAAAACAATTATTTTAGAAACACTCTAAGCACATGAGCCAGAAAGGCCCACGTTGTGACACAACATGGCAGTGAAAGACCTCAATGCTAAACTCAGCTGGTTATCCATGTTCACATGAATGAAATAAATGTAAATAAAATTAAAGTTACTATGAATGTCTACTGAAAAATTTAGGGCTAAGTCTCCCCATTGAGATTCAATGTTTCATCTTCTGCTTCTGTGGCTTTCTAACATAGTTAAGCACTCCTGCATTGACTAAGAAATCTTAGTTTACTAACTGAGAGGAAATTAATGGTGGTAAATGCTTCATCCCTGGCAGTGTTCAAGGCTAGGCTGGACAGAGCCTTGGTCAACATAGTCCAGTGTGAGGTGCCGCTGCCCATGGCAAGTGGCTGGAACTAAGTGAGCTTAAGGTCCTTTCCAACCCTAACCATTCTGTGATTATTTAACAAACATGCTAAAATCACTCAGATAATGACAAAAGCAGTACTATTTTCTGAGACATATACTTAGCTTGATATCTTGAAAGATATTTACCTCTTACTGGTTTCACAAGACAAGGATGACTGCACCACTCTCTAAAAACATAGCCCAGAGCCCTCCCTGTATTTTGAACCTTCACAAAGTAGTTTCCAAATGATTCCTGTCTCCCTAGAGGTGCCCTCTCCACATAACCTAGAAAGCAATCCTATTTGCTGTGCAAACCAGCTATTTGAACAGAAGCTGTTGAGAAGCAGTAAGTGCTTTTGTATCTTTAATTTAAGTTCACATGAACGTAACAAGGGCACTGCCAGGGTCAAGTGACAAAACACTGTATGCTTTCCTCCTAGTGCAGACAGCTTGGCATGAAGCTTCATAAAAGCTTCATTTGCAATGCTAACAATGTGTTCAGGATACCCTGAATGTAGGGACACCCGCACAAGAGAAAGTGGGATAACACATGCAAATGTCATACTCTGTTACTACTGTATGCAAATACACCAGTTTGATGCTCTGATTGTATGTTGTGAAGACAAACCATGTTCGGAAGGCACTGCCTCCCTAAAACTTGCCAGTCTTTGCATAGACAACATGCTCAAATGCACTGGGTAATTACTGTTTAAACAAGCTCCCACACCAGGACAGGTACACTTTGTTGTAGTCAAAGAGTTGCCTTGTAGTTTCTGAGCTTGTGAAACTATCATTAGCTAATCACTTCTGAAGCAAGCTATAAAAAAATCCCAAAACATATTCAAAAATCCCAAACATATTCAAAACTACATTTTGCTCATTTTTATTACAAGACAGAAAGTATGACATGACTGTTTAATCCACAGCTGGTATAAAACTAAAACTGAAACACATCATGCACAAGCGGAGTCCCATTTTAAACCGGTTTGTCAGATAACATAAGGTCTATACTGGCTTTACAATGGCTGGAACATGCTGGGACCAATTCTATTATTTTCTGAAAACATTAAGCACATTTGAGCCAGCAAAGTGATGCAACACCAAACTAACTGTGTGCATTATAAGGTCCTGGGAGTTTTGCTAGTCTACTATGCCTCTCAGTCTGGAGTTGCCATTGCGCAGAGTCACAACCACATAACTAGAGAAGTTCTTCTGCCCAAAGAGAAGTTCCTGGCAGTGAGAGGTGAAAGACCTGAATTTACCAGGCTAACAGCAGACAGCTCCTTGACTGTCCAGTCCACACAATGGAGATGTTTCAGTAACTGACATCACTTTTTAAGAGAGTTAATTATTACAAGTGAAATACATCAGTTTACTTACTTCTCAGTGACAGCTAGTTGACAGTCCCAGAGAGATAATACCCAGTTAAGTAAAAATGGGTTTTACTGAAAAATCACCTGGAATACTTGTTATTTGCAAATGAAGTGAAGTGAAACACAAAAAATACTAAGATTTACCTCTGTCTCTGTTGTTGTCTGTAGTAGGTTGGCATCTTCAGCCTTACTCTCCAGTGGGTTGGTGTCTTCAGCACAACTCTGTAGTAGGTTGGCACCTTCAGCCTTAAGCTTGAGCAGGTTGGCATCTTCAGACTTAAGCTCTAGTTGGTTGGCATCTCCAGCCTTAAGCTCCAGTAGGTTGGTGTCTTCAGCATAACTCTCTAGTAGGTTGGTGTCTCTGCCCTTACTCTCTAGTAGATTGGTGTCTTCAGCATAACTCTCAAGTAGACTGGCGTCTTCAGACTTACTCTTTGGTAGGTTGGTGTCTCCAGCCTTAAGCTCCAGTAGGTTGGCATCTCCAGCCTTACCCTCTCTACCCTTACCGGCGCCTTGGGCCGCTACTGCGTGCTCTTCCTGCGGAAGGTCATGCGGGTGGACAGACGAACCCTTCCTCTTCGCCGTCTTTTTCTGCGACTGCGCGTTGTCGCCTTTTGCTTTTCGTTGTCTGAAGTAAGCAAACTGTGCAGAAAAGATTGGAAGAGGTAGAGGGAGAGGTAAGTGAGGAAAAGGAAGCAGGACCCCAAGATTAACACACTCATGGGTGATGAAGATCCTATCTTGATAAAATATATACATCTGCAGAAAAACTGCTTTATCTTCCTACTTTTTAAACATTCAGCACATACTGGATAACTGTGCAATTAAGCAAGAACCTCACACCAGTACTAAAGACCCAATTCAATACGAGAATCCAATTTTACTCAGTGAAACTTTGTGTGTCAATGACAATCCCGAATTACAGCAAGACAGATTAGTAAAAGCACAAGTAGTTAATATACTAGAATCATTAGGAAAAAAAATCATCATTGAGCAGCCTTTCTGCATGAACAGCAAAAACAATAACCCCCCTCCAAATGAATCTAAACAGATCTTTGCCAGTGTAAGCTTCAAGATTAAAATTAATGGAAGTGAATCCTCATACTCCTTCCCTGCCACCCCCTTAAGAGAATCCAGCAAAACTTCCTAGCCAGAAAGCAGCCGACAGGACATAAATAGAAAATCAATTAAGCCAGGTCATCTTAATATCTTCTGTTGAAAAATCAGATGCTCTACTTTATCAGACTATCGCAGCTCACAGAAGCACCAGGGACTTGCAAAGAATGTCACTGCCAGAATTTATTACCCAACTTTCCTTAGCACCTTAAACAGCTTAAAAAGGATTATCAGATTTTCAGCACTAGCATTGTGTTTAGGCAGCACTACTGAGTAGCATCTCGCTCACAGCATAAACCCAGATATCCTTCTCAGGAGGATAAAACCTTCTCCAAGGTTACAACCACAAGTTATCAAGTGTTACTATATCCTTGTGGTGAGATAACACATACAGTCAAATGACGATGGGATGCAAACATAATCACCAAGTTCTACCTGCAAGACCTACAAAAATCCACTGCTTGACAACTTGCCTTTCCTTCAAAACAGCCACCTTGCAGGAAAATCTTGTCTGTTTCTTTCCTTCAACTTATGCAGTGGATTTAGTTCAGCCCTTTCTCCTTACACCCATGCCATTATAGCAACATTTACCCGCCAGCTCAGGTACTCAGCAAATACAGTTACATACCTGCTACACTGAGCAGTCTGTTGAGAGGATATGTTTGCCGAAAGTCACCAGTTTCTTACCAGCAGTTCAGATGCTTACGTACAAATAGCTTATTTTTAAGATTCTGTTCTCTCATTTCCATAGCTATTAATACTGAATGCAGATTAAACACAGATTGTGTTGACTTTCATAATAAGCAAAATGAACAGAGCAGTAAATAAAACTGCAGTGACACACAAATACTACTCTCTGAAATTAAGTGTTAACTCGAGCACTTACTGATGGCAGCATGTCAAAAATAGCTATTGCACCAATTAACCTGAGAACGTGTGGAAAAGGGACAGCAGGAAACCTGCACAAAAATGGAGAGGAGAGGAAGCTGCTTTAATCAGAAAATATAAGAAAGGAGGGGCAGAGAGAGGCCATCATAGAGAGCAGTTCATTTAATGAAGGGAGACCAACTATATGACATTAAAAACCCAAAACTTGCCATGACTGAATATCTAAATGACCATGAATTTTTAAATGCACAACTAAAACCAAAACTTATTTTGTCCTACTCATATGGGTTAAGCATATAAAATCATAATATAGATGATACATGAGCAGCAGGTCATGGAGGGGATTCTCCCCTCTACGGTGCTGTGGGGAGACACCCCCTGCAGTCCGGATCCAGCTCTGGGGAAACAGCACAAGACAGACATGGAGCGGTTGGAGTGAGTCCAGAGGAGGCCACAGAGATGCTGCAAGGGCTGGAGCAGCTCTGCTCTGGAGCCAGGCTGAGAGAGCTGGGCTGGTTCAGCTGGACAAGAGAAGGCTCCTTAAGGAGAGACCTTAGAGCAGCTCCAGTGCCTAAAGGGGCTACAGGAAACCTGGAGAGGGGTTTTGGACAAGGGCCTGTAGGGACAGGACAAGGGGAATGGTGTTAACCTGCCAGAACAGGGGAGACTGAGATGAGCTCTTAGGCAGAAGCTCTTCCCTGTGAGGGTGCTGAGGCGCTGGCACAGGGTGCCCAGAGAAGTTGTGGCTGCCCCATCCCTGGCAGTGTTCAAGGCCAGGTGGGACACAGGGGCTTGGAGCAACCTGCTCTAGTGGGAGGTGTCCCTGCCTGTGGCAGGAGTTGGAACTGGATGAGCTTTAAGGTCCCTTCCAACACAAACCAGTCTGGGATTCTATGATAACTAAAATATCCAAGTACCCCAAAATTTAATGGAACTACCAGACTTTTTGGTCCATAAAAGTATGGAGTCAAAAACATTCCAGATTATGGAATGACTGGATGGGGAAAAGCTCTATTCAGGGCAGTATCAGGTTTTCAAAGCTTTTAATCGGTAACATAAATTGAACTGTCATTATAAGATATCATCATCAGATACACAGTCATCCAACACGAAGTAATGCATGTAAATATGAAGCAAGCACCTAACACTGACTCTCCCCATCCCACTGAGATCCCGTCATTCCTCTTTTGAAGGACTTCATTTTCAGTTTGCTTTCCAGCTCCACGTGCAAAGACAAAAGCCTCATTTTTAGCCAATATGTAGCATGCCACAGGAACACCAACAGCATTGTCCACTGTAGAACCCAAAGCAGCTCTCTGCAACAACCAGCCTTTCTGCAGGTACCAATGTCATTTCACCATGTGTAGGCAGTTAAAAGTGGCAACCACTGATCTGGTACAGCCAGCACCACACCAGCATTCCAGAACGCAAAGAACAAGCCTGACAGGTTTTGTGTCGTGTGGCCCGTGTCATTCCCATCCTGGATTAAATGCAGGAGCCAGCAGACAGGAAAACTACAGCAGATGCAGCACTGTTCAGCTTTCCCCAGCCTACCTAAACATAATTTACTCCTCAATTCATTGCTTTACATGCTTTAAAAATCAGCACCAAAAGAATACTCACAGAAAAGGAAACACAGCAGAAAACCACATCTGCACCAAATCGAAACAGGTTGTTCAAATAAACCTGAGCCTGCCTCTTAGATACAGTAAACATGAGCAGCAAGTGCTCTTAGACAAAAGCCAGAAATGTTTTCTACAGCTTCCTCAAACTGATGAAGTGGGAGAAACATCCCAGGCTTGGGGAAGAGCAGCTGGAAAGCTGCTCATGGAAAAGGACTTGGGGGTGCTGACTGACAGAGCTGAATATGAGTAGCTTGTGCCCAGGCAGCCAAGGCCACCAGCATCCTGGCCTGTATCAGCACCAGCATGGCAGCAGGGCCAGGGCAGCGACTGTCCCCCTGTACTCAGCACTGCTGAGGCTGCACCTCGAATCCTGTGCTCAGCTCTGAACCTCTCACTACAAGAGACACACTGAGGTGCTGGAGCAGGTCCAGAGAGGAGCAACAGATCTGGTGCAGGGCCTGGAGCACAGGTGTGATGGGGAACGGCTGAGGGACCTGGGGGGGTTTAGTCCAGAGAAGAGAAGGCTCAGGGGGGACCTTATCGCTCCCTACAACTGCCTGACAGGAGGATGGAGCCAGGAGGGGCTGGGCTCTGCTCCCAAGGAACAAAAAAAGAGAAAACAGCCCCAAGCTGCACCAGGGCAGGTTTAGATGGAGCTGAGGAACAACTCCTTCCCCACAGGGTGCTCAGGCATTGGAACAGGCTGCCCAGGGCAGTGCTGGGGTCACCGTCCCTGCAAGTGTTCACACACCGTGGAGATGAGGCCTCAGTGCCATGGGCTAGTGGTGGCCTTGGCAGTGCTCAGGAGCGGTTGGACTGGATAACCTTAAAGGGCTAATCCAGCCTGGCTGACCCCATGAAAACATGTAAAATAAAGGAACAGCAAAGGCTTCTCACACACGAGGTATGGCACATACTGGTCTGGAATGAGAGGCACAGTTGGCCAACATGCACACTACCAAATTGAAGTGGAAAAAAAGATAAAAGCACAGCACTGAATCCTGGAGTTTGTTCTGTTCCTCAATCACTACCCTGGCCATCAGTATTGCATTTATTAAGCAGGTTTAATAAAAGTTTAATAAGGTACCTGATACAGTCAGTTTTAAGCTGCTAAATCATGACAATTTCCAATTAGTCACAGTATCTTAGAATCAGCCAGGTTGGAAAAGACCTTTAAGATCATCATATTCAACATTTACCCCAGGTGATAATTTAAATACATTTGAGTAACGGAGATTTTATTCCTATATGAAAGAGAATAACATAAGCACTGTTTTAAAGAAGAAAGCATTCATATTATGTTCCTTCCCCAAGTCATTATTTAATACACTAAAATCTAAGGATGACAAAGACAAAAAATTACTTGGGGGGAAATAAGAGGAGGGCAGAACCCCCTTCAGCAGTTCACAATTCCAGATTCAAGCACTGTCAGCCTGCAGTTAGCATGACTGCATAAGTTGCTACACGTACATTGCTACAACAGAGGCTCACAGCACACAACTGATGATAGCACCCACAAAGTGATGCAGGGCCATGATTCAGGATGCTGATCTGAATGAACACTGAGCGCTGCGCGTATCAGCGCAGAGATGCGATCACATTAAGCTGCTCTTGGCCTGCCCCACAGGAAGGAAATACTTTATTTGCTCAGGGACATTTCTCCCTTTCAAAACTGCATTTCTATTCATGAAGAGGGCAGCAGCAAGAAAACAGGAAAAAAGAAAAGAACTGAAAGGAGAAACATTTCCCCACTGCTCTATTATAAAGAGCCTTCAAAAACATGAGCTATCCAATGAAGTTTTTTAAGGAAGTTACAGTCCTGCAGCCCACTTATTCAGCAGCATGAACACATCCTGCTATGGGCTTAAGAAGAGAACCATGGAATGGTTTGTGCTGGAAGGGACCTTAAAGCTCATCCTGCTCCAACCCCTGCCATGGGCAGGGACACCTTCCACTAGAGCAGGCTGCTCCAAACCCAGTCCAACCTGGCCTTGAACACTGCCAGGAATGGGGCAGCCACAGCTTCTCTGGGCACCCTATGCCAGCGCCTCAGCACCCTCACAGGGAAGAGCTTCTGCCTAAGAGCTCATCTCAATCTCCCCTGTTCTGGCAGGTTAAAGCCATTCCCCTTGTCCTGTCCCTACAGGCCCTTGTCCAAAGCCGCTCTCCAGGTTTCCTGCAGCCCCTTTAGGCACTGGGGCTGCTCTAAAGTCTCCCCTTAAGGAGCCTTCTCTTCTCCAGGTTGAACAAGCCCAGCTCTCTCAGCCTGTCAATGTTAAGACCATGCAAAGGACTACACCAAGGAAGACCAAAGGTGCATTTATTCCAGTAATTTGCCCGATATGAATCTGTTCCGTAAGTTAGCTCTACAACGTCAGGTACATAAGTAAAAATACAAAAGCTATACATGTCAGAAGTTGGGTGGAAGCATAGGAAGGAGTGTGTAGCTCATACACTTGCTTTCGATACCTAACATACCATTTTTGTGTCTCATAAGCTCCCACAGATATTGCTTCCATTCATTTGGCTGGGGTTTTTTGAAGATGGTCTGGTGCAACCAACCTGCCAGCCAAGTAATAGATCTCTGTGACATTTTAATAAGCAGAGGGAGCACTACATCTATCTTTACCCTTCCTCTCCTCTCAGTGTACCACGTATGTGATACCAGGGAACAGCAACATTGATAGAGCTGCTAAAAATTTACTTGTCTTAAATGGTCTGATAAGAGATATTTAGCACATAGTTAAGAAAGAAATAATACACGCAACATTGGCTCTGCACACATAATGTGAAACATAATGCAAGGCCCTACATTTTTTTCCCCAATGGCAAACAACAGCTGTACAACAGGTGGAAACTAATACCTTATTCAAGGAAAGTCCATCCCATTTTTCTAACTATAGACAGTTACAGCACTTTGAGAAGGGTTACAAACGTTAACACAAGTCTTGCACACCTAATGTAACTTTTCGACCCAAAAATCTCCTGTTTTCAAAGTTTTCTCTCTTGCTATTAATCCAAACACTAATCTTGAAATGGATCTCCAACAAGAGTCTGTGTCCACACAGTGTGTAACAAGGCTGTGAGGGCAAGTGGATGAGGAGCTGCTGAGTGGGAATGGGAAGTGTGGCAACCATAGCTGCATCTCAGTGGGATACATCAGGGACAGGCCCCCCATGAATCTGTGACAGTGCATCGACAGCCACAACCCGACTTCCTTCATAGTAACTCTCTTTTTCCTTGCCTTCGTTGCAACATGGGGAGAAGAGAGCTGAAAAGATCTGAGGCAGACAGCACAGCGCCAAGGCACCTCTGACAACACCAGCTCGATTTCCAGACAGGTCCCCTGCAGAAAGGGCCATGTTCCTGTGCCTGTAGAAGAATCACTAGGAAAGATATCAGGAGCGAAGGGGCTGCAGTATATCATGGGAAAAAATCTAATCTGTCCAAAACCCCCAAAGCCGTGTGCAGCCTCAATTATCACCTTCTACCTACAGTTCCCCATTCCAGTCCTGCTAGGGTGTCAAGAACAGGGAAAAGCTGTAGCTGCAGACAAGCCAGTCTTATTCAGCAGTAGATTCCCAGAAAGGGAACATGAATAACAGCTCAAATCCTGCACCTTGGGTCGGGGCAACACCCAGCACAAACCCAGCCCTGAGGAGAAGGACTTGGGGTTGTTCGCTGATGAGAAGCTCCCCATGACCCAGCTTCATTGTGAGCTTGACCCCAGAACCCCCACACCCCCCCACGTGCTGAGCTGCATCCCCAGAGCATGAGCAGCAGCTCAGGGAGGAGATTCTCCTCCTCTGATGTGCTCTGGGGAGATCCCCCCTGCAGCTCTGGGGCAACAGCACAAGAGCGACATGGAGCTGTTGGAGTCAGTCCAGAGGAGGCCACAGAGATACTGCAAGGGCTGGAGCAGCTCTGCTCTGGAGTCAGGCTGAGAGAGCTGGGCTGGGTCAACCTGGAGAAGAGAAGGCTCCTTAAGGGGAGACCTCAGAGCAGCTCCAGTGCCTAAAGGGGCTACAGGAAACCTGGAGAGGGGCTTTGGACAAGGGCCTGTAGGGACAGGACAAGGGGAATGGCTTTAACCTGCCAGAACAGGGGAGACTGAGACGAGCTCTTAGGCAGAAGCTCTCCCCTGTGAGGGTGCTGAGGCGCTGGCACAGGGTGCCCAGAGAAGCTGTGGCTGCCCCATCCCTGACAGTGTTCAAGGCCAGGTTGGACACAGGGGCTTGGAGCAACCTGCTCTAGTGGAAGGTGTCCCTGTCCATGGCAGGGGGTTGGAACTGGATGAGCTTTGAGGTCCCTTCCAACACAAACCAGTCTGTGGCTAGTAACTGGGCATTTCTGAGGGGTTTCTTCAAGAAAGCAGTTTTTATTTAAGATGGTTAACCTATATCAGGTGTTAATCATATAGTTATGAACAATAATTACTATGAGGTCTCTCAACAATCCTACCAAACCACCTAACTGCAGACACAGAACAACTGAAAGCTTGTTAAGTGTTCCCTAAGGGCACAACTGGAAACAGCCCAGCTCAGTCCTCCAGTAACCCACCTGCAGATGCAAGGACTAGCCACTAAGGTAATAAAACACAGAATACCTAATTCTGTGTGAGAGTATCACCTGGAAATATAGTATTTCCACAAGTAATTGAGTGCAATCCTAGATAAAAATAGGAGAAATAATAATATAATAAATATTAAACAATTATAATATATGTAATATATACAATATAATATTAAATAATTATAATACAAAAAAATTATGATAAAATCCAACCCACCTGAACCACAACCAAACAACTCCCCCCAAAATAACCCAACAGGCAGAAACAGGGGGAAGACATAAGAACTACTTTAAGCAGCTCCTTGCTCACTAAAGCTAAGGCTTATAGACTGCACCCGGGGCAGGCAGAGGCGATGCAGCGGGCAGCTTTAGAACACCCCTGTCGAGGGCACCGGAGGGCGCTGGGAGCCAGGCCGGGACCTGCGCGGACCCCACATGACAGGGCCCCCCCCTCTATTCTCACCTTGGCCCTGCCAGCTTCCAGCTTCCGTCTCCACGCCTCCTCCTCCGCTTCCATGGGGGGGGGGGGGGGGGGGGGGGGGGCGAGCGGGTCACGCTGCGGCGAAGCAGAACCCACCCACGCTCCTCACAACCCCCCTATCACACCGGAGCGGACACACAAGTTTCGGTCATGGCCGCTCCAGAGCCTTGTCCCCGCCCATCTGGGCGTCTGAGCCAACCGAGAGGCGGCTCTCACCCTCAGTGGCCAATCAGAGTGCAGGGGCTGGCCTACGCTCCCGGAGCAGGGAGGAAGCTGTGCGGGAATTGGCGAAGCCCTCCAGCCAATACCGAGAACAGCCGTTAGGCTAGCCCAGCCCACCCTGCTTGGTTCCCGGGATGGACAGCGCGCCCTCCGCCGCCGCTCCCGCTGCCGCCGCTTGTTCCCGCCCCCTCAGCAGCCACCAATAGGAAAGGGGCAGTCAGCAGCTCCCCCTGCGCTGAGTGGACAGTTTCAAACGTGCCGCCAGCAACGGCCCCGCCCAGGGACGGGAGGCAGCCAATGGGGAGAAGGGGCGGTTGCCGCGGGAAAGCTCACGCGGGTGTTGCCGAGCAACGCTCAGAGGCTGTTTGGGCGGGTTCCGGGACGGCTGAGGTACAGTTCCGTTTGTCTGCTCTGCAGCTGCTGTGAGCGGCGGGTCCCGGCGTTGATGGCCTAGTTCCTCGCCTTGTTGGAGATAGAGACGTGTTGTTGCGGGATTAACGGTCCATCTTAGTCTATTACTCTTTGCAGCACACCCGGTCTGTCCCCCTGTGTGTGTTCTGCAACTGGGTTTTAGCATCTCCCTGCTTTGTTTTTACTGCGGCTGTAAATTCACCTGTCGAATCCCTTCATCAAGGAAGAACTAGTGCAGGGAGAGTGAACGGCCGGAAGTAACTGTCAGGTAATAAGGGAGAAGTAAGGTGTTCCTGTCTTAATACTGAGAATAATTAACCCTAACAGGTTAATTATATATTATGTATATTATACTCTTAGCATAGTATAATTAACCACTTAACACAAGTGGTGGTTTCTTTGTGTCTTGGAGTCATTAAATCCTACTGAAAAACACATGCTTTAATCCAGTTTGTCACTTGACAGTTCGGAGATACTCTCTTGCTATCTAGCTTATTCTTTCCACAGAATACTGAAATGCAAACATCTTCATGATGTATTAACTCCTTTTCTATCCCTGGACCTTTCTATGGATTTAGCCGTTAGGTTGGGCTCTTCTCTGTGTGGGTTTTTGCTCTGAATTCAGGTACTGCGTCATCCAGGCCATGAGCTGGACCTCTCTGCTCCTGTGAACCGCGTCTGTGCCATCTGGGTTGCCTATGCCTATATCATCCACCATCCAAAAAGAATGTAGGAAGAAACATGTTCTCATTCTCAGAATAAACTATTCTGTATCCATCTCCTGGCCTCCCACATATAAATATGTAAATATTTAAGCATAGACAACAAAAAAAAACTGGAGCAGTGTGTGCTCAATGCTCCAAAGAGAAAGGTGAGGACACTAGGGGCAAGGCAGGGCTGGCACCCCTGTCTGCATCCAGAGCTAAGGTAAAGGTTAAGTTTTAAACCACTGCAAAGATTGCACGGGAGCATACGTGTTGACTTTCCTTCACGACCAATTTTGTTCTTCTAAGAATGAAAGTTTCAGTGGCTAAACCATTCAGGGTCATTAAATGTGACTCGGGTGGACGTTCTCCTGAGACTAATCCTGGTCATCTCTTCCTTTGTCAGTGCTGGTTTATGTGTTTTTCCCGGTAGTGCTGCCATGCCCTCCAACAGCACAGCCAGGATGCTGAGTTTACTCCCAGCCAGTGCTAAGAGACTAAGTCTGAGTTATGAAGTTCCTTAGTGCAAAAGCTTGTGTAATTGGTACCATCTGAGAAGCAAAAGGAAACAAGTAAGCTCAGAGCAAAGAAGTTCCTTAAAAAAGACAATGTGGCATTGATAATGGCAATTTTGTCCAATCAAATATGTCACTTGGAGAAAAATAAATGGTTTAAAATAATACTGCTTGACTTCTTGCTCCAGCTAAAAAAACTGAAATTAATAAGCCATGTTTGTTTGGGTTTTGTTTTATTGTTGTTTGAGGTTTTAATAACCAATACATGCATTGTATCTTCTTATATCCCTGTCTATTAAAATGTCGGGATTTCGAGTGCTAGTCTAATTGAATTGACTCAAGTAGAAGTATGTGAAAAGGGTCCTAAGATCAGGCTGGCAACAAAACCATAACAGAACTCTGGGAGCTGCTGCAATCTATCTGCAAATAAATGGGCAGTGCTTGCAGACTAGTGGTTTGCCATGGTCATATAAGAAGACAGTAATAATGTAGTGAAGTATCATGTACATATCATATATGATTAGTGTTGTGCACTTAATCATAATTAAGGTAAATAAGGAGACTTACTTGCACAGTTGCATGACAGAGCATGAAATAACTCTTAATTGTAATGTTTTATTCACATGCTTAGATTCAGATGTACATAGCACATTATTGCAACACATGAGGGTGCTGAGGCCCTGGCACAGGGTGCCCAGAGAAGCTGTGGCTGCCCCATCCCTGCCACTGTTCAAGACCAGGTTGGACAGGGCTTGGAGCACCCTGCTCTAGCGGAAGGTGTCCCTGCCCATGGCAGGGGGTTGGAACCGGATGAGCTTTAAGGTCCCTTCCAATGCAAACCAGTCTGGGATTCTGTAAGATCCTCTTGTACCATCTGACACATTCTTGACAAGTCATACATTAGCAGTTTGTAAGGTGTCCCTACAGTAGCGATTCCATTGTGGCAAGGCCATCCGTAAGTGCGGGAAAAGCTAGGTTCTTTAGTAGATGTGCTGGAAAGTGTGGTTTTTATCTAGTATTGGATTGTTAACGAAGCAGAAGTTTTTTTCTCTTCCTTTTAGTCGGCTCAGTTGCTTAACACTGGCACTGTATTTTTAATTGAATACTTGTTTCTCTTTGTCAACCTTTCTTGTAACCCTCTATTTGTATTGCAAGGAAGGCTCTAGAAATTTAAATTCTTGGGAACACTGTATGACAGCAGTTGATGGTAAAACATCAGCTCAATATTCAACAGCAGTCTAAAAGTCTATTTAAAGGGTCAGCAAACTTGTACCTGTTGTGGTCATCTGGAGACACCAACATAGCTTCCTTTACTACCTCACTGCCCAAATGCTGCCCACAACCCTGGTCTCCCCTTCACAAAAGGGTTTATGAGTTAGGAAGGTAAAGAGAGAAGCAACTAGAATAAATATGAGACTGTGGAGACAGTATAGCCAAGGTATGGTCATAGGTGTAGCTGAAGCAGCACCTTCTGATAGTCACTGATAGCAGAGGCCAATAGGTGGGTATGGGAGTAGTCTGTGTGGGCTCTTGCATTATACCTTCCCAGCTGAGTTATGAGATCAATAGGTAAAGGAAATCTGCTATTTGAGGACAAAATAAACTGATTATTTTGCTTAGAAAAGAGGCATCTGAATGGGGACATGGTACCTAAATGATTCTATGATTCCAAGTCGCAAGGGATGTGGAAAAATGCCTGGAGAGCACTTGTATAAATTTCACATAAAAAATGAGAAGCTTTCCAATAAACTTTTCAGGGATCTAGGATTAAAACAATCTAAATGTAATCCTTTTTTGGCCTAACACTTCAATAAATAATACTTACACAGTTTACTTCCATAACCACTTTTATGCTTAAGATAAATGGGAAACTTCTTGTTGCCCAAAGAATGAGGGATCAAAGATATTGGAGAGAAAAGAAGGAAAATCTATGAGGCTTTTGAAGCACAAAAGTGTACACAGAGTGGTTTCTCAGGACGACTGCTGGCACGTGAGAGGGTCTTCTGCTCTGCCTTATCCCTTAGAGCATTTGCAACCATGCTCTGCCAAAGCAAGCTGAGCCCCAGCTCTGACATAGCGCAGCTATTTTTGGGATCCCCATGTCTCGGTTTCGATGACCTATCCAGAGATACCAGCCTGTGTATTTTCAAGGGCAGATTGTACACACATGCTGTGTGGATCACAGCTGGAGGAGGCGATCCTACAGCATCTATCAGTTGCTCCAGCCACCAGCAAGTTGCTCAGCTGCAGTTTTGCTGTGGCCTTCAAATAAGGAGGAGGTTATAACTTTGCTCTCCAGGCTTAAAATATGATACTGAGAATGAATGACTGTTACTTGACTTCTTTCTCATGCTTTGATGTTGTTTTGATGGATGTCACTGTAAAGTGTTGCTGTTTCTTATGCTGGGAGGGCTTTGCTGGGAGATGGAGACACCCTACAGTTTGTTTGGGAGATGGTAAGGAAATGGGTGTTATACCATAGCCTCTCTACTCTTTTACTCATCCAGGGATGAGTTCCAGCTATGCTCCTTAATTTTTTGAGTTTTTAGTTAGTACCTGGGGATGAAAACTTGTATGAAGAACTATGTCAAAAGTCCCTCTACAGTGAGATAAATGTTGTTATCGTGTATCAATCAGCAAGATCATAATCTGGTGCCTATCAATGGTTTTATGTTGAAGAACCATTGGCTTTTCTTTCTTTTCTTCCTGCCAACTAATGTGCTGGGCATTTGCTTTACAAACGGTAAGTAAACTTCTACACCTGGAGATTATCTTCTTTATGTTGTGGATTGACACTACACACTTAGCAGCCAGGTTACAGGCACAATACTCTGAGCTACTTAGAGGACAATAGCAACAGAGAGGGCCGGGCTTAGTGACAGTTAAGACAAGCAAATATTCACCCTTAGTTACCTTTCTGTGATGTTGCAATTTGCAGCAAAAAATGCATTGAGAGAAAGGGCAGAAAAAGCTGTGCCTGTGATCCTGTGATGATCATCTGTACTTTTACCTGGGAGGGAAACCAAAGCTTTTCTCTTCTTCCTTCATTTGCTCACAATCTGATTTTGTTTCTTTTTTTTTTCTAATGGAATTATTCTGTGAAGATCATGGAGGGGAAGAAATGAGGATTGAAAACCTCTCTGCCTTTGCTTAGCTTTTTAACCTGTTCTTGCCTGCCTGCTCTTCCAGGAGACTACTGCAATGGCAGATCCTTCAGTGGTGGACCACTTGACACGACTGAGACTCAAACTCCTAGAAAAGGTAAGGGAAAATCTCTGCAGTGGTCACTTTTGTTCTTTGTTTTATTCTTGCATGTTTAAGCATTAACACTGTATTTTAAATAATTGTATTTCTGCTGAGATACAAAGAGGATCTGCAGCCAGTTGAGAGCCTCTTTCTTCATGCAAGCAGAGGCAGACCAATGTGCAGTGGTGCTACAGTCACTGTCACTTAAATAACATTGTACAATTTTGCAATTTCTTCATATGATCCAGCTCTCTGCCCTATAGAAGAAGTGATGCGTAAGTCTCCTGATTCACCATGCTGTCAATTTCCAGATCTGGGATAGTCTGGCCAGTTGCAAGCACGACTATTCTTTTACCATAACTAGATTTGTAGTGAGACATTTCATACTTCTATGAATGCTTCTTGTAGCTGTCACTAGCTGTGATTTAGCAGCTAGAAAGCATTGCTTGTCTCTACTTCTGCTTTATTTCCTCCGTCCCAAACCTATGCCTGTAAGGTAGGGTTGTGAGCTTTGCTGCCTGACTCATAACCAGGTCTTGTGGTTTTACCAACAGAGACTAGAAAATGAACAGGAGAACCTAGAGAAGATGGAGTCGCCTCTTCCAGCTGCAAGTAAGAGACTCATTTGTTCTCATTATGAACGTAATATGGGAAGGGCTTAGTGATGTTCTCAGACCACACCAGATTATCAAATCTCCTCCCTAAAAGCTGCCTACATTTATCTTTTGAATTTCTTCATCTGTTTATTTCTGACAAAAGGAAGTGATCAACCAGCTGAACACTGACATAAGAATGACCTCCTGCCTGGGTGTGCTCTGCAGGAGATCCTACTTATGTTAGCTCTTCTACCTAGGAGTGAGCCCCTGCTGCAGTCCAGCTGCATGCTTGGCTTTGGTGACCCTGAAAAGGAGTTGTTAGGATGGCTGTGTGTCTTCAAGGGATCTAGGCAGGAGGAATGGTCCACTGCTAATGCTGCTTTGCACCTTTGAATGTGACCACTGCAGCCTTGTGCAGACCAGAAATGGTTGCCAGTATAAAATAATGTGACTCAGCTTATGAAATAAATTGTTATCGTGAAAGAGTTGGTCTTGAGGGCTGTGCTGATAAGAGCTGGGAACCATTTTACCGGAAAGCCATGCACGTATAGTGACATCCTGACTTTGGTTTGGGCAGAGAGGTCAGGAATCCCAGCTTTCTTATAAAAATTGGAAAGCTTAGAGAAATCACTATATAAGTTAGTGAATGGCTCAAAGGTGATGGATTAAGTGTCTTTATGAAACCCTTCCAAAGACTATTGTGATGTTTCATGTACAAGTAATATGTTCCCTACAACAATATTCCCTGGAAGCTACACATGCCATGTGTGGTACGTTCATTTCTTTGCATGACATACACACTAGTTGTATTATCTATGGATTAAGGGCTACCAGTACACAATCAGTAATATTTCTAGTTTGGCCTCCAGGCTCATATCCATTGAGCTGATACACAAATAGTTGGAAACTTTCAATGCTGAGGCCAGAAATGAGCAATTTATTTACCAGCTTAGTTTCAAAACACAAAGTGATGCTTTTCAGAGCAGATGCTCCCAATGGATGTGAAAATGTCCTTGCTTATTTTCGCTTCAAGCAAGTTCCAGATCAGCTGTAGGTGGGAAGAACTGAACAGAAAGTTGGTTCAGAACAAAAAAGAAACAACAAAGGTGACATTCAAAGCTGCGTTTGTTTGGATGTGTCACAACAAACTTTCTTTTAACTTTCCACAATCATCCTGTGCAAGTAGAGTATTTGTAGAACATTTACAGCTGAAATGAGTTTGTAAGCCAGGAGGTTAAAAAGGGGCTTTAGAGAGTTTATTTTATGTTGCCTGCTGGACAGCTGTGTCTGCATGTGGTATAAAATCATTATCCCTTCATGGATTTGACAAGAAAAGTAGCCTAAAGCCTTTTGTGGAAGAAGTCAAGCTCTCTTATAACACCTTTGTCCAAAATCTCATAATGTAAGTGCTATAATAGCTCTGTCTTTGTGATCCTTTGAGAAGATAATGGCCTTTTCATCCTCCAGGGAACAGATGTGAGGATATGCTACAAAGTGCCTTAAGGCGAAGGAAAGATCTCTTGCAGGAGCTAAGGGTAAGAGCAAAAACAACAGAAAGGGTCAAGTTATCTGCACATCCACTGCTGAAGTGGATTCAGTTTTTTCCTGTCCTTTAGTTCTTGAGCTGGGGCTTCGAGCAACCTGCTCTAGCGGAAGGTGTCCTTGCCCATGGCAGGGGGTTGGAACTCGATGAGCTTTAATGTCCCTTCCAACACAAACTGCTCTATGATTCTACGATTTCTAGTTTTTGGAGGGTACTTACCATTAATGAAACACTTTTCCAGGCTTTTGTCAGGTTGTTCCTCACTTTTTTACCCCATTGCTTTTTGCTTGTGCTGAAAACCGTATGGCTTCAAGACATGTGGGGTCATGCTCTTCGTGCAGTGGTCAATTGTGGTCTGCCCATCAGACACAGGATGTATCTGCAGCAGTGATTCCGTGAGCAAGGCTGTGCTCTGCTGCAGGCTCCAGGGGCTAATCCCATTTATTTCAGAGAGTGTAACAATCCTGCCTGCCTTTCTCTGACCAGGTTTTCTTTAGGAAGATACTTGATTTTTCAGGAGCAACGCTTTCTGGAAGAGCTTTCGCAGCCCCCTGCACCAGCTGGAGGACACTGTCACAACCACAGAGCTGCTGCCCCACACATCTACCAGATACCTTTTCCAGCTCCAGAGGAGCCACCAAGGATTATCCAGCAGATGGTAAGGATCCTCTCTCCTATGAAACACTGCTATAGTGCTGTGCCAGTCTGAAACAACAGCTGCTTGGGAGCTGTATGGAAAAGTTAATTTCAAGGGAATGCTACACCTCTTGCTGTTATATGGGACCCTTACTGCCCTAGGCAAAACGTACAAAGAAAGCACAAAATTCACAGTGGGAATGATTTATCACAAGAAGGAGGTAGCAGGAGGAGTGGGAGAATTGCCCACACTCTGCTGTGGTAGGCACAGCATGACCTAAACTAGATGTCCCAGCACCCTGTCTAGCCCAACCATAACAATGTCCAGTGCTGGGGAATCCACCACTTCCCTGGGGGGATTATTCCTTGTGCTCCTTGTGAAAAAATTTCCTCTTGTGTCCAACCAGAATCAACCCAGGAGTAACCTGTGCCCATCACCCCGTTTTTTTTACATATGACTCCTAGTAAGAAAGGAGTCTCCATCTTCTTTGTAGCCACCCTTTAAGTACTGGAACATGGTGATAAGGTCTCACCTGATCGTTCTTTTCTCCAGGCTGAGCAGTCTCAGCTCTCTCAGCTGTTCCTCATAGAGCTTCCCAGCCCTTTGTGACCCTTCTCTGGACCCTCTCTAGCCTGTCCATATCTTTCATGTAGAGCAGGGACCTAAACTGAACACAGTATTCCAGGTGTAGCCTGACAAGCACTGAGTGGAGTGGGATAATGACATCTTTATCTCTGCTGGTGATGCTCTTGTTGATGTTTTCCAGCACCGTGTGGCTTGCTTTGCTGCAGCAGGATACTCTTCACTCATGTTGAGCTTGTGTCCACCAGGACCACCAGGTCCCTTTCCATAGAGCTGCTTCCCAGCCAAGTAGATCCCAGCTTGTGCTGGGATATCACAGGAGACAATGTCCAAAGCCACACTGAAGTCCAGGCAGACGATACCCACTGCTCTTCCTTCCCAGAGATAAGGAAGTCAGACAAATCCAGTAGCAACTTCTTCCTTTTCCTTTCTTTTCCAGATGCCACCTCAGCCTGCCACCATCATCCAGCAGCTACCTCAGCAGCAGTCTCCTCTGATCACACAGATTCCCCCTGCCCAACCTTTTGCAGCCCCCCGCTCTGGAAGCATTAAAGAAGGTAAAGTATCCACCTGGCTCCCACTGTCCAGGCTGGAGAGGACGGGGAGGTGCCACAGCAAGTGGGAAGGGACACAGGACAGCATCCAAGCTAGTCAGTGACATGCTGTTTTGTGACCAGGCTGCTGCTGGAGCTGTGGGAATTCCACCGGGATGTATGTATTAGATATCATTTCTGAGAAGCTTTCAGATAAATTCTTATCACTAAAACAAGAAACAGGGACTACAAACATGGCAAAGCCAGATGAAGCTACCAGGGAAGCTTGGGAAAGCAAACCAGCTCAAGACATGGCACTGAGTAATATGAACAAAGTCAAACTCACGTGTATGGATGATTCCAAAACTACCAGTCAGGTTTCTAAAACCTGGTTTTATTCCTTTCTTTTTTTCCTCCCTTAACCCACGGCTCAATCTCCTCAAACAATACAGGCTTTTGTTAAGCTCCGTGCTTGGAAACAAGACAGAACAGCTAAAAGCACCGTTCCAAATATAGTGCAATGCCAATAAAAAGTTTGTTTCTAAACATAGCTGGATGCTACTGGGAAATAAGATATGAACAAAACCCTGGGATGATTTCCCTGGCTCAACCTTCAGCCAAAGGTTTCTTCATCCCACAGAGAAACCCTCATTCACAAAACTGCAATTTTTCTTACCTCTTTCTGCCTGGAGTTTTAAATCAGAGTTTATTTTCATAAAGAAAACAGTCCCAATTCATGCATGACTCTGCTGAAGCTGATAGATGTGAGCTACTTCTGGTATGACCACAAAAAGGACAGTTGCGTTGATTTTGTTTTCCCTCTTTCTTAATTCCCCCTCCCTTCTCCCCCCACTGCACAGGTCATAGAATAATAGGAGGGTTTGGATTGGAAAGGACCTTAAGATCATCCAGTTCCAATCCTCTGCCATGGGCAGGGACCCAGAGACCATAGTTAATGGATTTGACATGCATGCAGTGGACTCTCAAGGTGGCACTGCGATATCATATAAGTTTGAGGAAACCTCTCAGTGACTGTGGGCTGAAGCAATGGATAGCACTGCAAGGAGCTGGTCCATGCTGGAGGAACCAAGAGGGCTCTGGTGCTCAGCCCATCTCCAGCATAGCCAGTAGGGTGGGCTTGCAGGGAAACTAACAGACAGAAGATGCTCAACAGCAGCTTTCTTGTAGAAGGGAGGAGAAACAGGGAAGCTAGTATGAACAGTCTTATTCATAGACATGAATTTTGCACTGCTTGGGTAAAGAATGCTAATATTCATGTTGATCGTAAAGGTCTTTTCCAATCTAGTTGATTCTGTGTGTCTGTTTCAGCTGATATGTCTTGGTTGCAGTGACTAGTATATATAGCGGAAGGCACTTCTTCTCAAGGTGCCTTTACTGCTTGTCAGCTGCTGCTAAAGTTCTTACTTTTTTCCTTGGGGTGACCTCTTCCCAGATATGGTAGAGATGATGCTCATGCAGAATGCTCAGATGCACCAGATCATCATGCAGAACATGATGCTGAAGGCTCTGCCGCCAATGCCATTCACACAGCCTGCTGGAGCCAGCCCTCCCCTGCTTCATTGTGCACAGCAGGTAACAACAGTGCGGTCTGAAGGGCATCCTTGCTCCCACAAAGCCGTGGCTGATCTCCTTGAGATGCTTAATAGGTGTGCTACTGAGCTCTGAAAGGACAGATATTTTGGGGTGTAGATCCCTATAGGCTTATTTCCAAAACACATCCAGTGCCTGATAAGAGGTAGATGATTTTGAACACATCCTTTGGTGCCCAATTCCTAAGCTGTTTATGAAAAGGTGATTTAGCTCCTTAGCACCCTTTAAGTGCTTTGGAAAAATGTATTTCTAGACTCATCTCTGTGGCATTTATTACCAGAGAAACAAGGACAGATGATTGCTGGGGAGGAGGGGATGTCCCAGTGTCGCAGAAAGTTAGGTATATTCCCTGCCCTTCTTTTTCCAGGCTAACTATGTATTTCCCTGTGCTGTAAGTCACATTCGTTTTCTTTTTCTCAGATATTAAGGTTATTGGGTTCTGAGAAATAACTCCAAAAGTCCTACAGCCTTTGGCCAGCTCATTTGCATCTTCGCCACATGCTGTTTGTAAACGCCCCTGAGCCCTGAGTTTAACAGAGGGGTAGGAAACACAATCCTCCTCCATAACCCATCCCGTGGCCTGGAGGGAGCTGACGGGTTTGTGCATCTGCTGGGACAGAAAGCCTCTGACAGCAGCTGCCAGCTCTCACATTTCAGGGCACTGATGTCCCAGGAGGCCACCTGAGGAGCAGAGCTGGCCTCATCAGCTGTGGTGCAGGGTGGACTTGCTGTGGGAATGGCAGAGCTGCACCAAGCATTGCCTCGCATGGAAGTCCTTTTCTATTTCCCTTACGTTGTGCAGTTTCTGGGTTTGAATAGCCTGTCCCCCCATGCTACTGGGGAGATGTCTGGGCAGATGGTGGTGCTGAGAGAGACAGTGGACACATCTGCAGCTTTCTGTGTCTAAAGGAAGGTGACAGGGGAAAAGCATGCATCCCTCTGGTTCCCACCTTCCTCCCCAGCCCATCCTGTCACTGTGTGTTTCCCTGGTGTAGACCAGTGAGCTCAGTGTGAATGCCTGTGAAGGACAGGTGGAATCTGAAATCACCAAGTGTTTCGCTGGACCTTCTATGTTGGAGCCTGCAAGACTCATCTCCAGACACATCCTTTACCAAGGGCTGGCCAAATGGGAACCCAGCCCAGCAGCCAGGGACACTTCCCATAGGGGCACAGCTTTCACGTATCACCCTTTGTCTCTCTACTGAGGACCTGCAGGTTCCTGCTCCCCTGGCTGTGAAAGCAGACAGGCCCAGGCCATCCGTGGTGCACCACCACCACTATCCTGCTGCAGGGATTCTCCCAGTGCCCCATGAGCAATTCCCATCCACATCCACGGCACATCACTGGACCAGCAGCACGATCCCTGCCCTGCCCACGTAAGTAAACAGGGAACCGTAATGTAAACTTTTAGCCCTTCTGTCCTGGTTTTGGCTGGGATAGTTAATTCTCGCCCTAGTAGCTGGTGCAGTGCTGTGGTTTGGGTTTAGTCTGAGAACAATGCTGATAACACACTGATGTTCTAATTGTCGCTGAGTAGTGCTTACTCTGACCAAGGACTTCTCAGTTTAAACCACACCACCTTCCTTCCTGCACAGATGGGGGTAGCAAGGTAGACCATGTAGTCCTTTGTGGTTCTTCACTAAATCCAGTCCTGAATATTGTCTTTAATGCAACAGTGGCCTTGAGGCAGATTAAATAATGATTTGATGTGATTAATATTACAACTTGAGTAATTAACCCTTGCTTACTGTGGAATAAATGTGAGGATCGGACAAGGTCTACAGATGATACTAATCTGTGTTCCTGCCACAGAGCCACAGCCCACCCAGCAATTACCATGGCTATTTGGGGTTTGGTTCTCCTTGTGAAGCCGGCAGGGACCTGCTAAATAAGGCCTGCATGTATTTTCTGTTCAGGCTAATGTAAATCCAGTAGGATTTACATTCTTACAACACTGCTGAGGCCTTTGCTAATCAGAAATTCCTGGGGAAAAACCCTACCACCAAGAAAAATGGTACAAAATGAGGAAAATACTTGGAAATAAGGCTGAGCCTTCGGGGTAAGCATGGGGACTCACTGTTACATGAGTGAGAACAAAGCTTCTAGTTCTGTGCTATGGCTCTTTGTGAAGGACAGGATGGAGCAGCTGCATCCTCAGGCATAAGTGCCCTGCTGACAGGGGTATCTGTATAACCCCCTTAGGATGGGATTTGAATTCCTGAACAGATTATTTACCCAATGGGATTATAAGGGATAAACATTCAACCCATTTCACTTTTGCATGGGTTTGTAATCTGTACCACTAAAGATCTCTTGGTTCCTTCAAGAATAGTACCCTTAGCTGTTAGCAGAAATCAGCAAAGGAAGATGTTTTTGAGCAGCTCTGCACTGAAGCTGGGCTGGTTCAACCTGGAGAAGAGAAGGCTCCTTAAGGGGAGACCTTAGAGCAGCTCCAGTGCTAAAGGGGCTACAGGAAACCTGGAGAGGGGCTTTGGACAAGGGCCTGTAGGGACCGGACAAGAGGAATGGCTTTAACCTGCCAGAACAGTGGAGACTGAGACGAGCTCTTAGGCAGAAGCTCTTCCCTGTGAGGGTGCTGAGGCGCTGGCACAGGGTGCCCAGAGAAGCTGTGGCTGCCCCATCCCTGGCAGTGTTCAAGGCCAGGTGGGACACAGGGGCTTGGAGCAACCTGCTCTAGTGGAAGGTGTCCCTGCCTGTGGCAGGGATTGGAGCAGGATGAGCTTTAAGGTCACTTCCAACCCAAGCAAGTCTGGGATTCTGTGATTCTTCATTCTTCCTGTTCTTCAGCTACCTTCCACCACGAGTTATAAGATCTGACACATCTACACTGTGCTTTTGCAGCTGCAGGAAGCATGCACTGATGCACTGTTGGGTATTACCAAACACAGTAAAGCCATTTTTCTTTTTGCAGGTGGCCCACATACTGACAGAACATGTTCCTCTCAACTGGACCATAGCATTGCTGAAGTCAACCTGTATTTGAACAGTTCTCTCTGATTGACAGCCTAGTGTCAGTAAGACTGCGCATTGTTGGTATAGGAAGTAGCAGAACTCTGCCCTACCTGTGTGAACTGGCTTCACACGCTGCTTGGATAAATAATTCTCAGTGATGAAGAGCAGAAGGAAATCTGCTCCTGCAGAGTTTGAACACTGAGGTGCAATAAGTGCGGTCCATGTTTTGAGCCCCAGGAGGGCTCTGATTCCCCATCTTTCCCAAATCTCATAGTTACAAAGCTGGCCAAGGCTTTCTTCCCAAAGAGCAATTGGAAGCTAACTTAAGCAGCTTAGAATTGCATATATTTGTTTCATTATTTCTCAATCTTTCCCTCATATAATCAGGGTATAGACTTGATTTAAGCACACAAAATAAAATCTTGTGGTTCATGAGTGTTGGCATGTCTTTTGCTTCAGCAACATAAATCAACTTCTCCCTTCTTTACTCATGTGGTTCATGAATGTTGGCATGTTTTTCGCTTCAGCAACATAAATCAACTTCTCCCTTCTTTACTTTTCCCATTGATTTTTCATAGGACAGCCTTTAAGCTGAGTTCATGCTCTCCTGGTATTTTTGTTTTCACCTAGGACTCCTTGGAAGGCTCACTGAGAGTCTGAATCAAGCAATGCTTTTTCATGCTCTCAGCAGTCTGGTGGTGTTTTAACACAGAAAGATAACTCATGCATTAATAGCACTTTCTCCATGTCTTCCCACCTTCTCCTGTGTGTAAAGTGCAGAACATCTTGACATTGGTTTTACCTGGTGCAGTCTGTGAGTGAATCTAATGTGAAGATCACCCCAAAGGAATAAACTATTTACTATGTCAAACCTACCTTGCCCTTTGCCCTCTCTGCTCTGTGTTCTTTGCTGGGGGGTGTGTGAGTCAAACAGATAATGTGGATCAATTCACTGCTGTGTAGATCAGAGAAACCCAATGGAAGGTCTTCAGTGGAGACTCATCTGGATGCAGTGCCAGGGCCCATGGGCATTAGCAGCCTCTAACAACCCCAGCCAGCCCCATGGGGGACTCCCGCCCCCTCAAAGGCCAGCAGTCCCTTTTAAGCTTGGGCCTGGGGCTGCTGTTGACACTATCCTTTCCATGCATGGTACCACACGTTAGCACTATGGTGTGGTGCTGGTGTGCTTCAGGAGCAGCCATCCCTTGCTGCACTGGGAACCAAGATGTGCAGTGGAGAGTGATGTTATGCTTGTGCATGGATTTGGCCTTGCTCCTTTGAGACAAACTTGGTGTTTCAGGCTGTGCATTGCACAGTTAGCAGCGAATAGTACTTAGTGTATTTAATGTGTGTGTTTTCATTGCTGCAGTTTTAACTGTTGTGTGTAGGCTGTAATTGGCTCCTCCCTTTTAAAAGCTTACTGCGTGCAGTGTTGGCTCCGCAGAGCAGCCCCTCCCAAGGACAGGCATGTGGAATGGTGCACAGAGAGGTGTCTCCTCATAGCCTCATCCAAGTCCTTCTGCAGGTTAGGCCTGGACCCTCTGCACACCATCACACCCCAATGTGCTCAAGCCACACGCAGCTTACTTGTGTGACATCCTGGCAGATGGTGTCAGCCCCCGTCAAGCAGTGTGTTCCATACCTCACCCTCAGGCAGTGCCCCTGGGGCTCCAGGAGTTATTCCACATCATCGTCTGCACTTACAGCCCAGCAAAGCACCAGCAGAAGCCCGGCAGATGTGGGTTCTCCTCGTGCTCTGCGTGTGTTTCAGTAGGAAGCCCTTGAAGACTGCAGAATTGCTTCACTTTTCAAGAGAAAACTGCTTTAAAGCTTTCGCAATGTGGCTGAATAACTCCACATTCACATCTCACCACCTGAGCAACCACACGCCTGTCCCCATGGCCAGGCTGACCCACCAACAGCCTCTGTGCTGCAAGTTAAACTTTAATAGGTGCAAGAGCTCAGATGTGACTCCACCGCCTATATCCTTCCCCTTCTTCTCCCTGCTGGTGAGTTCAGTGCAGCAGGACAGGGAGCAGGGACACAGCACTAAGAACCTGTAACTGGGGGTGCCTCAGAGATGGAGACCAGTGACCCACGGGGGAAAAGAGTCGCTGTTGTCGGTGGTGGTCTGGTAGGAAACTTATCTAGCTGCTGTGTGATTGCACAAAGCCAGAGCTGTGAAAGCATTGCGTGGACGGGGGGGGGGGAATGTCTGATGATGGGGTCTTATGGAGGGGTTGGTTGGGAGGCAGTGAGGCTCATTCAGACAGCTTTGTGGGACTCTGTAAGAGGAGAACATCTCTTCCACTCAAGAGAAAGGTTTGCTGCTGAGATATCTCAGGGATGCAATGCATGGCTATGGTTGGCACTTGGCTTGAATGGTGTGTGCAAATGCATCACAGAATCGAGGGGGGAAATCCTGCCATCAAGAGTCCTTCTCTCAGAGGATGGTAGTGCCCAAGTAGATTAAATCACAGTCCTCTCTTGGCCTGCCAGATCCTCTGCCCCTCATCTGCTTCTGGCTTTAACCAAGTCCCTAAGGTGAAATGGTCTGTGAGGACTATTGGTAAACACTAGGCTAAGAGGAAGTGCCTCCTCCTGCCCATTTTGGCTTGGGAATGGTTTGCCTACTTTACTATTTGCAGAGTGGTCTTACTTTAAAGGACAGCATAGCAGCATTAACTGTCTTTTGACCTTTTGGTTGTTACATTCTCGGTCCCCGTGCTGCTGGTAAGGAGCAATGACACAAGAATCTGTAGTTCTGCCAGTGATTAATGGTGGAAACTAAACCCCAAAAAGACAACCATCCATTTAAATAACAAGCAGGACACAAGTGTGAGGACCTTTTAAAGGTGACATCTTGCTTTTGCGCAGGTCTAGCTTCCCCTGCTGTGTTCCCAAGGGAATGCTGCAGCACCCTGAATTCTATCCAGGAAGATAAATCTAGTCCATAGAGGAGTAGGGAGTTTGCCTATCCAGTCCTGTTGTGTCTGGATGAAGGGCTTAGCTCTGCTGCAATTCATCACTGTGTATGAGTAAGCTCTGAACTTGGTGTGACTTTGTGCGATGAGTTGTGATGGATGACTCTTGTCTTGGAGGCTCTGTGGGTACAGCAGGGGTGCCAGAGAACTTCTCCCCTGGAAGAAGTCCTTTAAGGCTCTTGATCAAAGGGTTTTCGTGTATATACTGAGCTGCTGCTTTCCCTTTATGATCCAGTAGTGATCTGTGATGTATCAATAGTGAAACACTTCATCTGCTATTCCTGATCCTTCTCTTGTAGGTGGGTGCATTAAATGCCTGTTTCTTTGCGAGACGAGGTTTCTATGTTGATGTTTATGAAGCCAGAGAAGGTAAGTTCAGCCTGACCACTACTGCTTTATCAATGTTTTCCTGTCCCTTTGCTGATAACAGCTTTGGGGGAAGCAAAAGAGGAACGGTGTGAGCTCACTGAAACTGCAGGAAGAAAATGAAACCCAAAAGTGTGGCACCTGAAGGATATTCTTTTCACTCTTTAGCTTCTGTGGTGGGGAGGAGCATTTGCTTGAAATACGTTGGTTTGTGTGGAGGAAACCCACCCTTAAGCTACTCAAATGATGCCTTTTCATGTTCTTGGCTTAAATATTGATTCAAATCCTCATCTTTGGAAGTTGTTCTCTGCATGCAGAGTATTAGTGCAATGCTGTTGAGCCTGGGCAGAGATGGAAGGTCAGAATGACACTGGAAAGTGATACTCACCATGGTTTACCCGTTAAACTCTTTTTGCTGGTTGTTGTGCATGCCACCAGTGTCACACGCTGAAAAAGCTTCTGGTTGCTCTTAGCTGCTTCCTGGATCAGATGGATTTTACCACCCTGCTCCAGTGTCTGGCCCATGGCTTTGCTGAGATGCAACCCTGAAAGCTCTTGGGGTATCCAGTGCATGATCTGCTGCATGCACTGGATAGACAACACTTAGTGAGGCCATTCAGAGGAGGAACAGGCCAATGTTGAGACATCTCCATCCGACCAGAGATGGGTCTGGGCACAAGCTGCCAGGTGTTCACTGCTTGTCTCCCTTCACTGAGAGGGGAAGCAGCTCTTAGTGATGATGACCTCCAGCATTATAGGGAGCTGTTGGGATGCAATGTTCCCTTTGCAGCACTTGGTTGCAGCTGCTTCTTACAGGCTGGAGGTGGCATGGAAGAATCAGCCCTTGAAGCTGCTCAGCTGCCTTCCCAACAGCTGAATGTGCTCTCTGTGCACACAGAGTGGGGGCACAGGGACTCCCCCTGCCCTGCTGCTGTTGCCATAGGGATTATGGGAGATGCTGTAGTATCAGTGTCTCCATAACCAGCTGCTTTTCCCATGTAGATATCCGGGTGGCCAGCTTTACCCGTGGCAGAAGCATTAACTTGGCCCTGTCCCATCGAGGACGCCAAGCCCTGCGAGCTGTGGGCATGGAGGAGCAGGTACCTGGGCAGCCCAGCCTGGGGGCAGCACCCAACCCTGGGCTCTACTTAAGGCAGAGGGCTGACAAGAAACCTGGAGAAGAGCGCTTTGGAGAAGGGTCTGTAGGGACAGGACAAGGGGAATGGCTTTAACCTGCCAGAACAGGGGAGATTGAGATGAGCTCTTAGGCAGAAGCTCTTCCCTGTGAGGGTGCTGAGGCCCTGACCTTCACAGGGTGCCCAGAGAAGCTGTGGCTGCCCCATCCCTGGCAGTGTTCAAGGCCAGGTTGAAGTGTGGTGCGAGGAGGGGGAATGGCCCTTGGTGACTTGTGCCCTTCCCTTGGCAGCTCCAGTTTGGCCAGAGGGCTGGGTTGTGTTCCCTTCCATTTCAGATTGTGTCCAAAGGCATTCCCATGCGGGCAAGAAGGATACACACACCTTCAGGGAAGAAGTATTCTATTCCATATGGGAAGAAGAACCAGGTACCAGTCTCACGCTGTCACTCTGGCGATGTCTTAGATGGTGTTTGTACTGCTGTGTGATGGACAGCAGGGCTCACACTCCTTGGAAGGATGCTGTGTGCAGGAAAAGTGTTTCATGACCCCCTGGTTTTGGTGGGACTATTTAGAATGGGTGGTGTTCCTCATCTGGCCATGCAGAGCAGCCTTCAGCAATGCCTCCTGAACGTAGTGTTTGCTTGCCTTGCAGTACATCTTGTCCGTGGACAGAGCAAACCTGAACAGAGAGCTGCTGACAGGTAGGCTGCCAGCTTTGTCTGCAGATACTTTTCACCCTGTTCACCCAGGATTTAAGCTTTGCCCCATGAACAGGAGACTTTGGGCCTCAGGCTTTCTATGAGTTCTGCGTAACCTGGTGCTCAGAAAGCACAATTGGGATATAGCTGTGTTTGTGAGGAGAAAATCTGCTTGTCTGACACAAAACGATATTCAAGTAGGTTCCCCCGAGGCCTTTCTGCACATGCACCTCTCCTGCATTCACCCTTGAGCAGGAGTTGTCTCCACTTCATGGCTCCTGGCATGGGATTCTGCTCCAGGGCTTCGCCAGCCAAAGCAGGAGATACCTCCTGAGCCTCGCCACGCTTCCTGCAACCCCAATTGTACAGAGACAGATAGGAATTGGAGCAGTGTGGCAAAGTATACCACCAGGACAGGCCAAAGTTCCCATATACGCACCTCACCCCATCCTGAAATACAACTGTTGGAAACCTGCTGTAATAGCAGAGTCCCTATAATTTAGGGATCCCTTGGAAATTGTTTGGAGGGATCACATTTAGCCTCTACATTTACTTGTTTTTCCACAGCTGCTGAGAAGTACTCCAACACCAAACTGTACTTTGGACACAAGCTCCTGGGGTGCAATGCAGAGCAGGGGACATTAACCATCAAAAGGTAATCCCTGCACAGCCTGGGATGCAGTGCTGTGGTCAATGAATTCCTGCTTAATCATTCCTAAAACCTCAAACAATTGAGCAATCTTGGTTTGAAACTGGTGTGTGATTACCGAGGGGCAAGACCGTGTCAGCTCTGGAAAGGGTACATATGACAGCAGGGTTTCTGGGGAGGCTGACAAGAACTGAAGCAACCCTCTAACCCCCAGCAGCCTGGCAGCAGGAAGGGGATATAATGCTGAGCTGTGCAGGGGATGATGTGCCAGTCTCCATAGTGCTTATTTACAGGGACAGGTCACTCGTCAGGACTGGCAGCTAATCGTATAGAATCATGGAATGGTTTGTGTTGGAAGGGACCTCAAAGCTCATCCAGTTCCAACCCCTGCCACAGGCAGGGACACCTTCCACTAGAGCAGGTTGCTCCAAGCCCCTGTGTCCAACCTGGCCTTGAGCACTGCCAGGGATGGGGCAGCCACAGCTTCTCTGGGCACCCTGTGCCAGCGCCTCAGCACCCTCACAGGGAAGAGCTTCTGCCTAAGAGCTCATCTCAACCTCCCCTGTTCTGGCAGGTTAAAGCCATTCCCCTTGTCCTGTCCCTACAGGCCCTTGTCCAAAGCCCCTCTCCAGGTTTCTTGCAGCCCCTTTAGGCACTGGAGCTGCTCTAAGGTCTCCCCTTCAGGAGCCTTCTCTTCTCCAGGCTGAACCAGCCCAGCTCTCTCAGCCTGGCTCCAGAGCAGAGCTGCTCCAGCCCTTGCAGCATCTCTGTGGCCTCCTCTGGACTCACTCCAACAGCTCCACGTCCCTCTTGTGCTGTTGCCCCAGAGCTGGATCAGGACTGCAGGGGGAGATCTCTCCAGAGCGCAGCAGAGGGGGAGAATCCCTCCCTCAATCTGCTGCTCATGTGCTGGGGGTGCAGCCCAGCGGGGTTCTGGGCTCAAGCACTCAGTGAAGCCAGGTCATGGAGAGCTTCTCCTCACTGACCTGGTTTCATTGCTGTGTTCATGCTCTATGAATAGCAGCACTGAGCCAGCAGTGCCTGTTGCATTCTTGGGTAGATGTGGCAGAGTTGTGCCTTTTGATAACTTGCAGGATACATTTTTATCCTAATGCTGAGGTATTCCCAGTCAGTGAAGCCAATCCCCCCTTAACAAAGTTTATCACACTGGGGGTTACCTTGACATTTTGCAGAAGACAGAAGCACTGTGCCCAGCAGTGCTGAGCTGGCCTTGGAATCACAGCAGCATGGATCCAAGGGGCTTTCTTGCTTTCAGATCTGACCAGCAACCCTTGGAAGTAGCATACGACCTCATTGTGGGATGTGATGGAGCCTTCTCAACAGTCAGAAAGCAATTCATGAGGCAGACACGTTTTAACTACAGTCATGAGTACATTCCTCATGGATATATGGAGCTGAGCATCCCTCCCAAGGATGGAGATGTAAGTGTACCTGTCCTGGAGGCTGCTCCCATCTCATGGTGCTCTGCTACAGAAGCTCTAGAGAAACTGACTTCTCACCTGGGGCTCAGCCAAGGGATTAAAACTTCCCTAGGAGAAGGCAGACAACTCCTCCTATCTTAATGGTGGGGCCCATGTCTTGGTTAACTCTGAGAGGTCCTGGGGATACAGGAATGTGTCTGTGAGGACCTCAGTAACTGCAAACCATGAGCTTTTTGCCCATCTTTCCTGCCTTTTCCTCTTATTCTTGTTCTGTCTCCCAGAAGCATCAGGTTCCAGAAAGGAGCCCTATGAATATTGGTATGAAGGATGGCAGCGGGTGTGCTGGTGTGGAGGGAAAGCAGAGGCTGGGCTGGGGAAACTGATCAGGGCAGGGACACACACAAGGTGATTTTCCTTCTCTTTCAGTTTGCCATGGAACCAAACTACCTCCATATCTGGCCAAGAAACACCTTCATGATGATTGCACTGCCCAACATGGTGATAACCTGTGGCCATGCTCCCGTGGGGCATGGGATGGAGCTTGTGGGGATAAACTGGTTGTGGTGGCAGGGGCTGGGAGGGATGATGCGGTGCCAGGAGAGACCCCCAGATCCCTTGGGTCTTGGGAGGGGTGCAGGACAGGACCCACAGAGCTGCCTCTGCCTCACTGCACCAAGCAGGTACCTGTGCACTTCTCTGCCATGCACCCGAGTCCACTCAAACCCCCCAAAACCAGCTCTCTGAATGTTATGAACTGGATATGGGAGCACCAGGGCAGTGTGCCAGACCCATGCTGGCCACCACATACTGCCTGTTCCCCAGGGGATGCAAGCCCACTATGGGGCATGGGGTGTGATTGTTGTGTGAGAGGCTGGGCACTGAGCTGCTGCTCCAGGTGCTCTCTATGGCCTCTGGGATTCTTTCTGACCTTCCTCCCTGGCTAACAGGACAAGTCATTCACCTGCACGCTCTTCATGCCCTTTGAGGAATTTGAGAAGCTCACAACGGACGAGCAAGTGCTGGGCTTTTTCCAGACCTACTTCCCAGATGCCATACCCCTCATCGGAGAGTAAGTGTTCACATCTCCTCTTCCTGCTGTGAAGGCAGGGGACCCATCCCCACCCAACCTCAGGGTCCTGGTGATGTGGTGGTGAACGCTGTTGGGGTGGATCCCCATGGCCTGCAGGTCCACATTGTGTCTGCGCTGCATCAGGACAGACATCTATCCCATTTTGTTGGCTTTAACCTGCCAGAGGGAAGATTGAGATGAGCTCTTAGGCAGACGTTCTTCCTTGTGAGGGTGCTGAGGCACTGTCATAGGGTGCCCAGAGAAGCTGGTGCTTACTGACTGTGGCTAAACAAGCATGCAGGCAGTGAGACACAAGAGTGCCCAGCAGCAGTGGAGACCCTCTCACTGGTGGGCCAATGGCATCAGGGCAGCAGCACAGAGCCAGAGCATCCCACTCCTCTGGGGGGGGGGCTGGTGGCACTGGGGACCAAACCCTTTCCACCCACATTCAAGTTAAGTGAAGAGCTTAAAACCTGCAGACAGAATATTTGGTCTATAGGGAGAAATTAATGAAATAGGTTTTCTGGCTTCCACATTTTTCCCAGCACAAATAGCCGGGTGAATAGGCTTGGGTTTTGCATCCCAATGCTGACATTGCCATGGCTCCCTGTGCTTTGCTGTTGCATAACATCTGTATCCATGGCAGGACAGAGCCTTGGGTTATGTGATCTAGTGGAAGGCGGCCCTGCCATGATCTTAAGGTCCTTTCCAACCCAAACTCTTCTATGATTCTATGACTTGCTCTTCTTGTCTCTTTGGTCCTCCAAGTGAAGTATCTTGTTTTGCCTGAAGGCGAGAGCTGAAGCAGGATTACTTTTTGCTGCCAGCCCAGGCCATGATATCTGTGAAGTGCTCTTCCTACCACCTTGGTTCCCGGTGTGTGCTGATGGGAGATGCTGCCCATGCCATTGTGCCCTTCTATGGACAGGGCATGAATGCAGTAAGTTCACTTACATCATTTGGGTCCCCAGTCTTTTCACCCAGAAATGCCTGGGTTTAGGGGGTAGGTCCATAGAGTTCAAGGGCTGGCCTGTCCCACAGTCTGATGTCCTCTGCATTGGCAGGTATTGAGCTCCCCTCATGCACTTGGCTGCTTGCTAGGACCTGGTTGTATTCTGGGGAGGAGAAGGGATGGGGTGGTTGTGCTGCCTTGCCACGGAGCAGAGGACTGCATGGAAGTGGGGTTCAGCAGGACAGTCCCAGGCTGCTGGGAAAGGCAACTCCCTGGATTTCTCTGCAAGACCCCTGGCAGGGTGGCCTGGAGTAAGGCTCCTGCTCTGAAGCCGTGGTCAGTGAGACCCTGCACATGCAAACACCTACACTAGCTGAGCACCCATGAGGGCACTTGTGAACGCATGGTTCCTTCTGCCTATTCACCCTCTAATCTTCCTCCCAGGGCTTTGAGGATTGTCTTGTCTTTGATGAATTAATGGACCGCTTCCATAATGACCTTGGTGAGTGAGGAGACCAAGAGCAGAGGAGGATCCCTGCTGGATACCCTGCTGACGAGCTGCCCATGAGCTTTCTTCTCCCAGGTGCCTGCCTCCCCGAGTTCTCCAGGCTGAGGGTGCCAGATGACCACGCCATCTCAGATTTAGCCATGTACAACTACATAGAGGTAGGCAAGCTACACATTGACTTGTGGCTCTGGTGGCACTCTTGTCCTAACAGAATGCACACAGCTGGCAGGGTCTATGGTAAGACTCTGGTTGTGTCCTCACGTGGGAGACTTGAGCCTAAGAGCTCCTTGGGAATGCCGCTGGGGCTGGGGAGGCTCAGCTCTCTCCAGGCAGCACAACAGCAAAGATGCCCTGCAAAAGGGATGACTTGGTGTTGCAGATGCGCGAGCACGTGAATTCAACATGGTTCATCTTCCGGAAGCACGTGGACAACTTTCTCCACGCCCTCATGCCTTCCACCATCGTCCCGCTGTACACCATGGTAAGGCTAGTGCCAACTGAGCTGCCACCACCTCCTCCTGTGGCTGGCTTTGAGGTGGTGACGGGCTCCTGCTAACCCTCACAGGTGACCTTCACCAGAATTCGCTACCACGAAGCGGTTCAGCGCTGGAAATGGCAGAAGAAGGTGGGTCAGTGAGGGTGCCTGTCCTTCTTCCCCATGCGGTGACCCTCCTGAGCATCCTGCTTTGGTGGTGGGATAGGTGTGAAGACTTTGGTGCCACAGGTAGGAGCAAACCTCTGGGTGATGCTGGGGTTTCTCTTTGCACTTGCAGATAATAAATCGAGGGCTCTTTGTCATCGGAGCAGCAGGACTGGGGGGCACCTTCCTCCTCATAAGGTGGCTGGCTCAGGACTTGGGCTTCTGCATGGAAAACTTGTGGGGCTGGTCCCGTTATCTGAAGAATATCGGAAATCTTCCCTTTGGCATACAAGTGGCTTAAATGTAAGGGGAGGTCCTGGCTGTAATAAAAGTGAAGGCATGGATGTGTTTCTTTTGGGGATGTGGCCTTGCAGGTCCTGCATGCCCTCTGCCTCTTGCTCCCTTGGGAGAGGTGGTGGTTCCTTGGGTGAAAGGAGCCCATAAGGGCACAGAGTGGCCAAAGAGCAGGGTCTCAGGTGTACCTGCCTCATCTCAGCCTTGTCTCAAGGGATGTGGTGTGGCATGGGCTGAGTACAGGTTTTGTGTGCAGTAACAGGGGAACTCTTCATCAGGGACTGTAGCGATAGGACAAGGGGTGATGGTTTCAAACTGAAGCAGGGGAAGTTTGGGCTGGAGATAAGGCAGGAGTTCTTCCCTGTGAGGATGCTGAGGCGCTGGCACAGGATGCCCAGAGAAGCTGTGGCTGCCCCATCCCTGGCAGTGTTCAAGGCCAGGCTGGATCCAGGGGCTTGGAGCACCCTGCTCTAGTGGAAGGTGTCCCTGCCCGTGGCAGGGGCTGGAACTGGATGAGCTTTAAGGACCCTTCCAACACAAACCATTCTAGGATTCAGTGATTCTATGACTCTGTGCCCTTCCAGCCAGCAGAATGGCCACTTGAAATGCTCAGGGTGTCCCACACCATATTGCTGACTCCTGCTCTTACCAGAATCAACGTCTTGACTTCAGCTGGCTCCCTCCTCACCCCAAGTCAAAGGAAATATGGTCCAATTATTCCCGATGGAAAGGAAAAACCTTTAAGGAAAGATGGGGCAGTGTTTGGAGCCTGGAGGAAAATCTGTTCCACACCTGGCTGAGAAATACTTCTGACTTTTGCCATCAGCTCTCCGCAGAGAAATCACTGAGCCTTTGGGCTAAAGCAAGACCAGGGGCCTGAAGGACCCTCCTAGCTCCCTGTTTTCCCTCTGGGATTTTGCATGTGCTCTAGCACATACTTCTGTCTAATGCAGTGACCAATCATAGTTCTTTCGGAAAAAGCCTGGATCTAATTTTCTCCAATTGTTCCCCAAAGCATGTGCGTGGCTGTGCTTGTTCTGCACGCGCTACACCAGCACCAAAACCTGTGGCTGCTGGCAGGGTGGACAGTCTTTTCACATAACAACCTCTGCCTGGGCCCCCAGCAACGGGCATTGCATCCAAGCCCTGGTCTGCATCACTAGTGAGTCAGTTTTGGTTTGCAGGGGATGTAGATGGCAAATGAGTGTAGAAGACAGTTTTTGTCTCTGGCCAGCATCTTTCCCAGGCACAGTATCTATGGATGGGAGCTGCTGGCAGCAATGGCAGGGTTTTGCTGTAGTTTCTGCAATGAACACTTCAGCTGTTGCCCTTGCACTTGATTCTTAGCAGGACAGATGTATTTACTTTATATATATTAGTTTTTATTAATGTTAAACCTCTTCAGATGGCAAATGAAGATGGGACGCAACACAGATGTATGCAAATTATTCCCAAACTCAAAGCAAATATGGAATTGTACTGCTATTTCACAGGAATGACCCCCCAGTGTAAGAGCAATTAGCTGCTGTGGAAGTGCTGAGCTGCAGATGCTCTGGGTCTTGCACACGACTGGCCCTCAGTGTGTCTGATGCACTCATAGAGCAGGGAAAAGATCTCGCCCTGTGGCCAAACTCAGTTTCATGTGCTCAGTGCCCAAGTTTCATAGTTCAGTTGCTCCTTTGTGTCCTTGTGATGCAGAGAGCTCAAGGCCTGGCAGAGGCAAGCCAAGCCTGCAGGAGCCCAAGTAGAACCATGCCCAAGGTAGGTCTGAGAGGGGAGCAACACAAGATTCAGTGCACGTTGCCCAGCTGTTCTTTGTGTCTGGGTACAGGTGCTTGCTGGCCCTTAGGCCCCATCACCTCACTGAAAGCTTCAGAGCAGACCACCAGCGTGGAGGACCCTCCATGTCCAGCTGAGCTGTGAGTGGTTCAGACACCAGTGCAAACACAGTGGTGGGGATCAGTGCAGCAGGCGAAGGCATGGAGCAGCATGGGAACAGATCCTGCTAGAGCTCAAGGGAAAGGGCAGGTTTGCAATTCCAGCTCCAAGTCAATGTTGGAAGCACTCTCTGCACTCGGCTGGTTTTGGAGTGTGAAAAGTCCTGCCAGAAGGTGAAGGTCATCAAGAGCTGAGAGAGACAGTAACCAGGTACAGGAGCCGTTGCGTGTGCCTGCTGGTGGGACCAGATCTGCAGTCCCATCCATGGCAAAGTTGTGTCTGTTCCTTTCTCCCAGCTCCACTAGCGCAGAGGCACCAGGACACAGGCATGGTGAAGCCCCTCAGCCAGTGCCTGGTGTGCCGGTGGCCTCTTGGAAGAAGGGAACAAACTGACAGGATGAAGAAGAGGAGGTCTGAGATTTCCTTAGCATGGCATTTCCTTATTTCACAGTGGGTCCCAGTCCTGCCGGGTGTTGCTCAGCTTCACTGATCGTCGAACCTGGGGTTCACAACTGTGGTTGTGGCACTCTTGAAGAGGGGATTATCAGCCTGGAGGGAGAAAGGTGAGGAGCCCATGTTGTCGGTGGAGCATTGCCTATCCCACCCACATCCCAACCTCAACAGTGTTGGCAGAAGAGCCTACAGTCTGCTTTAGCACCCTGCAAACCCATCCAGTCTGTGAAACTGGCCAGTGGGGAGGGCGCAGGTCTGCTATGGCTACCACTGGGGAGGACGTCCCTCCCAGATGTCCCCACCACATGAACACAAGCATCCCAGCACACCCCACCAGTACAGATGGGCTCTCTTACATCGTTCCACTTGGCCTTGGACTTCTCCTTTTCGAACCGGCGGTATTCCCTGCGGTCAAACAGTTCCATCAGGAGCCGCCAGGTCAGCAGGAGCACCAGGCCAATGAGGGCCACGCCGGCAATGGTGCTGCCCACAATCAGTGCAATGTTGGGAGGCTTTGGGCATTCTGTGGGGCAGACAAATGGTGTCTGGCTGCAGCCCCTGCTGAGGCTGCCATGCAGAGGGGTAGGAGCAGCAGGGCTGGGGTACCTTTCTCAGGATCCACGGTGACGGTGTATATCTCCTTGCCATCCTCCTGGACCATGCGGAAGGAGATCCAGCAGTTTTGGGAGTCCTTCTCCCTGCACTGCCTGCTCTCCCCTGTTATATTCTGCACCACACGGATGTTGGGGCAGGCCTGGGAGCAGTTCTTCTCGAAGGGGCCGCTCTCGGAGGCTCTGCACTCCACGCAGGAGCTGCAAAACAGGTCACAACAGCTCACCTCTGCAGGGACAACACTCTCACCCTGGGTTTGGCCACCACTGGTCTCTGCCCAAGCACAGCCAGGGACCTCCTGTGCCTGCCTCCCCACCACCCTTTGTGCCATCTCCATGTGCATCACTCACACATATCGGGCACAGGGCGAGGGGCAGCTGGGGCACTCCTGGCAGAAGGGGGGCTGGTATCCCCCCCAGCACTGGCAGCGGTTGCAGTGGCAGGTCCCGCGGTGGCTGCACTCGTTGCCATGCTGGTTCAAGCAGCCTTCTGTTGACTTCTTGCACTGGCAGGCGCTGCCCTGGTACTCAGGATTGCACTTGCACTCCCCACAGTCACAGTTGCCCCGCTCTGCATGGGAAGACCTTTCAGATGTGACAAGGATGCTGCAGAGAACCAGGTCTCCCTCCCTCTGCCCATGTTTGGAAAGCATCACCCACCCCGCACTGTGGTGTGGTGGGACCCAGGACCCTCAAACCCACCCATCTGGGGTTTGGCAGGGAAATCAGCACCTCCTGGAACAGGTTGCCCAAAACAGTGGTGAATGCTCCATCCCTGACAGTGCTCAAGGCCAGGTTGGAGGGGCTTGGAGCAACCTGTTCTAGTGGAAAGTGTCCCTGCCTGTGGCAGGGGGTTGGGACTGGATGAGCTTTAAGGACCCTTCCAACCCAACCCATTCCATGGTTCTATGGTTTAGTCTTTCTAAGCAGCACCACAGTGGAGAACCCATCACAGCCACATCACCTCTGCCACCACAGGGAAGGCCATTGTGGAACTCGCAGTTGACGTTGTCGCACTCGCAGAAGGTGCCGTAGATCTGCTTGTTGGGTTCGTTGCTGGTGTGGCAGAGGCACTGCCCACACACGCAGTCCCCCAGCCCCGAGCAGATGACTGAGCTGTTGTCCTGCCGGCAGCTGCCCTCCAGCTCCTTGCTGCTCTTGCCTTTCGTGTCACACTCGCAGTTCTTCCCTATGTAGCCTGGATTGCAGCTGCCAACAAAGGAGAGGAGTGAGCCCAGGTCAGTGGCCACAAGAAGTGCTGTTGCACATATGCAGGGCCCATACCTCAACCAAAGGGGAGCAAATCTGGGATAGCCACACCAAAACCCAATCATGACATGTTGGTGCTGCTCCATGCTGGAGCAGGGCAGCTGATTGGGAGGAAACCTCAGAAACACTGCTTTTTCCCCAGGTCCTATTTACAACACCCAACAGTTGTCTGGAAATTATTGCTAGAGTTATAATTTTCAAACCCTTGCCAAGGTTTACTTCCTGAGGAAATCTAGTCTTTTTTCCCCTCCCTGTTACCAAGGGGCCAGGAAGTGCCCTTAATGAGCTGCACAAACTGCAGCCAGGAGTGGGATTTTGAGTGATTTCTACAGAGACCTGTTTCTGTTCAGTGGATGGTTTGGTGGATGAATGGATAGCTGGACAGATGGATAGCTGGAGAGATGGTTAGATGGACGGGTGGAATGTTGGATAGATTGGTAGGTGGGTGGATGGATGGGTGGATAGCTGGATGGTGGCTGAGTGCCCTTAGGAAAGCAGCAGAGGCTTCACCAACACAAGAGACATTGTGTCCCCAATCTCCATGAACATAATCCACCTCTGAACAAGAAAACTGGGGCAAAGCTGCAGAGGTAAGCCCTGGGCTGGACCTGGCAGACCCCTCCAGCAGCTCCCCAGCTCTGGCAGCGTTTGGAACAGTGTTGTGTGGATAGCACATACCTGCAGATCCCACAGACAGTGGTGCCCTGCCCGCTGCAGGCGGCTGGGTCCGACTGCTCCTTGCAGTTGCAGTTGCACTTGCTCTCCACGTGGACCGTGAG